TACCCGCTGGCCTCGCCCTCCAACAGCACTGACATCTACTTGGAGCCCATGGAAGTTGCCACCTTCCGCCTCCGCCTGGGCTAGGGCTTCCTGTGGCCTGAAGAGCAGGTTCATCCACAGAGACTGCCTCTCACATAAGGTCGGGCTGGACAGGCCACACGGGGCATCTGTCCCGATCTACCTCTCAGAACTCTGACAGACTGGGCTCAGCCCTCACTTCCTGTTGATGGTCGCTTCTATGTTTGGGGGCAACCCGCAGCCAGTGTTGGGTAGCTAGGGCAGACACTGGTGAGATCAGGGAGACTCGGCCTTGGGCAGGACGGGCAGGGCCAGCCTCAGCTTGGGGAGCCAGTGGCCACCCCATTGGGCACAGGCTTAAGCACCCATCCTTTTCCCAAAGTGGGATTGCGGAGAAGCAGGAAGGGTAGGGGAGGCTGAGGGGGTAACAGCCTGGCCTCAGGGTTGGCTGGCGATACGGGGTCCTGCGGCTGTGGAGGGACTGCTTGTCCTGATGTGATGAGCAGGAGGGGGGCGGGGGTCCAGAGATGGCAGCCGGTGGAGGAGCAGGACTCACGGCTTTGCGTGACGGCTGCTGAGCTGCGCGCCCTGGCTGGGGGCGGCAGTGTGGCGGAACGACTCACTAGACACTCTCATGGCCGGAGGTCACAGGACACTTCAGGTACAAAACCCCCATCTCAGACTGGGCACTTGGTCTGTACGTTGATCTGTGGGAAGGTGGCCGGGGTGTGGGGGTCGTCCACCCCACTGGCTCCTCTTCGGTCCCTGTACTCTGTACTCCGCTGTCCCCGAGAGCTCCTTCCAATCATGGAGGCGTTTGGTCTGCCAGGCTTCCTTTCCCTGGAAAGAAAGCCAAGCCTCCAAGACCCCTGTGCGTGGGCAACCTGAGGAGGCCTTTAGCACCATCCCTCCAGTCAGGCCACGAAGCTTCACCGGCGGTACATCCTTCTTCAGAAGGATTCGGTTCCTGGCGCGGGGACCCGGGGTGTGTGAGTCAGTTGGAGGCACTACGGCTGCTCAGGCTCTATTTCAGCTCCGATTAACAGAAAAATTCATGGTAGTCTCTCTAGATGCTGAAGCGATATTTGACAAAATTTACAATCTATTCCTTCTTAAAACTTTAAGTGAAGATTAGAAAGAAACGTGGTAATCGAGATCAAGGTCTCTATAAGAAACCAACAGTTAATGGCATTCTAAAGGGAAATTCCATAGGCATTCCCACTGAAGTCAGAAATTAGCCAAGGATTTACTATTATTTAGGAAAGTCCTGGCACTACTGAACCCTGCAGTGTGGCAGATGAAGGAGATGAAAAAGAGTTATAATTGTCATTACTTGTAGACGATAGAAGGGCCGACCTATAAAATCAACTGAAGACCTATTAAAAGCATTCTGTAAGTTAACCCAGATGATACACAGCAATTTCCTGTATAGACAGACTGGCTCTGCAAACAGCTCATAAATTCCTTATATTCCAGTGAGATTGGATATTTTTTGCAATTTGACAAGTTCTAAAGTTTATTTGGAAGAGTAAATGTGTGAGAATACTAATTCTGAGCCCTGATGAGCCGGGGCTGGCGGCGCGGCGGCGGGTGGGGGCCGCAGGCACTTGTCCTGCGGGGCTTCCCAAAGGACGCTCAGGCGACCGTGAGTTCAGTGCGCGTGTTCCGGAGGCGGAGCGCGGAGACGGGGGGGACCAACAGGAGAGCCCACACACAGACCCAGGTATTTGGGAATTTAGGGTAAGAGGAGTACTTATGGGGAAAAGACGGATTATTTAATAAGCAGTACTTTAGAACAGCTGGCTATCTACCAAAGCTAGATCTCTACCTCACAGTTTCCATAAAAATTAGTTCCAGAGGGAAAAACAAAAAAGTTAAATTATGAAATTACTGCAGAAAATGTAGGGTATTTTTATACCTCTGGTGTGGGAAGGTGTTATAAATGACATGAAACTTAGAAGGTTTATAGTAAGGGGAAAGATAGATTTTACCACAAAAACATTCATAGTTTCTGTATGATGGAAAACAAGGTTACAATACAAATGACAGGGCAGAAAGTACTTGCTGCACTTCAAAAATTGGTGAAAATAGGAGAAAAGTTCGCTAAGCAGCCACCTAAAGCAAGAGTGACACAGCGGAGTTCTTCCCAACCAGGGCCTGCGGAATCCGTCTATGTCACAGGGGAAGGAATGAGGTTGTCGGTGTGGAGGAGGGTCTGTGGCAGAGGTCTAGCAACCTGAGACTGACGTGAGAAGAACAAGAAATGCAACCTAATTGTAGTACAGAGAGGGAAAGGCAGATTCCTGGGCACAACCTATTGAACCAGGCTCTGGGAGGAGGAGCCAAAGAATCTGCATTTTAACGAGCTCCCAGGTGATCCTTTTGCACTCCTAACTGGGAAATGGGCCTGTAGGTTTAAGGCGAGCAGCAGCCCTTGGCCATGGATGAAGTTCTGGCACTGAGGCCTCACAGTTCTGACCATTAAAATCAAAACAAGCCAGGACCTAACACGGAAGCAACTTCAGCCACTGGAACTGGGTAGAATTCTGTTCCTGCGCTTCTCCGTCCTCCTAAGACCATCCCCGTTTCCATGAGGAAGAGAGGGCTGTATGGCTAGTCGGACCCATGGAGAGAAAGGCAGCTTCAAACTATGAGTGGGGTCCTGCAATGCAAGCAGAGCCAGGCCCAGACAGAGCTCTGATTTGGCTTGTGCGGTGGGTGAGTCTAACCTCAAATACCTGCAGAGAGGAAGTGATAGCTTTACCCTGAAATGGATGTGCTTACCATACTGTCACTGTGGTTAGCTGATGACACTCAGGCATCAGCTAACAGAGGGCGAAATCAGTCTGGGAATGACACTGACCACCAAAGTGAAGATCTCTAAACATCTTTGGTTTTCCCTACCAAAAATGTGTACAAAGAACAAACACTTCAAGTGGCACTTCTCAGAGTTCAACTTGTCTTAATTCTCTTAGGACAACCAGATCCTTCCTAACGAACCTCAGTTTTACTTAAGAGTCAATGAAAAATCAATTCAGTTGCCAAAGCAAGTGGACCTGCAAAGAACTTCCATCCATTTAGGCTCCTGACTTTTGACCTCCCGAGTTGAGAATAGAGCTGAACTGGAAGTGAATGCGACATAATTAGGCAGCCTACGCACTAGTGGAGCTGCGGAGGAGGACTGCTTGGCATTCTGAGCGTGACAGGAATGAGGATTTAAGACACAGCTTTGGGCGGGGGAAGCCTTGAGAAGTTCTCCAAATGGGTGTTCCCTGTCGGGATGCCTAGGGGCTTCCTTAACATTCACGCTAGAGGAGTCAGAATAGCTGGACTGCTGCCCCCGAATGCCTAAGAATGCTGCACAAAGTATTTAAAACATAAAAGCATTCTAATTCCGGATTTTGGGTTCCCAGCTCAGCCACAGTGAGCCTGCATGTAAACTGTGAGGTGCCCTATTATAGACTTAAGGCAGTAATGTATTCACGTTAATTTCTTGGTGTTGATGGTTCTAGTTTGGTTATATAGAATTTCTTTGTCTAAATACTAAGTTATTTAGGGGTGATAAGGCATCAGGTCAGCAAAATTAATCTCAAGTGGTTCAAGGGAAAAAGTGACGTATCCTGTACTTCCCACTTCTCTGTAAGTTTACAGTTGTTAAAAAAATGAATTTAAAAAATACCTTCTATATTGGCTCAGATCAAACGGGTCGCCTAAGAAGGCCTTGGACTCAAATAGTCCAAACCCACTAGCCATTGCAGGCCTGGTCTTTATGTCCTTCCAGGGGTTAGAGTGACATCAGTTGTGGTCACTCGTCTGGTTGCAAGGCCCAGCATTGCCACAAAACAGGACAGGGATTCTGGTCCTGATTCCGTCACTATTAGATCTATATTACCATGAACAAGTCTTCTCAGCTCTCCGAGCCTGTGCTGTATAAAATTAGAGTAAGCCCAGCCCTGCTCTTACCCATCTCATGCGGTTAGTATAAAAAATATGACATAATGCGAGGTTTGTAAAACATCAAGCACCTTGTGACGATCTTATCTTTTCATTCTGAAGGTACAGAAGGGGTTCATGTTTGTTAAATGCCCCAAAACTTAAAATTTTAAACCACTTAAAAACTGCAGACTGATTTTAAGACTTTGGTAAATATTGTTTTAAAAATCCTGTAATCCCACCCCCCACCCCCCAAAAACTAATTTTTTAAAAAAAACCCAAATTCCCCGAAAAGTACTTGCTCTGTCCTTAAGAGGATTACGCTGAACTTTTCAACTTTATCCGTTTATCTGGCACTGTCCTGCAACTCGTTTCCTTTTAAAGTCATATTTTTTTTTGTTGCCCACTGCCCTTTGCCTTTTTTATTTTTTTTCTGCAGCACCTGCATTGGGCCTTTTTTGGGTGAAAAACCGTCGTGGTCCAGAACGAAGTGGCTTTGACCTAAAAATTTATTCATCCCTAAGGGGTACCCTTCCCAAGGGGGCTAATAACCCTCAGCGGCTCAGCAGGAACCAAAAACCCACCTCCCGGTGAATCCCCCACCCGGACGCCACAGCGAGACACCTCCCCCAGGCACCGCCCGCCACCGGGCCGCGGGGAGGGGCTACTTCCGGAGCCGCCCGGAAGTTCCCGTGGCTTAGCGACCCCAGGACCCCGAAAGGTGACAAGGCTGCCACCGGGGTGTGAGGGGGCTTTCTTTAGCAGCCCACGGGCCTACCACGTTGCCGCTGGGGGCTCTTCCGCGCTCAGCAGGAGCTTCGCGTTAGCCGCTGGCACTCCCAATTCACCTGCTACCCGGTCCAACTTTCTTAATGAGGACTGCTCCCATTTTTGAGCACCTGTGTCAGGGTCCTTCAGGCGCGTCACGTAATGTAACCCTGAGAATTCCACAGCCTTAGTCACTGATAAGGAAGCCAGACTCAGAGCAGGTATCCCACCTACCGGCTCCCAGAGGCTGGGGAAGGAGCAGCAACCTGAAGCTTTACCCAAAATGCTTTATTTTCCACAATGATTATGAACAAGTGTTTATATAAGCCCAAGTACCTGAGGGGCCAGAGACATCACCTTGCAAAATGGCAGACAGACTCAAGGCCTGAAGGGCAGTGACTGCATCAGAAGTGGATTTGGGGGGTAGGCGCCTGACTCCCACAATCCAGGCTCAGCTTAGTTGGCAGGAGACCTTCCAAATGAGAAACGACAAATGTTTTTGGCCGCTGGGCCGAGCGCACCACGGAGGGAGCTCGAGAGGCGGCGAAAGGCTGGCGGATGACTCCACTCGGGCCTGGCCAAGGCTGGAGTCTCCGCCACTCCAAGCACTGCTCAGAGTGTCAACCCCCGCTCCTTAAACAGCTGCTTTAGAGCCTCTTCCAGCGGCCGGTTTGTTCCCTGAAGGCCCTTCACCACCTGCGCTGCCCACTCGAAGTATTCCTGGACGCGATGTTCGGACCAGCCTGCGTGTAAATGGACAGACAACTGCTCATGGGACGTGCCGGACAGCACTGGATTCTGCCACCTTCCTGGGGGACCTGGTGCAGGGCCACGAGATGACTTCTTGATGGTATGGCCTCTCCTGAAAACTTCCCTTTGGCCCAGCTATGGAATTGTATTTCTGCAAGCAGATAAGTGATCTAGGAGAATTAGTTTGGAGAATTAACCAAAACGCCAGGCTTTTTTTTTTTTTTTTTTAAATCAGGGGAACTGGCCAAACTGGGTCTCCAGAAGGTGGACCCTCCCCTTTCCCTCAGAGCAGGTGGGGGATCCTACCCTCTGGGGTGCAGCGGTTCAGGTCCCTCAGATTGTACAGCTTGTCCGCCAGCTTCACCAGTTTAGCCCCTGGGCTGCTGTGGGGAGCCTGCTCCACTTGCAGCCTCTTTCTCTCCAGCTTGGGCAGAGTCTTGTCATCTGTTACCTCCTCCACCAGACGCCGCACCTGTGCCCCAAAGTGCAGCTCCACCTCATCCAGGGTGGTGTCTGTGTCCTCCACTGTGTCATGGAGCAGGGCTGCCTGGGGACAGGCTTCCACTCAGCCGGTGACGCCAGCCAGGGGTGCCCAGACATGAATGGGGCCCCGGATCCCCACCCCAGCCTCCTGTCAGAGGAGGAGGAAAATTACCTGTAACACCACAATGTCAGTGATTCCCGCCTCGTGGGTCAGGATCCGAGCCACACCTAACGGGGCAAAGCAGGAAGTCAGACCCCAAGGGGGTCCCAGGCACGCGTGCGTGGGTTTTGTAGAGCCACTAACTGGGTGACCTTGGGCAAGTCCTTTACTCTCTCTGGGTGTCAAGCGTCCATAGGGAACAGTCATGCCCACCGCCCGGGATCGTTTGATGCTTAAACACCCACAATGCCTGGCACAAAGCTTGGTGCAGAGTAGGTGCTCAATGAGGTGCACGCCCCCCCGCCCCGACGCCGCTGCGGTTGCTTCCCAGGCTGCGTGCCCACCGATGGGGTGGTTGATGTAGGGGGTCCCTTCGGGGTCCTTTCGCCTCTGCCCACTGTGCTTGCGAGCCGCGAAATCAGCAGCCTCCAGCAGCTGCGCCGCCTCGGAGCCCATCGCGGTGGGGCGGGAGACCGCGCTCCTGAGAGCTCGGGAAGCCCCGGCCGAGCTCCACAGCGCCCCCTGGCCCCGCGGAGGCCCCGAGGATTGTGGAATGAGGTTCAGATGGCAGTTTGAGGGAAGGAGGAAGACAGAAGTAAAAGAGTGGCCCCACAGTGTGCCGAGTGCAGGGCAGGAAGGCACAGATGAATGTTACCGAGGCAGAAGGGCAGTTCACCCAGCCTCAAGGTCAGAGTCAGCCAGCTTCTCCCAGGCGGGACTCCCCCCGCCCCATGAAAATCTCCAACTTGTCAATGCTCTGAAAATTCTCAAAAGTGCCTGAAAAATAATTCTCCCTGTAGGAATGGGCCTTGTTGCCAAGGGCAGGGGACCCTCACTTTTGGGCCCAAAAGACCCTACGGCCTGACCTTCTGGAAATTGGAGCCTATGCCCGGAACTCTGCTGTATTGCTTCAGATTTAGGCTCCTAAGTAGCAGTGATGTTTCCGCAGGAACCGTCTTCTTTGTTCTCAGGGGCTAGGGCAACACTTGCATTTCTTTCTGGTGCGGTAGGGTTCCTGCTGCAGCCCCCACGCCCCTGCTGTGGCCTCTGGGGTCAGGTGTGTTGCCGCTGCTGGTTTGGAAGCATGGCGTTGTCAGGCCTCAGGTAGGCACTAGAATAACACTTAACACCGCTGGCGGGCAGCCTCCAGCCTTCTGGAAAAAGTCCTCAGGGGACAGCAGCTATGAAGTGTCAGGGCTAAGAGGGCCTAGAAACCCTACAGGGGCTTTCCCTGTGACAAGGGATCAGCTAGTTGCTAAGTAAACTCCAGACAGGCAGCTTTTGTGCTTGGCTGGTAGCTGGGGCAGAGGGGGGCCCAGGGGGAAAGTTGATGAAAGGACTCGAGCCCTTGGTTTTCAGCTGGCCCCGGTGGTTGCTGAGACCCAGCGGGTAGGGAGGGACGTTTCCAACGCTTGGACTGAGGCCTCTGGGGCTTGAAATGGAACCCTCGGAATTCCCAGGGCTTCTACGAAAGCCTGAAATTTGAGAGTGGGTGGAGAGAAACCTATCTGGCTCTAAATGCCTGCCTGTTCTTCTCCTGGCTTAATTTCCTTCCCCTCCTTCATTCTGTCCTCCAGTCTCCTCAGCCTTTTCACTACAGCTCAGAAAATCTTAGGCAGCTTGGAGCTGCAGTCTCCTCATTTCCCAACAGCAGGTAGAAACTCTGTCACTTTTAGCTCTTTATAGAGGTCTAAGCCAGAGAACCTTCAGGACGGTGTTCTTAGTGCCCAGAGGCCTTGGGGCTTTGATTGTTACTTCCTCACTGTCTGCAGCCCTGGCTCAGTAGGCAATGTTGGGGTTCCTGGGACCCGGGCAGAGGGGGAGGTAACCGCTCCAGGGCTTCCGGAGGAGGCTCTCCGTGGGGCTGCTGCTGCTCTTCAGCTGGATGGCCCTTGCCCAGCCCACCGCAGTCCCAGGGACAGCATTCTCCTCCATACCCCCACCCTCTTCAGGGCCCTGCTCTCTGGGAAGCTGGTTTGGGAGGAAGGGAGCCTGCCCTTCTGATGACGGCCGATCCCTTTCACTCTCCCGAAGGCATGGAGTAGGCTGTGGGCAGTCCGTGTTTGCCCGTCTCCAGCCCCCTTGCCCCTCAGTATTGCCCCTCCAGTATTGGCTCAGCACCCTCACTTGTGCCAAACCACCCAGGATGCCACAGCAATGGCCACCACTGCTACTACCCTGGTTTCCTCTGTCCTCAGCTCTCTGATCCTCTGAAGGAAGCCTCCTGCTGCCACCTGCAGGCTGCAGGGGGCACCTGATGCACCCGGGCTGAATTTGAGGCCCTACACCTGGTCAACCTGTCTGCTCTTCAGCCTCAGCCCATCCGCAGGTGAGAACTCCCGCCCCGAAGCCGTGGGAACACCGCCAGGGAGTTCCAGGGTCTGGGGCTCTGTTCCTAAATTCCGGGGTGGGAGGCTTGTAGCTTACACACTAGTGGAGAGACAGACCTCAGACAGGAAGTCAACTCCATACATGATTACAAACAGTTCAGTGAAGGGAAAATTCGAGGGGGCGCGAAAGTGGGTAGCAGGGAGCCCTGCGTTCGTTGAGGGGCAAGGGCCAAGACTGACAGGATTTTGTACTTCGTGGATCACACACAGTATAATCGGGGTTTGCAATCCCGAATCTTTCCATGGATGGCTTAAGGGTGCCTGTGAGCCCCCTGAATTCGTGTTTACAGATTCTGCATTTATCCGGGGAGGGGGCGTGAGCTTCCTCTGGACTCTCGGGTGCTCTGTTACCCACAGGCCGCACTGGCGGGGACCAGCATCCCGATACTGCCCTCTCTCCCCCAGAGGCCCGGCCCGCGCAGAGCCTTGGGCCTCTTGCAGGGGGGCTGCTCGCAGCCTTGCGGCTGGCAGACCTCCTGCACTTCCGCCGCTGGTCTTCGGGGGGCGCGCCCCCTGCAGGTCGCGGTGGGAACAGACGAGGCGCGCCCGGGCCCCTCCGCGCCCGCAGGCGGCTGAGCGCCCCGCCCCTTCCCGATCACGCACGCTCGGGCCCCGCCCTGCTCGCCGGTCTCCTACGCAGGCTTGGGGCGGGGCGGCCGAAGGCGGATTTCGGAGCCAGGACTCAGCCCTCCTCGGAGATTTTTTCCTGCGCGCGCCCGGACGCCCCCTCCGCGATGACTGTGAGTGCTCCAGGGACTGACCCCCAACTCCTGTCCACCATCTCTGGGGTGCGTACCTACCTCCCCACCCCCGGCACTATCGGCACTCCGCACCTGCTCTGACCATCCCCAGCCTTCTCCCCCAGTCGCGGGCCAACAAGGGGCTCGTCCGCGACCCCCAGCTCTCGGCTCTGCCCAGAGCCCACCTCTGCGTTTCCACCGCTTCCGTTTACAGGCCAGCTCCGTGGAGCAGCTGCGGAAGGATGGCAACGAGCTGTTCAAATGCGGGGACTACGAGGGCGCCCTGGCGGCCTACACTCAGGCTCTGGGACTGGGAGCCACGGCCGAGGACCAGGCCATCCTGCACCGGAACCTGGCCGCCTGCCACCTCAAGCGGGTGAGGGAGCCCCCTGCCCCTGTCCTGCCGGGTGTGGTTTGCGCATCGCGCCACGCGGGGGCCCTGGCTAGACATTGACCTTCTCAGGCCACGCACACCTGTGGGGTGTCTTGGCCCTCCAGGTGGTAGGGGGCCGGGTGATTCTGGAGACCAATCCTGCTGCCCAGTTAGTGCCCTGAGAAGGAGATGAAAAGTCAGTTAGGCTGCTGTTTTTCCTGTTACAGGAAGATTACAACAAAGCAGAAGCTGAAGCGTCCAAAGGTAGGGCAAGTGCCCGGTGTGGAGCTGAGGGGCTTCTGTGGTGGGCAGGATTCTGGGGCCACTGCACCATCACACTCTCCTTCCCCCCCGAAACACGCCTGCCTTCTTTCCCACTTCCTCGGGCATTTCCTTTTCTGCAGCTGCCTTCACCTTTTCCGAGGCTGAAGTTCTGAGCCCCACATCCGTCCCCCCACCTTCCTCTGGCCCTCAAGATCTTTCCCTACTGCTCTTGCCTGGAGACGGTGGCCGCAAGGGTGCTGACAGAGCTCCCGTTTGTGCTCAGCCATTGAAAAGGACGGTGGGGACGTCAAAGCACTTTACCGGCGGAGCCAAGCCCTGGAGAAGCTGGGCCGCCTCGACCAGGCTGTCCTTGACCTGCAGAGATGTGTGAGCCTGGAGCCCAAGAACAAAGTGTTCCAGGAGGCCCTGCGCAGCATCGGGGGCCAGATTCAGGAGAAGGTATGGGAGTGGCTGAGAGAGCGTGGCAGGGACTGGTGGCAGAGGGACACCAGTAAATGCACCTGGGTCACAGGTGTGCACCCAGGTCTGCAGAGAGGAGGTACTGACGGCACAGGGGCTTTCAGAATGACGTTCCCCCTTACCGGCGGGTCGGGGAAAGCAAACTGAAACAACAGCAAGGTGCTGTTTTTGTCGGTGGGGGTCTGTTTGGCAAACACCTAAAGGGTGTACACTTTGCTGGAAAGAGAGGGGCAGGCACTTGAGTGGTGAGGTGGTGGGCGTGGGCCTGCTCACGGCTGTGGGAGAGCTGTGAGCTGGTGCAGCTAATTAGGAGCGCGTTTCCGCGTAGCTCTTAAAGCTGTAAATGGGCACGTCCTGTGATCAGGCATGTTTACATGTCTCCCCTAGAGAGGAGCCTTGCCCATGTGCACAAGCGGGCATGCGTGTTTATTTCAGTTCTGTTTATCTGAATGGAAAATTGAAGCCTCAGTGCCCAGCCGTGGGAGAACAGCTGAGTAAACTGGGGAGCGTCCTTGCTACAGGCTCCTCCGTTGTAGTTACCGAGACGAGGTAGACCCACGTGCACAGACATGGAAAGCTGAGACTTGTTAATTGAAAAACAGTACCATATAGTAATACATACAGTATGGTGTCATTTACATGAAAATGATTGCCTTACATACACACCCGAGACAGCACTGTATTTTTTCTGTGCAAACACTTGGGTATGTAAATACAAAGAAAAATAATTTAAAAGACACGTATCAAAATGATAACAGCGTGACCCCTGGGGAAAGGAATTAAATTAGGAGAAAAGAATTTGAACGCCATCGTGAACTATAACTGAATTCAAATTAACTAGATCTTTTGGTCTTAAAATGCTGACACAACAGAAGCAAGTAATACGATGGCATATGCCTCATTGCAAGGTTGAGACCCAGAAAAGGAGACTGTTCCTGTCAGGGCCAGCTCTGTTCGATTAGCAGGGTCTGCCCAGAGCCCTGTGCGGGAAGGATGAGGGAGTGGGTTGCTGGGCCTGGTTAGTCCTGTCTGTCGTGGATGCAGGAGCAGGGAGGGTGCAGCACGTGTGAGGCCTGTGCCCCGGCCCGTGCCCAGCACCGTGCTGAGGGAGAGGGCCTGGGACGACCTTGGTTATTCAGATCAGTTTTGAATACTCGACCTACGGGCAGTGTGAGCAGCTGCCTCATGACCCGCAGGCCCCCTTGCCGGATGTGGGGATGCTGCCACAACACAGATGGCACCACGGGGAGTGGGGAGCCTTTGGCTACCAGATGCCTCCCCTTCTGAACGGCACTGCCTTCAGCATGGGCGCCGCCCCTGCTGTCCAAGCGGGAAGTTGCTCAGAGAGGAAAATAGCCTCGGGAAGTTAGGGAGAAGCGGCCAGGCGAGTCTCCTCCTGCCCACGGTAGCTTGGTGCAGGGCCTGCACCCAGACATCCTTGCTGTGCCTCTCAAAGACCGGAGCCAGGCCCTGGGAGGAGCTGCAGAGAACAAAGAGGGAATGTGCCGTCTCTGGCCAAAGCGGGGATTTGTTCTACGCTTTGTTGGTTTGTCATAGGTACGATACATGTCTTCGACGGATGCCAAGGTGGAACAGATGTTCCAGATCCTGTTGGACCCACAGGAGAAAGGCACTGAGAAGAAGCAGAAGGTGAGGGGCCTGGACAGAACGAGAGCTTAGCTTCCGTAGAGCTGCCCGCCCATAGTGCCCTGCCAGTGCCCTGCCTGTGCCCTGCTGATGTTGGCCCCAGAAGCCCCCGTGGACCCGGTCTGCTGCGTGTCGCTCATCAGATCATGCACCTGGGGTCACAGAGCCTGGGTGGGAGCCTGGAGGGCCCTGGGGCCCAAGCGTGAGCCAAGGAGAGGGAACCAGTGTTCATGGGGTTCCTGCTGGCCAGGCCCCGCGCCAGGAGCTGAGTGTTCAGACGTGACTGAGTCACTGACCCTGCCCTTCAGGCTGCCAGGGACTTGGGACCCCGTGTTCCCTAACCATCAGCCCTGAGAGTGGGCTTTCACCTCTACTTAAAAAGAAGGACACTGCAGTTTAGCGTTCAATTTGCAGCCAAGGTCGCTCAGCTGAGCCAGAGTGGCTCAGGGCTTCCTGCCTGTGCAGCCCTGTGTGTGTGTGGTGTCCACATTACCCTGCAGTTCCTTTGACGCAGGCTTCTCAGAACCTGGTGGTGCTGGCCCGGGAGGAGGCTGGGGCTGAGAAGATCTTCCGGAACAATGGGGTCCAGCTCTTGCAGCGCCTGCTGGACACAGGCGAGACCGACCTGATGCTGGCGGCGCTGCGCACGCTGGTCGGCATCTGCTCTGAGCACCAGTCCCGGGTAGGTGGGCCGCAGTGCGTCCATCCGTCCCTCCCTCCACTTGTCCATGCACCTCTCATCTTACTCCAGAGAGTAGAAGGAAGCACATAATAGGAGAGGAAAAAGTGAAGTGGTTCGGACACCACCCACGGGATTTGGGATGAACCAGGGCCAAGAAAGGGCAAAGCCATCCGCTGACAACTGAGCACTTGTTTTGGCGGGGTGGCTTCCGAGTGCGACCTCCCGCAGCTGCTCACGGGGAGGCCTGCTTCCTGACTCACTCTCAGTCCGTGCGCTCATGGCAGGCGTGCTGCAGGGAGCAGGGCGCCTGTCCTTCCCTGGCTCCCACAGGCGTTTTGATGTGGCCAGTGGTGTCACCGCAGCATCTGTGCCATCGAGACACAGATACGAATGGCTTGATGCTAAGATGGCCCTCAGGCTAGACTGTGGTGCCCAGCAGAGATGCTTCAGCAGGAACAACCCAGCCCTGGCTGCTGTGGGGAAGTCCGTGCCCCAGCGCTCACCTGAGCTGGCTGGCCCCGGGGACAGGGGCTTGACCCTTGGCTGCTTTCAGAGGAGCCCAACCAGAGGCTCAGTCCCCCTCTCCCCCCCCCCAGACAGTGGCAGCCCTGAGTGTGCTGGGAACTCGGAGACTGGTCTCCGTCCTGGGCGTGGAAAACCAGGCCGTGTCGCTGGCTGCCTGTCACCTGCTGCAGGTGATGTTCGATGCCCTCAAGGAAGGTGTCAAGAAAGGCTTCCGAGGCAAAGAAGGAGCACTCGTCGTGGGTGAGTGGATGAGGTCTGGGGCCCCTGGGTGGCACTGTCCTGGGTGGGAGGGGGCGGGGCCAGCCAAGGACAAGACTCGCAGGCGCAGGCTTTTCAGGAATAAGGTTTGGTGACAGCGTTTTACTCCAGCTCCTAAGCTGTGGGGAAGCTGGAGCCCAGCCCAGAGCTCAGGGTGCAGATGCCCCTCCCAGTGTCTCTCTGGCCTCTTGGGCAAGTTCAAAGGTCAGACGGGGCTGGGTCACTGTGGAGCCTACTAATGTCGTCTTGTTGCCAGATCCCGCCCGGGAGCTGAAGGTCCTCATCAGTAACCTCTTGGAGCTGCTGACCGAGGTGGGGGTCTCGGGCCAAGGCCGAGACAACGCCCTGACTCTCTTGATTAAAGTGGTGCCCCGGAAGTCTTTGAAGGACCCCAACAACAGCCTCACCCTCTGGGTCATTGATCAAGGTAGGGACAGTGCTTTAGAAAGAGAAAGAGACTGGGCGTACGTGTTGCATCTTGCTTGGGGGGCTGGGCCCACTCATCCCCAGGGGCGGTTGGGTCCGTCTAGCGCTCATACCGGGACCCCTCGGTGTGGACATGTGCATGTGCCTGCGTGTGGAGCAGGTCAGCGGGAGGCTGGGTCCGCTTTCCATACCTGATGGTGTGCAGTGAGTGAGTATTGCTTCTGTTCGCAGGGAAAAATAGTAAAGTGTAACATAGGGGTTCACACTGGTCTTTCCCCCTAAAGGGTAAGGGAGGAAGGCGTGGCCAAAGCCCCCGTGTGGGCACCTACTGGGTGCTCACCTTCCTGTGTCACCGCAGTAATCCTGTGATGTGGGGGTGGTATTTTCCCCTGTTTTACACACATGAGGCACCTCAAAGCCCCAGAGCATTTGGTCCCACGAGCGGGGCCTCACGCAGACCTCCGTTGGCCATGGGTCAGCAGCCAGACCCCGAGCCCGCCCTGCCCGCCACTGTCTGCGCCCGGTGGCCTTTCCAGCGTGGTCCTGCTCTCCTGGGGGCTACCAGAAACCTCTGCCCTCGGCCTGTCGGGGCCAGACTTGGTGTTTTGCTTCTAAGTAGGGTGTCTTTTTCAGGTTTGAAAAAGATCCTGGAGGTGGGGGGCTCCCTGCAGGAGCCTCCCGGGGAGCTCACAGTGACAGCAAATAGCCGCATGAGCGCCTCCACCCTCCTCAGCAAGCTCTTCGATGACCTCAAGTGTGACGCCGAGAGGGAGAACTTCCACCGCCTCTGCGAAAACCACATCAGGCACGTGGGCCGGCCCGTCCGCTGCCAGCTCCCGGGTCGGGGGGGTGGGTGGTGGGAGGACCCTGCAGGGCCCGGCGCCCCCGCCCACCCCTCTTCCCACAGTGCCCTCCCCAGGGGCCCTCTGTCCCAGTTCTCAGTGGCGCCCCATCCAGCCCAGGCTCTGCACGGAGCGCTGGCTGTGTCTCTGAGCGTAGCAGTGTGGCTTGCCTGTCGTCTGGTGACAGCCCAACTCGTGAGGCGTTTCCAGCCGGGAGGGTGCGGGTGACAAATTATGAAATGAGAAGGATGATTTCCAACCTTATTAAGTGCAAAATGGGGCACACGGGGTGGTGTGTCGTCGGGAGGCTCGGAGGAAAGCCGAGGGCAGGGACGGCGTCCGGGAAACGGCCTTGGCGTTCCCTGGGCCGCTGTTCCTGCCTGGGGAGGCAGGTGCCTGGCCGTGGGCAGGGAGGAGGGTCCCTTTGTGCTGGCCTTGGTGTGACAGCTGTCACCCTGTGCTCCTCAGGAGCTGGTTTGAGGGCCACGGCCTGACCGGGAAGCTGCGGGCCATCCAGACGGTGTCCTGCCTCCTGCAGGGCCCGTGTGACGCCGGCAACCGGGCCCTGGAGCTGAGCGGCGTCATGGAGAGCGTGATCGCCCTGTGTGCCTCCGAGCGGGAGGAGGAGCAGCTGGTGGCCGTGGAGGCGCTGATCCACGCGGCCGGCAAGGCCAAGCGGGCCTCCTTCATCACAGCCAATGGTGTGTCGCTGCTGAAGGACTTGTACAAGCGCAGCGAGAAGGACAGCATCCGCATCCGGGCGCTGGTGGTGAGCTGGGTGGGCTGAGGCCGGGCGCACCAGGGACCCGGGCCGGCTGGTGTCCGCCCCAGCACATGCTGCCAGGGGTGGGGCCCTGTCAGGGTCAAGTCAGAGAGGGGAGCCCCGTCCGGAGAGGACACCCGAGAACGCAGGCTGCACTCACCACCCCCTGGAGGTGCTGGGAGAAGCTCCAGGAGGAGGTGATGCATTTGGAGGACAGGCTGGGACAGGCTGGTCAGAAGGGCCTTAGGGAAAGGCAGGGCCCGCAGGCGGCTGCAGGAGCTGGAGGTGGGGGTCCGTCTGGCCTGCGTGAGCCTCTTGGGGGGACTGGTCCGCCCCCTGGGGCACTTGGTCCTGGGCTTCTTCATCCCTTAAGGATCTTGGCCTCGGCCGAGGCACCTGTCTTGTCCCTGCACACGGCCTAGTTCCACCTATGAAGAGTCTTATTATTTTTTGACATGCAAAGGGACAGCAAATCCCAGGACAGCACAGTGGTCCGTGTGCCAGCAGTCTCTTTAACTCCGTGCTGTGTCATGTGGCCACCCCAGTGTTACATTTTGCTACAAATGTGCCATGCGGCAGCCTGGAAGAGCGCCAGGGAGGGAGCCCACACCAGGTGTGCAGCCCGGCTCTGCCTCATCCCCAGTGGCCAACCGCTGGCTCTTGCTGTTGCTTCCAGGGACTCTGCAAGCTCGGCTCAGCCGGAGGGACCGACTTCAGTATGAAGCAGTTTGCTGAGGGTTCGACTCTCAAACTGGCCAAGCAGTGTCGGAAGTGAGTTGCTGGCGTTGCCCCGGCTCCCTGCCTCTTGGCTTGACCTCAGGAAAGTAGGGTCCAGAGCGGGGCGGGGTCTCCCCACTGCCCCTTTCTCCCCCAGGCAGACCCTCCTGGTTCTGTCACGCGAATGGGTTCCCTGTTTAGAGTGGATCAAGTACCTGGCGTTCCTCCTTGGCCCTGGCCTGCCCCTTCTCGGCCCCACCTGAGGGCTGTCTGCTCCCCTCCTTGTCCCCAGGTGGCTGTGCAATGACCAGATCGATGCGGGCACTCGGCGCTGGGCAGTGGAGGGCCTGGCCTATCTCACCTTTGATGCCGACGTGAAGGAGGAGTTCGTGGAGGATGAGGCCGCCCTGAAGGCTCTGTTCCAGCTCAGCCAGGTATCTCCACGGGTGTGCAGCCGACTAGAGCCCCCCAGCTTCCCTGGCAGGCCCTGGCCAACAGCGTTCAGGCCCCAGGGAGGGAGGGCTGGTAGCCTGAGTGGCCACATTGTGTGACGCGGACATACTGGCCCACACCAGTAGTGTCGGAAAGGGCAATCCCTCTGGAGGAGTTGGGGGTCAAGTGTCTGAGCTCTTGAAGTTTGGGGCCAGCCTGGGGACTGGGGGTGTTCCCAGACACATCCGGTGCATAGGAGGCCCAGCCAAGGGCAGAACTGGGGGCCGGGCCCAGGTTGCATTGATTTCAGTGCTGCTGTGCCCATCTTTGCCCCCGGCAGTCCGAGGAGAGGTCGGTGCTCTTTGCGGTGGCCTCAGCGCTGGTGAACTGCACCAACAGCTACGACTATGAGGAGCCCGACCCCAAGATGGTGGAGCTGGCCAAGTACGCCAAGCAGCACGTGCCCGAGCAGCACCCCAAGGTGAGGGGCTTGGGCGTTTCCGTATCATGGTGGCCCGTTGATCTTGGGCATCCAGTAGGCAGGTCTTTCCTTCCCTTTGTTTTCATGTTTATCATTTTGTGCTGTGAGGGGTCCCCTTTCCCTGTCTAGTGAGCTAAGCTGCCTCCTTCCCTAGGACAAACCGAGTTTCGTGCGGGCGCGGGTAAAGAAACTGCTGGCAGCGGGCGTGGTGTCAGCCATGACCTGCATGGTGAAGACCGAGAGCCCCGTGCTGACAAGTTCCTGCAGAGAGCTGCTGTCCAGGTGAGCCCGCGTCCCAGCCGAGGGAGCAGGTCCCGGTGCTGTGGGCCTCGTGGAGCAGGGGCTGCACGTGGCTGCCTTCCTTTCCTGCGCCCAGAAGTGGAATGGCTGCCACCAGAGCCCCGGGCCCACCCACCGCCCCCGCCTTCTCCCCACAGGGTCTTCCTGGCTTTGGTGGAAGAGGTGGAGGACCGCGGCACTGTGGTCGCTCAGGGAGGCGGCAAGGTGAGCTGGGTTACACTCCTTCTCCGTCTCTGAAGCACAGCTTGGGGGCTAGATGTGGAACGGAAAAGCACTCTTCGTGGCCAGGAAGGTTGTCTTCCTGCTGCGTGAGTGGTGCTGAGCGGGGCGGGTTCCTCCTGTTCAGGTTGCGTTTTCCTCCTCTCCTTGTGTCTTTGACCTCTGTAGCCCGGTGCCCAGCACAGCCGATGTCTAGCCCTTACATGGTGTTTCAGGAAGTGTTTGGGTAGCTTCATGGGAGACTTCAGAGAGGGAATGAGGGTCCAAAGGTCCGAGTCCCCCGATCTGCAAGTCGGGGGTGAGGAGGTCGGCAAGGGCGGCACGGTCAGGGCCTGGCGGCGTAGGCCTTATGCTCCCGGCACACCCGGATCCCTGAAGGGCTTGTCCCCGCAGGCCCTGCTCCCGCTGGCCCTGGAAGGCACTGACGTGGGGCAGACAAAGGCGGCCCAGGCCCTCGCCAAGCTCACCATCACCTCCAACCCAGAGATGACGTTTCCTGGAGAGCGGGTACGTGGCGTGTCTCCCTGCCCCAGCCCAACCTCTCCTCCACCCTCTTCCTGGGCCCTGAGGGCCTCTGGATGGGGAGGGCAACTTTCTGTCAGGGGTGGACCGCCACCTACAGGGCCGGTGGCGGCTGGGGCCTGCGGCCCTGACAGGCGGGGTGCATGTCACAGATCTATGAGGTGGTCCGGCCCCTCGTCTCCCTCTTGCATCTCAACTGCTCCGGCCTGCAGAACTTCGAGGCGCTCATGGCTCTCACGAACCTGGCAGGCATCAGTGAGAGACTCCGGTAAGATGCCTTGGGAGGTGGGGCCTGGGCGGGGTTTCAGGGTTTAGATTATCCCCAGTGAAGTACTTTACAGCCTGGAAAGCAGTCTTTGGTCATTGCTCTGTTTGAGATCCCTCTTTGTCGTACACCTGGGGGGACAGTTCCATGAGGACAAGGCCCTCGGCCGTTAGAGTGCACGCCCACAGTCAGACTGCCTGGATTTGGATCCTGACTTCTCCGGTTACCAGTGTATAACCTCAAGCCAGTTCCTTAATCTCACCGTGCCTCACTTTCCCCCTCTGTGAAAAGGATTTGTGGCGAGAATTAAGTGAGAAAATACATGTAAAAGCACTTAGTACGAAGGTGCCTGGCTCCCAGCGATGTGCCCAGTCAGTACCTATTAGGGGCCATAACTAAATGGGACTGTGGCTGCGTGAATCACTCCGCAGCCTTGGCGGCCTCTTCTGCAGAGTAGCCACGATAGTCACACCTGCCCCTTCAGCCTGGGCCGGGGGGCGTGAAGTCAGCCAGCCTGCGGGCTGGGTCAGGTAAGCGCTCAGGCGCCGAGCGTCGCGTCACCGCCACCCTCGTCTCCTCACTCCTAGCCCAGGGGGTTTCTGTGGCCCCGTGTCATCCCCCGGGCGTGCCTGGGAGGCCGGAAAGCCCTGCAGTTCACACCTGGCACAGGAGGGTCCTTGGACACTGCCCAGGGCTGGTGGGGGCTGACGGCGCACCACCCCCACCCCTGGCTCCGCAGGCAGAAGATCCTGAAGGAGAAGGCCGTGCCCATGATCGAGGGCTACATGTTTGAGGACCACGAGATGATCCGCCGGGCAGCCACGGAGTGCATGTGCAACCTGGCCATGAGCAAGGAGGTGAGGGTTGATCCAGGCAGTGCCGTGGGCCGGCAGGTTGGGTGGGCCTTGCCCCAGCGGACCTGGCCGCCCTTGTCTGGCCCCAGGTGCAGGACCTCTTTGAAGCCGAGGGCAATGACCGGCTGAAGCTGCTGGTGCTGTACAGCGGGGAGGACGACGAGCTGCTGCGGCGGGCGGCCGCCGGGGGCCTGGCCATGCTCACCTCCATGCGGCCCTCTCTGTGCCACCGCCTCCCCCACGTGGTCAGTGCCTCTTCTCTGGGGGGGGGGGGCGGGGGGGGCGGGCGGTGGGCCGTGGGCCAGGGCAGGCTGGTGTGGCCCCTGCGGGGTTCAGCCTGCGGCCGTGTTCACACCGCCCCGTTTCCTGCAGACCACGCACTGGCTAGAGATCCTGCAGGCTCTGCTGCTCAGCCCCAACCAGGAGCTGCAGCACCGGGGCACCGTGGTGGTGCTGAACATGGTGGAGGCCTCGCGGGAGACCGCCAGCGCCCTGATGGAGAGCGAGGTGCTGGAGATCCTGTCGGTGCTGGCCAAGGGCGAGGAGGGCCCTGTCAGGAGGGCGGCGGCCGCCTGCCTGGGGAAAGCGGTGGAATACGGGCTCATCAAGCCCAACCGGGACGGAGAGTGAGGGGCTGTCGCACGCACGCGGCGCGTCGCAGCTCGGGATGAGGAGCGCGGGCTGGGCTGTCAGGGGTGGGGCTGCCGCGCTGGCCTGGCCTCCGCTGCTGCCCTTTGATGTCCTGTGTCCCGAGCCGGGGGTCACGCTCACCACAGGCCTGCTCCGCCAGCGCTGCCTGCAGCCGCACGCTCCAGGGCTCTGCCCGCGCCACTGCAGACGGCGGGGAGTGGGGGGCGCCCCTCACGCAGCCCAGGCGGGGAAGGGCACGTCCAGCAGCCGCACCAGCAGCGAGCGTCACCCGAGCCTGCTAGCGGCACCGCTCCCGACCCTGTAATAATAAAGTGTGTGGAACTCAGCTGTGTGCCCCGTCCGTGGCCTGCAGGAAGGCTGGCCGTGGGTCAGCCCCGGGAGCGGGAGCCGGCCCCCGCGCACAGCGGCGCCGCCTCTGCCGAGGACTCCCGCGGACTCCCCGCGTCGGGCAGTGTCGCTGCTCAGTCCCTTTGGAGGCTCAGGGGTTAAGCCTAGGAAGCTAATCGTGCGGTTTGGGGTACAGACTCCTAGATGCTGGCCCCTCAGTACTGTGTATTGAACGTCTCAGTGACCACTCGGGCGGCGCTGCGACTCGGGGTGGGTGTGTCACCGGGCCAGCGGCTCCTCGGTACCTACGCCGCGTGGGGAGCGAAGCCTGGGGTGACCCGACTTCCCGCTTCCGCTGGGCGGGCCGAGCCAGCTCCCGGAACTCGTTGGCTGGAAGGAAGGAATGGCAGTTCCCGAGCCAATGGGAGGGGAGGCCGCCGCGGCTGCTTCCGGTGGGGCAGCGGTCCGGCAAGTCGAGGCAGGGTGGTGCGGGCCGCGGGCCTGTGGGGTCGCTGCTCGGCCCCCCTTTACCTCGGCTCCCCAGGGAGGGGCCCGCAGAGTCCGGAACCCTCTGGTTCCCCTCTGCCGCGGACCCACGCCCGACGAGGGTTTGTTCACGGACCACCAGGGGCCGCAGCGGCACCGCGTCGGCCTCGGCACCCGCTCCGCGGAACCCAGACTGGACCGCCTGCCGTGCCGCCGCGGGGACCGCGGTACCGAGGTGAGCCCCGCCCTCCTGCCGCCGGTCCCTCCCTCGCCAGCGATTGGCCCCGGGCGGCTGCGGCAGCCAATGGGCGCCTCACCCAAGGCGCCAACTTTCCCATCTGTCCCGCCGGGCGCGAGACTCCCCTCCTGGGAGGTGTCTGAGGGGGCGGGGGGCACGGGGTCAAGATCAAAGTCAGTGACCTTGAGTTGGGATTGCACACAGAAGGGCTTAGGAATCCAGGTCCAGACAAGCTTTGTTCCTGATTTCAGAGGCTTGAACGTGCCCGTGGGACTCTGACCCGGCTGCACACGCTGCGCTGGGAAAGCGGTGTTGCTGCTGTAACCTCTAGAGTGTCTCTGTTCCCCATTAGTGTGTGAGTCGTCAGGGCGGGCAGCCGTCCTCTTCCGCCCGAAGTGAAGGGTCAGTAAATGCTTGCGGAATGGATAAATGACTAGATGGGGTCCAGTTGAAAACCCACAGATACCCACGGTCATTTTTATCAACTCGAAGTACTGGCTGTAGGGAGCTCGTACCATGTGCTTATGATGGCAGGTGCCAGCCCTTGAACCTTTTACGTGCGTCTATTCCGAACAATTCCACAAGATGGGTACGGACACCCCCCTCCCCTCCTTCCACCTTTGTAAAACTGAAGAAACTGCCGTGAAATTAAGTGAGTTAGGTAAGGACCGAAGGCCCCGTCAGCTGCAGAAACAAACGTGAGCCGGAGGACAGGGAAACCGCCCCACTCGGGACAGCCCCGGATTCTCCTGAGTCTGGAAGGGCTTTAGCCAAGGCTCCCGCTCAGCGAACGTTGTGGAAGGATATCGCTGGGCTTTCTGGTTAAGAGGGTGGTACTTTCCCCATCTTACAGGCGAGGCGGCCGTACTGTTGGGTTCCAGCCCCGTCGCGCGCCCCGCCGGGAGGCGGCCGGCAGAGAGCGCTGCGAGGGCATGGCCGCGGAGCGCCGCGGCTCCTGGTTCGGCTTCGGTTTCTGCGGCTTCGGGCAGGCGCTGGGCGCGGGCCACGGGCGGCAGGTGCACAGCCCCGAGCCGCTGTGCGCGCCGAGCGCGGGCGCAGACGTCTGCGGCGTGAGCGCCAGCTGGAGCTACACCGCGTTCTTGTGCCGTGAGTGCCGCCCCCTCCCAGCCCCGCCCCCGGCCACGTGTCCCCGCCTCCTGCTCAGCTGGCTCCCGGCTCCCTCAGGTGCCGGCCAGGTGCAGCTGTCCGGCTCAGTTGGTGGCACGGCAGACGGCTGCCGAGACGCGTGGGCCTCAGAGACGCTCCTCGTGGTGCTGCGCGACGGGCGGGGACCTGGGCCTGGGGCCGAGCTGCAGGCTTGGGCGCCCGGCTCGGCGCTGCGCGGGGAGCCCCTCTGGACCCAGACCGTGGTGTCGGAGGCCCAGCGGGAAGACCGAACGGGCGACGATACCCGTGCCCGGCCGCTGCCCCTGCTGCCCGGCGCCCGCGCCTACGTGAGCCCGCTGCCTCCCCTGTACCGGCCTCTGGCCCCGGAGCTGCGGGCGCGTCGGTTGGCGCTGGGCACAGAGCACGTGTTGCTGCTGGATGAGGCTGGCCAGGTGTACTCCTGGGGTGGGGGCAGGTGAGTGCGACTGCGGGAGGGACAGGAAGACACGCTGATGTGACTGGGACCGACCACGGGTTCCCTCGCTCAGGCATGGACAGCTGGGCCACGGGACTCTGGAGGCGGAGCGGGAGCCCCGGCTGTTGGAGGCGCTGCAGGGCCTGCGCATGGCTGAGGTGGCCGCCGGTGGCTGGCACTCCGTGTGTGTGAGCGGTGAGTGGCAGGTGCTTCTCCAAAGAAGCTCGGGTCTTGTAGGCTCCAAACCCTCCTCCTCTTCCAGTTCTGGTAGGTGTCTAGGTGGCCATGACCCGTGGTGCACAGTGGACACCCTGCTGGTGGGTAACCTGAGACCAGGGTGAGGAACTTCACTTTGAATTGTGAGCCTGGCAGGCAACCCAGGCGCCTGTGATTCCCGGCTCCGAGCCGGTGATTCTCAAGGATCTGCACCTGGGCCTCTGGCTGCTGCTTAGGTCCCTGGCGGCTGTTAAAACTACCTACGCACAGCGCTGCTCCTCCCCCCATGGAATGGGCAGACAGGCTGAAGAACGACAGGGCTGCGGGGCAGAGAGAAGACGGTGGAAACAGCCCAGTTAGCAAGCCCCACACTTAGGGTCTGGAAAGAATTTGAGGCCTTAAGTTTGGTGTCGTGGCTGGAGCCCAGATGCCTCAAACCCGACTTCCCAGGTTCAGATCGGCACCGTGCGCCTTGCGAGCTTGGGCAGAGCACTTATCCTCTCTATGCCTCAAGTTTTCTTGGGACTAAAACTGGAACATTGTAAAATGGGTCATGTTTGAGAGGTGCTTAAAACACTGGCACAGATGAAAACAGTTGATGATGATTAGCTGTTACTGTTAGTGAATTTTTAGCGTTGTAGCCATTGCTCCAACAGCGAACTGTAGTGCAGTGGAGGCGAGAAAGGTGGGCGCTTCAGGATGAGGCCTCCTTCCACGGGACCAGGGGCGGATGGGGCTGAAGAAGCGGGCAGGGCTCGGGGTCTGAGTGGAGACCACGGGAGGACTTCCAGGGACACACTTCCGAAGTGTGTGCGTGCGTGTGTGTGGTGGGAGCGGGGAGGGCAATTTAGCAACAAAGGGCAAAGGAGAGGAAAGCCCAGCAAGAGACTTCCTGTAAAGACAAAGGAGCCCTGGCTGGCGATCCTCAGTGGATGGAACACTGGCCTGTGAACCAAAGGGCCGCAGGTTCGATTCGCAGTCAGGGTACCTACCTGGGTTGGGGGCAAAGTCCCCAGCAGGGGGCACATGAGAGGGAACCACACATTGGTTTCTCTCCCTCTCTTTCTCCCCCGCCCCCTCACCTCTAAAAATAAAAAGTTTAAAAATGTTAAAAAAAAAAAAAGACCAGGGTGACCCAAAGGCACTTTAGGGGGAAGAGCACTTGGTAAGACAAGGACGCTGCTGGGTGCTGGGGGAGGCACTCTGTCCCCAGAGCGCTGACTTGGGCAGGACTGGCTTCAGTTGCCCAGGGTGCTAGTGGGGTGTAGGGGAGTTTGGAGACATGCAAGGGGCTTAGGAGTGGAGGGGTCACAGTCTGTTTACTGGGCCTCCTTTATGTCTCTTTCAGAGACGGGGGACATTTATATCTGGGGCTGGAATGAATCAGGGCAGCTGGCCCTGCCCGCCAGGAGCCTGGCCGGGGACAGCCAGCCCGCCCCAGGGCAAGGTGAGTCTCTACTCTTGACTTTCACACTTCTCCTTCCTGACTTCGGGCTGTAGCTTGGCCTGAGAGCTTACAGTGCTTAGAAGGGACATGTGACATTCTTGGGACCCCAGGACACACCACAGGAGCCCCTTCCGGGAGGGAGCGCGGCAGGGCCGATGCCCACACACCTGTCCACTCCAGCGCTTCCCGGGGACGGAGAGGTTGGGAGCAACATTTCGGGAGGCGGAGGGGATTGTCCTTCACAGAGCCGTTGTGTCAGTCCGCGTGTCAGGCTCGGGGAGCATGCGTCATTGTTACCGACACTCTTACTGCTTCTCTGAAGCCACAGGACGGAGTGAACCTGGTTCTGACGCGACAGGTGCCGCCGGGGCCGAGGGTGGAGCCCCTGCCCCTTTCATCGCCGTGCAGCCCTTCCCCGCGTTGCTGGATCTCCCCCTGGGTTCGGAGGCGGTCAAGGCCAGCTGCGGGTCCCGGCACACAGCCGTGGTGACCAGTGAGTGGGGCTGGGGTGGGTCCGGGATGGAGCAGGCAGTCTGCCGCTCAGTGGTGGGTGGCTGCTGCAGGCCTGGGACGTCCGTGTCTGGGATGTCAGCCGGGTAGCTGCCTCGCCCAGAAACAGGGCCCCATCCTCCCTGTGTCCCAGCAGCCGTCGGGCCCCAAAGGGACTTCTGGAGGCGGGCCAGCGCGGCCCAGCCTCTGCACAGGCACCGCCGTGTCCCGGGCCAGGCCCCTCCTCCAACAGCGAGCCTGTCCTGTCCAGCTGCTAAGACTCTTGAACTTAGTAGCTGTGAGATGCAGCTGGCAGATGGGAAGGCGACCTTTTCGAGCCTGGACCCGTTACCACCCCAGATGTGGTCGGACAGTTGTCAGAAAGAGACAGAGGGACGGTTGAGCTCTGCCAGGCAATTCACACGGTTTGCAGGTTGCGGGCCCTGGCTCAGGGCCAGCCACGCCCGACAGCAGCCTTGTCGGACAGTCGTGACGGCCCCTTGCTGTCCTTTTGGTTGCAGGAACCGGGGAGCTGTACACCTGGGGCTGGGGTAAGTCCCAGCCTCGCCTCTGGGAGGCCGAAACCAGGGGCAGGAAAGCCCGGGGAGGGCAGGGCAGGGCAGGTGACGGAGCCACGATGACCCATGGGAGGACCAAAGAGCTGCGTGTTCTCTCCCTTCTCTAGAACAGATCTAGGCACACTCAGGTCCCATATACCTTTCTGAAGAACAGTTTGTCTTAAGGGAATATCCAGCCGGCATTGATGAAACACCTTTTGGTGTGGCACAGGGTAGAGAAAAAAACAAAAATCCCTGGGGTGATCGTCTGGGCCTAGGAACGGGGAGCCCGAGAGGCTGCTTGTCTGGAGTGACTGGTGGCTGCCCCCTCTGGCATCCCCGCGGACTCGCCTGGCCTGGAGGTCCCAGCAGACCCTGCAGCGTGGCGGTGGCTTAAGCCCAGCACAGGGGTAGTTGTCCTGCCTGGAGGGGACAAGGCCCGGGGTCCAGGGGAAGGAGGGCTGAGGGCCCGCTTTCGCTCTAGGTAAATACGGCCAGCTCGGCCACAAGGACACCACCAGCTGGGATCGACCCTGCCGCGTGGAGTACTTTGTCGATCAGCAACTCCAAGTAACGGCCGTGAGCTGCGGGCCCTGGAACACCTACGTGTATGCTGTGGGGAGGGCGAAGAGCGGAGGTGTATGGACAAAGGCATGAAGCATGTGCAGTGTAGTAAAAATTTGTAAAGGTAACTAACACCTGTGAAACTCCCACCTGTTCAAGAAACACCGTTACCAAGCCCCCTAAAGGCCCTGTGTTGGCCCCTCCCCCCTCCCGACTTTGGATAATTTTTTCTTTTAAAGATTTTATTTATATTTAGAGAGGGGAAGGGAGGGAGAAAGAGAAACAGCAATGTGTGGTTGCCTCTCATGCACCCCCTACTGGGGACCTGGCCCACGAGCCAGGCCGGTGCCCTGACTGGGAATCGAACCGGCGACTTGTCGGTTCACAGGCTGGTGCTCAAGCCACTGAGTGACAGCAGCCAGGGCAGATTTTGTCTGCTTCTGTGTGGCTTCTGCGAGTCCTCTAATATCAGGTCACTACTCCACTTCTCTAGGAGATCACTTCCTACGTTACAGGAATGTCTAGTATATTGTACACCTGTAACAATTTTCAATGTCAAGTATAATTGAAACACACAATTTAAATAAATATACATTTAAAAAAACTTTATAAACTCATTTTAAAATACAAGTCATAAACTATTTATTTTTAAAATAAAGTCAGTTTCCTTCTGTAAGACCTAGTCATCTATTTGTGAGAAATACCAATGAAGCCACAAGTTTCGTAATGTTAACTCACCTCTTTATACATCAAGACTTAGGCCTTTGTTTCCTCTCAAAATCTTTTTTATCGTATTTACAGATGATCTTCATTTATTTACACATGTACAAAACAACATAAAAAATTCACACTCCCAAGCAGAAATTTACCTTTACTAATAGACCAAACCAAAACCTTATTTGGGAAAATTTGAAGACAACAGGCTTTGTTTTTTAACGTACATACACACATTTTAATTTATTCTTAACAATATATTTATAGTTAAAAAACAGGACATGTACACAGGACTGACCAGCGGGTGCGTGTGCAGGCCGAGCCGCCCCAGCGGCCGGGAGCCGTGTAGTGCCAGCGGCAGCACAGGCGGAGCAGGAATAAATAAGAGTGCTTCCGGGGGAGCGTAGTGACCGACAGGGTAGTAAAGAAGGGGCCCCGCTGTGTACGCCACAGTGCGAACAGCCCCCAGGACTGACGTGTGCAAAGTTCTGGGTCTCCCCAACAGCCTCCACACCTGACCGCCAGCTGCAGGGGGTGGGCACATGCAGGCATAGTGAGCCCAGGTAATTGGGGTGGGGGGTGCGTGTTAGACACAGAGAAAACTAAAGAACTCAAGTTCAGACAAGCATGTATGTCTGCACCCTGTACGGTAACCGTACACAAAGGAGCCACTGCCCTGCCCTCCCTGACGCACAGACACTGTCGCCAGGAGGAAGGCTGTCCTGCGTGCTGTGGACAGGCCCCTGGGCGAGGGCGAAGCCATCTTAGCTACAGGGCTGCTAGGAAACCCCGAACAGACGTTACACTGCTAACTGCGTGTGCACGGCTGGAAGCACTTCAGGTCCCACCTCGCCCCCGCGGGGCAGGCGGAGCCATCGTTTTCTCACTTGCTGGTGACACACGAGCCCTCGGGTCGTGCTTCACCTGTGCAGCGATGGGGACAGGAAAGTTAGGCCCATGTGCTAAAGTCTGTACTTGGTGCTGTGAGCTAACTTCTAATGTATTTCTTGAGCCAAAACTGTGTGTGAGGACCTGCTAAGCCTAGGAGGGCCTTCCATCTGCAAGAAAGGCAGGCCCGTGGCCACGGCACCTACCCAGGGTCGGAAGCACACCTGCAGTGAAGAGAACCAAAGCCACCCCAGCACAGGAGGTCCAGTCTAGGCACAGGAAGCCATGGCGGGCGGGCGGGCGGGCAGATCAGGGCTTCTCAGGAATGGAGGTTGGTTGAATTGAGGATTCGAGAAGTGGCATCAGATCTGGAGGCCTTTGAAAGTTCTCGCTGTTGGAAAAACAAACAGTCAGTGGCTAACGCTCCCCTCCAGCGCACCCCCTGCCCCGCCCACACAAGCACACAAGCCCGGGGCAAGTGTCAGCCTGCGGCTGAGGGCGGCCACCCTGACTAGGAGGTGCCCAACGCAGCTGCGCTGGAACAGACAGTGAGGCACCCTGGGCACCGTCCTTTTAGTCTCCGGTGAAGCAGGTGCACGCTGACCCTTGACCCCTCTCAGCCAGTCCGTTTTGTTAGAACCCCACAGTAAACCCCTTATCTGTCACAAAGTAGTGCAAGTTGTCAAGGTAGGTGGGCAACAAGCTTTGGTCTTTGAGCCGTTAATAGAACAACGGGCCAGACCACACGTCTACCAATCCCTGGGGCTGAGGGCCTTGTACCTGCTGGTGATGTGATCTCATGCCGGAGCACATGGCACAGAGGGCGGGGGCCCGCGTGGACGGCCAGAGAAGGACAGGTGTTAGCAGAGGTTAGTCACTGGCTTCAGGGCTGCCTGGTGGGCCTGCCACCCACAGCCACCAAAACCACATGAACCCCTTCGCAGGCTTCCCCACGGAGGCACGCAGACATTTAAGCTCCAAGCGGATGAAATGGGGCTTGACTGAACAAGCGAAAAAAAAGGAAACCTGGACCCCGAGTCCAGCAACCAGCCAGCCAAAGCGACATGCACCCACCGCGACAGCTAGAGCCATGCCAGTCATGTAATTTGAAAATGCCAGAATGTGAAGCTAACGTCCGTGCTCAAACCGAGCTACAGCCGTGGACAGCGGGGCCCTTCTCCGTCCCTGCAGCTGGGAGAGAGCTGGCACCTGGCCTGCAACTCAGCCTCCCCCGACAGAAAGGCGGCTTACCTCTCACAGGAAGAGACAGGGAGAAGAGCGCACACCCAGTGGGTTAAGGGCACCGCAGTTAGGTGTTGGTGAGTGTGGAGGAGGAGACTAGGAGCCGGGGAGCATTCTAGGAAAAGCACTCTCTGGCACAGCCTCATACATGCTTCAGCAGCTCAAGTGGAAGAAACAGGCCAAGGCAGGCCAGGACCCGCGCGTCGGCCCGGAGGGGTTAGGGAGGCACGTACTCCGGGGGACGATCACCACGCAGGCCAAGACCCTCGTGAGAGGCAGCACACAGTTGGGGCTCCCCGTCCCAGGGCCGGGGGCCCCTCTTCGTGCCAGCACATGGGAGGCCTTTGCTGTCACTGTTGGGGATGGTGAGAGTTTTCTGTTGTGAATTACTGTGAAAGTATATAAGAACTTTGCCTGACTCTCATAGGGCTGAGGATCCAATTCAAGTCTGAACACGTTTTCTTGTTAATCAGCAGGTTAGTATGTTGGGAACTCAAGCCGGACATTTATCACTTAGGCGGCCAGTATCGGAATTCCTGCTTCCTATGTAAAAAGGACAGTGCAGCGGAAGGTTATGGGTTAGTACAGCCCTGTGCCCAGGTGGGAATGAAGCCAGCAGACTGCAGACAGGTTTGAAAAAAGGTCCATGAGACATGCAGGGGTTGCCACACAGACCTGAAGCCCAACAGTGGAGCTGTCAGAGGGGGACGGATCCTTCTAAGAACAGAGAATTAAGACAATTACCAAGGACTCCACCAAGAGAGCACCAGGGCGGCGGTGAGAAGGCTCGCCCCTGCAGCCAGGGACTGGCAGTTCTTTAGCAGAAGGGTCCGGGCTCACGTCCAGCTGCTACTGCCAACTTCCCTCCTATACGCGCCCCTGAACCCACCCCGCCCCACTGCCACGGGTCAAGGCAGGAAAGGGATTCTCAGCCTCCAAACACTGTGCTGGCCAAGAGCCTGGGTTCCCCCCGAGAACATATCCGCTGCCCCAACTGTGTGCTCCCCAGAGACTGGCAGATGTCAGAAAAGGTCAATTACCGCAAACTCAGAATAGGTGCTGGCAACAGAGTTAATGCTGAAGTTGCGCCGGAGGGGGGCTGAGCTGGGGTACCCACCGCTCAGCAAGCTGCCATTGAGCTCCACGTTCTCCTTGTCGGCTCCATGGAGGCCGGCACGGGCCTTTTTTTTCCCTGAACAGGTAGACGTGAGGACTGGCTGTGGAGAAAAGGCAGATTGATGTTATCCTTACAATGACCACATACACTATTTAATTCTTCACAGGTTTGTAAACCTATATAGCACTTTTAGGGTAAAAAAAAAAGATATATATGAACGCAATGGTTTGCAGTTAAAGATATACCTATCTTGAACATCGTCTGGAAAATAACTGAAAAACTGAACACGTTTAGCACAGACTCCCCCAACCTGTCCCCTCACGGGAGCACCTGACTGCCTAGCGACCCAGCGACGGGGCCGGCGTCCGGGTGCGGGGCCCGTGCTCAGCAGCCCCTGAAGGCCTGGCTCTGACCTGGGCGGACGGGCCCAGCACCTCTCTTCCGCTGCCCAGTCCCATCCCAGGGCTTCCCCGTGACACCAGTGGGGCTCAGCGCGACCATTCTCTCACTGGGTTTCTTAGATTAACCAGCTTCCATCTGTCATCTCTCTGCATCTCCATGACAACTGGATCCAGGGGTCCTAAAGACTGGAACAAGCAGGGGCGGGGGCGGGCGTGGACTGGGACGCGCCTGTACACAGCGCTTACCAACCTTGCTGCCCGAAGGTGGAAGTCGAGACACCGGGGAGTGGTAGACTGTCCCCCCAAAGGCAGGCCGAATGCTGCTGTTGGCCGTGGCGTTGGACATGACAGTGGTGTTCAGCTGAGGAGGAGAACAGATCGCCCATTCAGGAAGCACGCGCGGCCACCTGGCCCTACACACCAAGAGATGGTGTGGGAAGCTGTCCATAAAAGACGCATTGACATGAACAGCTTCAAGAAGACCTGTGAGAAGGGTTCAAAGCCTATTTCTGTCCAGCATGTGTGGCTGTAACATGGTATGACCGCTCTGTTTCTAAGAATGGACAGACACATATCGCACGAGCCCGTCCTGTCACTCCCAGGGGACGTGAAAGCACAGCCCGACAGAGAGACTTGTACAGATGGGCACGGCAGCGCCGTCTGCGACAGCCCCAAGCCGGAACCAAGCCAACACATTCACTGCCGGACGAAAGGACAGGCAAACCGGGGCAGTCGTACAATGAATGGAATGCTGCTGCTAATAGAAAGCAGTGACCTGCTGGCAGCACATGCCACAAGCTGGGTGCTGCAACTCAAAAATTAGCTGCAAGAAATTATGCTAAATGAAAGCAGCCATTTGAGTCTATAAAATGTTACAAAATGCCACCTAGCCAATAGTGGCAGAGGGAACGTGTGGCTGCCAGGAGCTGGGGGGAGGGGGACACTTGCAGCGGGGGTGTGTTCACATCGGGCCTGTGGTGCGAGTTTTAAGGTGCACACATGGGAAATGTACTAAGTGTATATTTACATAGTAGGTGTCAATAAATCTGTCAACATTTTTTTAAATTAAAAACTCTAGGTGGATTAAGAACCTTAAATGGGATAGTAAAGCTATTTAAATACAAGCCAATAAATGGATAAAAATGGAGACATCTGTAATAGTATAAACAATGAAAATAAAGTAAAAGAAAACAGATGAATGGATAAAGATGTGGTATATACATACGATGCAGTATGACTCCGACGTAAAAAAAGAATGGGGTCTTGCCCCCCGTGACGGCCCAGGGGCCCACAGGGTGCGGTGCTGAGTGACGCACACGCCAGTCAGAGGGGCAAGTACCACCCGATTTCACTTACATGACGGGTCTGAAGAACGAAGTACATGAACAAACGAGAGAGAGACAGACCCACAGACACAGAGGGTGTTTTGACAAGTGCCAGGTGGGCAGAGGGTTCAGGGCCGGGGGAGGCCACAGGGCTGAGAAGCCCAGAGCGACCGTCACAGCACCGTCACGGGGACGGGGACGGCGAGCGTGGCAGAGGAGCAGGGCCAACAGCCCGCAGTAACGGGGTGGCGGGACGGGGGGTGCTGGGCTTTCGGGGCGATCACTTAAGTTACATAAATTTTTAATCTCTAGGTTGTACACCTGAAACTAACATAATCCTGTCCACCGACTGTAGTTTAAAAATCAGGCGGTCTCACCAGCACGCCCGGCGCCCAGCGCAGGGGTTTTCAAGCTTGGAATTAAAACACACCTTTCTAGAACTGAGTTTTAGTGTTATAATGTGTGTTTCTAAAAGTTCATCATGTTATTTTCATAGTAACATTGAACACTAGGGAGCTAGTTTAATAAAATGTCAAGAGGACAGAATAAGTAGCTAATAATGAGCAAATGATTGAAGAAAGTTTGATGCCATGAAAAAAAACCCCTCAACCAATGTAAAGTAGGCAAACTGGCAGAAATCAAAATTATATAATGCGATCTCTATTTTGTAAACATATATTATTTTTAAGAGCTATTTAAAAAAGCAAGATGTCCTGGCTGGTGTGGCTCAGTGGACTGAGCGCCCACCTACGAACCAAAAGGTCGCCAGTTCGATTCTAGGTCAGGGCACATGTCTGGGTTGCAGGCCAAGTGCCCAGTTGGGGGCGTGTGAGAGGCAACCAATCACTTTATCTCACACATTAATGTTTCTCTCCCTCTCTAAAAATAAATAAAATTTAAAAAAAGGAATTGAACCCACAAACTTAAAAAAAAAAAAAAGAAAAACACCAAGTATTCTCCGTGGTTCTCTTGGCTATATACTACAGATGAATTTTAAATGTTTTGCATGTTATAAATGCAAATACAGGGAGAAGGAAAATAATGCTCCACTCTCAAATGGATTCACCTGGAAGTCTAGAAAAACCCTTCCCCATCCCTGCAGGACAGGAGGGAAGAGAGAGCCGTGAGCCCTGGCCCCCCCAAGCCCCACTATTAGAGGCCCATGGAGCCTCTCGCCCACCTTGCGCAGCTTCCCCGGTGTGGAGGGTGGCAGCCCGCGCCGCTTGTTGGGTGTGCGGGGGGCACTGCCGTACAGCATCTCTGTCTCTGTCTGCTTCTTGTTCTTCAGTTGCTGTGTGAAGGTCAGAGGCAACACTGATACACCCCAGGGAGAGGGCAGGTCTGGGACGGGGGTGAGGACAGACATCTGGTGCCGAGTCTCAACCCACAGGCACTGCCAGGGTCTGGGCTGCTCACAGGGGGGACCACCCTCCCCCTGCCCCAAGCTGGGCCCACTCACCCTTTCCTGCTTGGCTCGCTCCTTCTCCAGTCGGTACATCTCCCACTGTTCGGCCACGTACTCCAGGAACTTCTGTCCGTTCACCACAAATGCCTTCGAGTGCTCCTGTTCCCACACTTCAATCTGGGCCTTCAATTCCTCTTCCAGCTGAGACCAGACACAAGAACATGCTACTTACTTCAAACCTGAGCTGTGAAGCCCAAAAGAAATGTTTCCCGCACCCCAGAATGAGTCCTCCTTCCCCGGAGCATCACTAGGCTGGGCCGCTCGGGGAAAGGTCAGCGCGAGGGCGTGTTCACAATGCTCATGAAAGTGGGGAAGGCGAGGCCCAGCGTGGCCGCTGCGGTGCTGGTGCTGCAGGCGATGGAGCAGGAGCCCTCAGGAAGCGGTGCGCACCGAGCGCAGCACCACACGGGCGCCAGCTGGAGCCTACCTCCTGCCAGCGGCGAAAAGGTGGGCAAGTTACTTAAGTTCTCAGTGCCTCAGTTTCCTCAACTGTAAAAACAGAAAGCACTTTCAAATAGTTTCTGGCTCTTAGTTCAGTAAGTGCTGCTAATATTACATTATTAAAATAGAGAATAGTACTGCCATGGCCAAGTGGCTCAACTGGTTGGAGCACCATCCTGTCACCAAAAGGCTGCAGGTTCGATCCCTGGTCTGGGCATGTATGGGAGGCAACTGATGGATGTTCCTCTCCCCCTTCCTTCCTCTAAAATCAACACATCCTCAGGTGAGGATTAAAAAAACCCAGAGAACAGTACTTAAGCCCACAGAACTTGTTGAAGAGCTTGCCTTGTGTTTTCGGCTGAATTGTGCTCCCCACCTCCCTGTTCATATGCTGGGGTCTCAGCCTCCAGTTCCTGAGAATGTGGTTTTATTTGGACATAGAGGTAATTCAGTTAAAATGAGGCCATTAGGGTGGACCCTAAGCCAAGAGGATTGGTGGAAGCCTTGTGAGACGAGGAAATTGTCACGGACACACAGGGAAGACCACGTGAAGACACTGGGCGAAGATGGCCATCTACAGGCCTCAACAGTGACCAGTCCTGCCCGGACCTTGACCTCAGACTTCCAGCCTTCGGACTGTGAGAGAGTGGGCGCCTGCGGCCAAGAGCGTCCAGTCTGCGGCGTTTTGTTACGGCCACCCCAGAAAACTCCTGCCTTGCTACTCTTGCCTGTGCTGGGAAGGCCCAGTATTACTCACCATCCTTGCCTAACCTTTGGAAGAGAAGGCAGTTTGGGGCAAATGATTCAAAGTAGATATAAAAAAAGTGCAGTTTTTTTGTAGCCAAGCACCAAAACTCAGGTTTTGGTCAAACAACATTACCTTAGGGAGGGTTTTTTGGAGCCTGGCTCGTTGCTTTTCCTCTTTTAGAAGATTTCCTCCACGGTTTGTGAATCGACTGGGATCTGACGCTTTTCTCTGTGAAAACACATTTTAATCAGCGTAAACCCTGGGGCAGGCCCTCAGGCCAGTTACCTCTGCTCGGGCTCCCGCGCTCAGGCTCGGAGGTGCACCGTGCAGGGGACTCGGGGTTCTGCGCCCTCACTCTCCCTCAGCAGGGAGGCAGGCGGCCTAAGGCAGGGAGCTGGGTAGGAGCATGTCCACTGGGGTGCAGGGAAACTAGTGTTTCCTTTGCCACCTAAAAAGGACGGCGGGCTTCAATATTTAATGCACAATGTCACTGGCTCCCTTCCTCGGTTTGGAAGCCAGGAGTCCGAACAGTCACCTAGAGGAAATGAGCGCTGTGGAGGGAGGGACCGGGGAAAGGCATCCACGCAGAGACTGGTGGGCGCCCCACGTGCCCGTTTGCTTCCGGCCTATTGGGACAGCCTAGCGTAAATGAGCAAGGTTAGAAGTTATAGATCATCTGGTTTTCATTAAATTAACCCTCTCAAAATGGACAAGTCAAAAAATGTACTGTGTTAGGCTTCTTGTTCTAGCTTTCCCCCCTTCAGTTTCATTACGGACACTCTCACAGGTGTCCCGGTTCCCCCACCCCCCCGCCCCCGCCGCCCCTCCCCTCTGACGGCTGTCAGTCTGTGCCATGTAATCATGTCTCTTCTTTTTTTTGTTTATTCTATCATGTATACAGTGAATCAGAATAATATAAGCACATAATTTGTAATAAATCAGGTGTATACACTTAAAATTAGGGGCAGAGAGTCAGAAAAATACAAATCTCGACAATTTGGGGGCAAAGCTCGGAAGGAAATCCCACGCCCCGCCCAGGCTCCTTGGCTGGCGAGGGCCCGTGGACAGCGTAACTGAGGGGCTGGTAGTCAGTCCCTTCTGGCTCCTTAGGTACAGGCACGTGGGCAAGCGTCACTTATTTGGCTCTTCAGTGACATTTACTCCTCCTCCTCACTCTCAGGCAGAAGTAAGGAGTGACTGAGGACAGGACACATGCTCCTAACCGGTTGGATGGCCTCCCGTGGGCCTCCCACCGGTGACATGAAGGAACTGAACCTGGGATTCTCTGAAGGACCCCTCAGGCTCTAACAGGGCCAGCACAGCCAAGACCAGCCTGCTTCCATTTTGCGTCTGCCACGCCTCTCCAGCCCCGCGCTCAACAAGGCTCCCAGGGAGCCTGTCTGTGCCGTGTGGACCCGAAGAAAAGGAACTCAGTAAAGAAAGGCGTCTCAACACCCAGGCAATTTAGGAAAACAGCAGAAGCTGGAATGGCAGAGAATATTAGTTGCCTGGCCCGATATTGACCCTCCTCTCCCTCCCCAGCTGCAGAACCCGAGTTCCTCTGTGGCAGCCCTGCCAGCGGCCGGTGGGGCAAGGGGCAGAGGTGCTGGGGCGAGAGCTTGGGAAGAGCCCTTCAAGGGGCTGGAGGGACAGAGACTTTTGTGTCCCTTCCTCCGCTACGCTGCCTGCAACACTATGTAGGGAGCTCTGGGGACACCTTGGCCCTTAGGATAAGGGCCACCCCTGATCGGCGGGGGAGCCGTGAGCTGGAGGAGCCCGGGACACCACTGGCTGCAGAGCAGCCACACCTGCCCTGCACCGCCCACCTCTGGGCTTCCTCTGTGCTGGAAACATCTGCCTATTGACGCCATTTGTCTGGGGTTTCTCACCTATGTGTTCCTGTACCTAAACCTCACATGTACTGATGGGTCAGCAGTAACCAGGGACTTGCCGACGAAGACGGGTATCAGGAACCCAGGAAAGAGCAAAGGAGACTGGGCGCGGCCTCTGCATAGGACGTGCTGTCTTAACACCTCACTGTCCACTTAGGGAGAACAGGAAAGTCAGGGCAGTACCTCGAACTCCAAGAAGAGCCTCCAGCTTTCTTCCCACTTCCGCACACCTTCAAAGAGCTCTCTGTGAGCCTCGTAGTGGTTTTTTAATCGCACAACCTCAGCATCGTGGAGCTGGAGCAGGACCTCCGTGTAGTCTTCTGCAAGACACGGGCCCGGCATTTTAAAATTCCTCTAGTGGTTAGCGCCTTAACTTATAACACTAACCCCTCACCTCCTGAGGTGAAAATAGATTATTCTGCACTACAGTACAAACGGCACATGACTGAGCACACACTGTGGGCAATAAAAGCCAGGCTGGTCACCAACTGCCAGGAGGGACCAGGGAGTGAGGCATCAGGGTATGGACTAAAATGCCTCAGGTTCAGTCCTGTGCCACCTCTCACCTTGTCTTCGGAGCCTTTTATTTCCTTCCTTTCCACCCTGCCCTGCGGAGGCCTGAGTCACAGAAAATACCCCCAATGTGGAATTTAGTGGACAGCCTCATCTTTATATTCAGTTCAGGGCAGACTAGGGTTCTCCTGGGTTCTGTGACGCTCTGCGGTCACACTCTGGGTCCAGATGTTGAGCTCTGCCCTTCGCCTGCTGTGCCTTTGGCTCATGCTGCGCGGCTCTGACGCCCCTTTGTGTCCGCGTCTCCTGACCTGGGGACTGGGGTAGTGTTGTTAAGAATTTCAGTGTCCCTGGCACAGAGGGGTAAGCACCCGATCAACTTGAGCTTCACAACCATGGGCTCCAGGGACACCCTGCTTCAGAAACCAAGACATCCCTTATCTCCTAGCAGCATTCGCCAATGCTCATATATATATATATATATACAGGAATGGCAATTTAGGCCAAGTGGCTTAGGAAGGCAGTTATATCTGTTCAGCCGAGGAAGTATTTCCTGGGCAATGTGTGCATTTTTTCACAAGAGTGGGCCACGTCAAGACCATCACTTCTGTGCTAACCATCATAGTAGGCAGCAAACGCTCGTCTCTGCTCCTGGCTGTAGAAACACTGGTCCCAGTACTGAGCCAGCTCCCCTCGTATTGCCTCAATCACCGTCTTCATGTTTTGTTTTTTCAGCTCTTCCAAGCGATCCACTTCTGACTGCAGCTGAAAAGAGTTATCTGTTAAAGGCGTTTGTTATACTTTTACATTCATGGCGCTTTGCAAGTCCCCCCGCCCTTTTAAAAATAAATTTACTTATTTTTAGAGAGAGGGGAAGGGAGGGAGAGAGGGAGAGAACCATTGATGTGCAGAAGATACACTGATCAGCTGCCTCTCATGCACCCCCTACTAGGGACCTGGCCTGCAACACAGGCATGTGCTCTGACTGGGAATCAAACCTATGAGCTTTTGGTTCTCAGGCCAGTACTCAATCCACTGAGCCACACCGGCCAAAGCAGAAATTTTCCTTTCTAGTAAAATTGCAGCACAAAACCACAGAGGTAAGTCAACGCTCGTTAGAGTAATGCTATTACAGGAGGCAGAAACCTACGGAATGTACAGGAAGGAGAAAAGATGAGGTGGCTACTGCCACCTCTTCTGGCACTTGCTTTAAAATAGGTTTACTTGACGAAGAAGTTGATAAAGACACGAGATCAGACACAAAAATGCTCGTAGGGTGGGCTGACCCAGCACCCTTTGGGTTTCCTACCATTTTCTTGACCTTTGCCTTCGACCCAGTCATGACCGTGGCCAGGGCTTCTCTCTCTTCTGCTGGTATTTGCAACCTGTCCCAGAGCTCCCGGATCTGAGCACGGAGCCCCTCACACACTGCTTCACTTTGAGATTTTTGCATTTCCAGCTGTAGCAAGAAGGACAGTAGTTACGGCAGAGGCGGCAGCACGGAGGCTAATCCTCTGGCCTCCCCTGAGAAATCCCTGGACCGACATGCAGAGGAAGCACTTTTATAAGACTGGGAAGAGGCGTGTTTTCATGACCTCTGTACACAAACTGAAAGGCTGTCACTATGGTGATCTCAGATGCCAGGAATTAAGATTCAAATTTTTAATTTTTTTTTCAATTCAATACTAATTCAATTGTTTCATCAATAATTTCAACTTCATATTCTTAGAGCTACATATAAATTAAGGTTTTTGTTAAAAAAAAAAAAATCAAGCTGTTTACCATATAATACTATCATTATCGTCCCTCATTCTCTTAACTTATCAATACACTGGCTCCTTCTGTGAGAGTACAGGGGGAAAACCAGCGCTGCTTTTCTCAAATCGCTGGACCCTGTGGAGGTGAGATCCTGGGCCGTTGCCTGAGCAGACATTACCTGCTGCAGCAACTTCTGTAGTGTTGCAATATTCTCCAAAGATAAACAAAAGGCATCTTCGTCCTCACACACCACGTCTCTCTCGAAGCTCGTGTCCGGGGTGTGATCCAGTTCTTCCATACACAGTATGATCTGCCTCTTTAGGTTGACAAACTCCTCACGCCGAGATGCCTATAAAACACAATGATTGTGAGATCCCCACAGCAAAGCCAAACCGGCCTTCAGACGCAGGGAGGCAGGCAGTGCACCTTTGTCTCCCTCAGGGCGGCCACGTGCTGCCGGAACTGGCTCAGCTCTTCTAAGCTGGGAACGGAGTCACTGTCAATGTCGTAGTGTGGCATGCAAAGCACTTCACACAGTTCTTGATCTTGTTCTTGAAGCAGTTTCAATTCACGTTTTCTCTCCTTTTTCTGTTTTCGCATCAGTTCTACCTGAGTTCGCAAATCCTTTTCCAGTTGCAAGATGGTCGGCTCTCCCTCTTCCTGTATAGGACCATGTATTACTGTTACAAGGTTCCAAGATTTCCTCAAAGGATGAGGACAACAAAACAGGGCTAAAATGACAGACTTTTAGTTAAACTTACAAATAAGTCAACTTGTACAACAGGACATGGCACAAAGAGGGTCCCCGCTAAGGAAAGGCACCCGGGTGCTTTTGCAGGAGGTGAAGATAGGTTAGCTACACAGGCGGGTATATTTAGCTCATAACTAAATGCTCACCCAGTAATCCTAAGAATATCACCTAACCAACGAAAATCAATGCAGTACTTCTTGCACTACTGACTGACAAACAAAGGGGACTGTTACTTACCCTACGCGTTTTACTCCACACTGGTGAGTGAAAAACTGTCGTATAATTTAAGGGACATGTACCAGTGCACACCTAACTTCTTACCCAGTTCCACAGTGAACGTTTGGGGGGGGGGGGGGGGGGGAAAGACTAAGGAAAGAAACTGCCCATAGTCTATGATGTGCATGGCCTGGCCTGCCCAGCTGCCCTTGGCTGTCGCATGCGAGTACCCCTGATCCTGCAGAGGCAGAGCAGGGACCGGGCAGTGAGCCCCTCCTGCAGGAGGGGGCGGGGCCTGAGAGCTCAGGGAGACCCCAGGAACCGCCATGGGCTGTCCCTGCACTCACAGTTATTTTAATTACCCTCACAAGATCCACAGTTGCCTCGTTTTTATGATCCCAGCATCGTTTTTACTGGTTCTAACCAGGGACAATTTGGGGCCCTATCTGTTACTACTGGTTTCCTCCTCGCTGGTGTCCTCGTTCCAGTCCAGCTTGTGCTGGGGCACAACATAGCAGCCTCTCGGCGGCAACCTTGATCAGGGCGCCGCGAGCCTGACTGCGCTCTCCTGACACCCAAGCTTTGGGGCCATCTCTTCTCAAGTGGCAACTTTGGCTGGCTCCCTGGTGTGGAGCTTCTGGATATGAGGAAGCCCACAAAGGCAGGGTTTTGGGTAACCTTCCCTTATATCATGAGACACTTTAGCTTCCTAAGTAGCTCTTTCCATTTCCTTGCCAAGAAAAATAGCACAGTGTCATCTATGCCTAACTTTCCTCAGAGTTAAAAAAAGGTTTTTTATGCCCCACAGACTGACAGCAAGAGGAAGTGTGTTCTGGATTAAAGCTTGGCCACGGTCACTCGCTGCTCCGCCTCTCAGAAGGGCAGCGCTTCACATTAGTGAAAATGACTGCTGGGGCCAGGGACGAGGCAGCACGGTTCCCCCCCTTCCCACATCCAGCACCCCCCCAACATGGACACCTCCCACAGCAGCCCCAAGGCAGAGGCCCTCCCTCCGCCTCAGCCCGGCGGAAGCCTGGTGCTCTCCTGTGCACCTGAAATGGCTCGACGTGCAGCTCCCTGCACAGGGTGGCCAGCTCTTTTTGACAGTTTGATATGCTTTTGATGAGCCTTTCCTTCAGGCTTTCCTCTTCGGCAATCATCATATCCAGGAGGTCCTGCAGGAGAAAATAGTCCCATAAAAGCTAAAAAGATGAAACAAAACCCCAAACCAACAAATAACACCAAAACACTAATAATTTCAAGTTTTTAAGTACGGATGTGGAAACCAGGCAGAGCCCGTGATACCTCAGTGTCTCTCGGACCTGCCGTCTCAGATGAGACGCAAGCAGCCTTACCCGCGTCCCCGGCAAGGACAGCGGCACCACGCTCACCTTGATATGCTTCTTCACAACCTCGGTTCTTTGTAACCGCTGGTCCTCGGGAATCCCAATCACTTCCCATATTTCCCGAAGGTTAATCAGGGCTTTCTGCAGACACAGAATGGACTCCTCCGCGAGCACCTCACTGAAGAACAAAAGAGAAGCCGCTGCATGAGCTCCTGCCCCGACATACTGCACAAAGTATTTGCAGGAAGTAATGGAACTGTTAGAACATGTGATCTTGGCTGTTCTGACCCATCCCGATGAATACACCTACTGGTTCCTGGGAAAAGCAACAGAATTTCTGAATAAAGTGTGCTGGGAAACCCCTCCAGAGGAGGCTGCTTGTATTGCAGAAAGCCAGAGGACCTTAAGCAGGGCCGTGGAAAACTAAAACGGGACTGAGAAAACAAAAGATCCCAAAGCAGGGAGGGCTGCTCAGAGGAACAGGAGGGGGCATCTCCCCTGCGGCTCACTGGGGCTGCAGGAAAAACTGCAATCACCATGAGACGGTAAATTACTAAGGCCCTTGCAGACACTGGGGCTGCTTCATCTGTTCGTCACCCTCCCCAATTGAGTTGCCCTCTCCCTTGGGGTGAAACTTCGGTGCAAATGGTAGGGATAGATTATCAACCACTGCCCATTCTTAAAACAGAACCTGTTCTTTTCCAACTCCTGAATATATTTTACTAGTCCAATCTGCCCCAATTCACCTGACAGGACAAGATTTTCTTGAAACCAAGGATTCTCGCCTCTGCTTTTTTCCAGAAGGGTGGACTGTATTTAGAACTAAATAACTCAGATACTGAACCTATGGGGAAAATAATGATTTTAAAGGAATCCACGAGAAAAAACTAATCTTGAAACCGACAGAACACTTTTTATAGGACATTCCAATACAACTTCAGGCCTTTTCCAGTCACGAACATCCTTCATGCCAGAGCTGGAATTCAGCCCATTACACAAGACCGCCTGAAAAAGAGCAGTTTGTGATTCCAAGCATGAGCCCCTAAATTTCTCCTGTCCTTCCAGTAAAAAACACAACACCCAAGCGGGAAAGGCTGGAGACTCGTACGAGATCCCGCAGCTCCAGCGGAGGAGCAGGGGCGGGGAGTGCGCAAGACTCGTTCCCTCTCGGCGGTGCCACGCGGGAGGACAGCGGAGGCAGGTGGGTAGGGGCTCAAACCCCTCCTGCAGCCGGTGAGACACAGGCGCTCGGGGGCTGCGGCCGCCGCCGGGGTAGGGGGGCGAGCAAGTCCGAGAGCGATGGGGCTCGGGCCCCTTTACGGCCCGGGGGGCCCTCCCAGACCCCTTAGTGAGAAGGGAAGAAGGGACCCCCTCCCACTCCAGGAGCCCCGTCAGCAGCGTCCCTGCCACTGGGGGCGTGGGGACGGCCGCGGGAGGGGCACGGTGCGGCTGACAGGGACGTCAGCCGTGTCCAGGAGCAGAAGACCGCACGCCCGCGGGTGAGAGGGGCCGCCGGGACGCCAGACCGAAGGAAGGCCCCCCTGCCCCCCCGGCCGGCCCGCCGGGGCCTGCGGCGGCGGCTGCGCGCGGGGCGGCGGGGGCCTTGGAGCCGCGCCAGCAGCGCCCGCGCTGCGAGTCCCGCTGAGAGAACCGCCTCGCTCTTAACACACAGCTGCCTCGTGCAATTTCCACCGCGCGGGTGAAAAAACTCACGCCCAGCGTCTTGCTCCAAGTCGCAAGGCCAGTAAGCGACAGCGCGACGAAATCCGGCCCCGGTTTCAAGCCGGGCACTCCTTCCCCAGCCACTGGCTGAGGAGCGGTTAAAACGACCAAGGAATTAAACGGAGTTTCTTAACTTGCAAGGAAACCAAGCTTTCTCTTTCCGTTAAATGTTAAAACATGGGGAACAACGACAAACTCCGCGGCTTTATTCAAAGACAAACGAGACACGCAGACCCTAAGATTCAGGACTCCACTAGCAGCACCAGACGCGCGCAGTGCGGGCGGGGAGGGTGGGGGCTCCGGGCGCCGGCGCGGACCCCGCGACCCTACGGGCCCGACGCGCCTCCCCACCCGGCGACCTGCTGCTCCTCCGGGCAGCCGCGGCCGGTCCCAGCCTGGCGCCGGGGTCTGGGCGAGACCTGAGGTCGCCGGGAACCTGCGCGTCCTGCCCGGCCTCCGCCCCACCCCGTCGCGGCCCGAGACCCGCGCGGCCCGTGCGCCTGCTCACCGCCGCCTGCCCTGCCCTGCCCGGCCGCGCCCCGGCCTCACTCGGGCGCGGACGGAGGTGACACCCTAGCGCCGGACCCGAGGGGGGCGCCTCTTGAAGCCCGAACCGGAGCCGCACCTGGGACGGGCGTCGCTCCCTCCCGCACCCCTCAACTCCCCCGCAACCCGCACCTTCTCCTCATGGCGGACGCTCCCAGGGACCGGACAGGGAAGTCCAGGACCTACTCCACACCGAACCGACCGCGGCAACCAACGGCTGGCACTGTACAGCTCGCAGAGGATTACCACTCGGTGAGCCGTTGGGCAGCCGCGGGATTTCAAACCAAGCCTGGAGGAAGAGCAGCCCTGCGATTGGTGTCCTGGCCCGTCACTCCTCGCGGCCCCACCTTCGCCCCGCCCCCAGGGCGTGCGCGAGTGCGCAATCGGGTCTCGGCTGAGGAGACGCGGGTGGAATCGCAGCCTGCGCGTGCGCGCGGCCACGCCCGTGCGACCCGTTTTCCTCGCTCCGCCGCAGGTGACGCTGTCTCCTAGCGGAGCCCCGCCCCGCCGCGCCGCGGAGTAGTTGTGCTTCCGAGCCGAGAGGCCGAGGCCGTAGCAAGCCGGGTCTCCCAGCTCGATCGTGGTTGTCTTTAAAATCCCACAGGTTTATATAATTGTTATGAAAACTTTGAAACTCAAAATTGAGAGTAGTTTTGTACCTTTTGCTGAACATATGCTACATTCCAAAATGATTATAAATCAGTTTTTTTCACTGATTCTTGGTTGCATAATATCTTGGCATGTGGATACCTCGTAATTCAACTATTTTGCTATGGATGGATGCTTAGATTGTAATTTTTACACATAAATGTCTAAAAACATAAACCTTTGCATCATGCACTTTTTTTAAGGTTGACTGCTAAAGTTTAGCTACTGAACGCTCCCTTTCCCGGGAGGTTTATTTATTAACGTGCCCTCCTCACCAAGCAGGGTACTGTCCACTTACACGTACCAGCTTTACTACTGTCCTTTGAAACCTCTTTGCTAGTTTTGTAACGGGGTAACTTGGTCAGTGTTTTAATAATATTAAAACCTGTGCCTGCGCGGAGCCAGGTAGTTGGGCATGACTTGGACCCATGATGTGGCTGGGAGGCAGCGCCCCGATTGCAGCCCCTGCGGGAGCTTGGAGAGGATTCGCTGCAGGCCACGGCCCACGCCTGCGCGGGCTACGTGTGGCAGCCCAGAAGGGCAGGAAACACAAGAGTTGCTTGCAGGTGCAGCCGATTGTGAGCGAAGTCGGGAATGGGGTTATAGAGGAGGCTTGGGCTGGGATTTAGACAAAAAGGTGGGCTGCCAACTGGGGCCCTGGAAGGACCATGCAGGGAAAAAGGGATGAAAGGACACTCGCTAGCCGGCCACGAGGAGGTCCCACGTAGTTTTGGATTAAGTGGAGATCGCGAGGACACAGCTGATGGCGCTGGGAACCACGCGAGGCCAGCTCAGCCGCGCACAGATTACTGGGAGGAACCAGAAGTGAGTTCCGACTTCCGTTTTCTGTTTTTTTTTTCCTTCTGGAGGGTGGTACTTCTGACTGCTATGCCCTGAGACTGGGCCAACTGGGCAAAGGGGGAGGGCAGGACTGTGTGTGGGGGGGGTCTATCTTTGTTTCTAAAGGCAGTGACATTTAATGGTGCGATTCACCATTATTCTAAACCTGTACAACTTTTAATTAAATAGTTCCTTTTTACCAACTCTGGCATTGAGAGCCACAGTTCCTACCTGCGACAGGCAAAGAATCATAGAACAAAAGACCCCGGAGCAGGGGATGTTTTCAGTAAGTTTCTTAGGTAAAAAGTGGCACTTCCTTCTTTCACTCGCATTTGCTCGATTACAGCTGAAACTGCACATTTTTTCCCCATGGGTACTGGCCAGCTGTAACTTCCGGAAATTGTCTTCCTTTGCCTTTCCCATGAAGGAAAAGTAAAGGATGCTTGCTTGCTTCGCGTTCAAGACCACATTTTTCTCTTGCAGAAGAACCCCAATGGTGCTTTCGACATCCTTCAGCTTGTCAGCAGAGTGACGAACCCTCACCCACTACCATAGTGGCCCTCAGGCACTACTTTTAAATCTTGTGGTACGTTTTGTTGGTTAACTTGAGAGGTTTTCAAAAAGCTTCGAAAGTCTGAGATTTCAGACATGCTCCCAGGGCCAGCACAGTAAGGATGCAGAGTAAGACAATTCTGCTACTATGTCCCTTACACTGTAGTTCTGAAGCTACCCAAGTCACAGAGCCACCACACAGGCACTGTGAGCATGCGGTCAGCATGTAAAACACAGGTCACACGTGTGTGAGTGTGGCACCCTTTTACAGGGACGTACTACAAGGCCACGGCCAGCGCTGTTTGGCCTGTAGGCGCAACGCACACACTGTCACTGTTCAGTCACTCAGCCACTGAGTCTGCCACATATTCCTTCTACAAACTAAAAGCCCTGTCCACAGTGCCTTGGTCTTGCCCAGCCGCTTGACACACGACTGTCCAAAGTCTAGCTAGACACTTGAGGTGTGAATTTTTCTTGGAATAGACCCATACAACATCATCATTCTATGGAAAGAATACTTTTGATGATCCAATACCGCAGGTTTGGTTCTTTCTTTTCATAAGTGGCAGCACTATGGGCTGGGGAACAGATAGGAGGCAGAGCAACCTGAACAGTCTGGCTAAAACCCAGGCAAAAAACAGTAAGCACTTCTGCCGGGGGGACGGCGAGGAGAGGATGAACCAGAAGCATTTAAAAGCAATGGGTAGAGGCCTAGGTGAATGCGTGGGATAAAGAGAAAAAGAAATCTGAGGTCAAGGATATAATTCCTTAAAGAAACAAAACATGGGCACGTGATGACAATGTCAAGGGAATACAGGCAGAGGGACAGATTTGGGGACTTAAAGCGGGGCGAGGATGTCGGTTTAGAGCTCACTCTAGACACGTGGTGTGAAGGGCCCGTGGAGCGGCCAAGTGGAAATGCTAGTGTGGGGCTCGGCTCTGAGACAACAGCTTGAGACCTGGAAGTGGGTGACAACAAGCAACAGAGAGAGAGGAGATGTGACACCAGGGACAGGAGGGGAGGAATCAAAGGAGACAGGCCCAGCTGAGGAGACTGAGGGAGGACAAAAAGAGAGTCACGGAAGCGAAGACAAGAATTTTAAGAAGGATAGGGCGGTCGTCAGTGAGATCAAATTCAGAGGGGGCTGAGGGCCCGCTGATAGGTGCGGTTGTAGATCACACCTTTGGAAAGGTAAACGGAGAGGAAGGCTGCACCGGTGACCCGCACAGGCGCACCTCCCGCTGATGCCTGAGATCACCCTAACGGGACACTGTCCTTCATACTGTACTAAGAAGCAAGATGCTGAAAATTAAAGTGCCCCCTTGAGGTAAACAATAGCAAACATTTTTTAAAAGTGTAACGAGTCACAATGTGAGAAATGGAAGGGTGCTGACTGATCATCTAGGAAATCCACCTCCTCATTTTATAGTTCAGGAAACCCCAGTGTGGGCAAGCTTCAAGGGAGAGCCAGAGCAGGCCTGAGGTGACGAGAGTCCAGTCCGCAGAGCACGCGAAGCCCCACATGGATGGAGATGGGGGGCTGCTCCAGGACTAGACGCACTACATTTCAAAGCAGAGGCTTTATTTACAATGATACTCAGACAGGATTTAGCAAGAGAGCCTCCTCCTGCATATCTTATCAGCACGGGCTGTACTTCACGAAGCAAGAAGAAAGACATCCTGGGGGATGGAAGTGAACTCTCCCCTCTCACATGGTCCCTAATCCCCAGCCCGAGCTCGCAGGGCAGTGGGGGAGCCCGCCCCCCGCGCCCCCTGTGCCCCCCGCCCCTGGGAGCGTGTCCAGGGAGAGCTTCAGGCCTTCACCTCACTCATGGCCTCCATGAGGCGAGCACTGTTGGTGACTGCTGTCGTCAGAAAGATGAACCTGTACCCTGAGGAGCCAAAGCACCAGCACCTGTGAGTACAAGGCCAGGGGCCCCCGACACTGGCCGCGCCACCGTGGAACCCCCCCCTTCCACAGACCAGGCTGCACCGGAGCACTGGGGCACAGACGCAGATGCGGCAGTGCCACGCCAACGGTACCAGAAGGCAGCGGAGGGGCCTTGCCAAGCGCTGCCCTTTGTCCCCCAGAGCCAGCCCGTGGAGGCTGGTTTGTCACCTTCCTGTTCTCTCCTACCTTTCTCCCTGCCCAGGAACCGCAGAGCTGAGATCTCAGAGAAAGTGCAACCACCCAGGAACACCACCAGGATGAGGCGCAGGGACTCGCTGGGGGCCTTGTCTTCCTTGGTCACATCTGAGGAGAGCGGACTGGACTCAGCTCTCGGCTGGCACGCTAGTCACTGGGGACGCGGCCAGCCCTCGTGCCCGCCCGGCCCCACCTGTCACGGCCATGCACCTGTGAATGCCAGCTCGCTGCAGTTGAGCAGCCGCAGCACCTCGTCCAGGCCCTGCCAGCTCCGCCGCTCCAGCACCTGTGGGCACACGCGCTAGTTTCAGGTTTAGGGATCGGATTTAGGGAAGGAAGGTCGCCGCGGCCAGCCATCACAGTTCTTGCCAGTTACCAGGGCAGTCAAAACTGGCGACCAGCGGGGACTGGAGAGAGCAGAGAGTGGGACACGAGTGGGAGCGAGGGTCACTTGCTCTCACCTGCTCGATGACACGGCAGCTGAGGGGCACATAAGCGCCACTGAAGACATATGCCATGTCACGTGGCACCTTCAGATCATACTCGCCGTCCACGCGTGGGATCTAGAGGGCAAAGGGGACACCATGAGGCAAGTGACAACTCAGCTCTCTAGTCATTTACAGGGTCAGAGAAAAGGGGCAGGTCCCTGGAAACAGTTCTGACTTCCACTAAATGGAGAAGCAGCCATGGCCCGAGAAGAAGACTCCATAAAAGGTTCCAGCTTCTGTTCAGTACCAGCTGATTCTCCTGCGTTCCCACACCCCCTGGAGGGAAGGGCCCCTCTGCAGGGCCCTCGGTGACATAGGATGCGTCCGTCACTAAAGCAGCATGTGGCCTATTCTCTGGCATTGTCAAGCCCTTGTGACATGTTTACTAACCGCATGACTGTGTGTGTCTTGCCTCGTTAGTAAATGAAGCTCACGTTACTGTGCTACCAAAGACTGGATCTTGATATAAACGAAACAGCAGAAGGGTTTCTGTGGATTCGAAGTCCCCCCGGAGGACTGAACCCGTGGCCTCCCCGTCCGTCCCTGCTCCACATACCAGATTCAGCTTCTTGCTGATGGCACGAAAATTGCTCCTCTTGGCCAGCGAGCTGAAGGCGTCAGTGATCTTTCCTGGGGAAGAAATCTGTGCTGGGTTCTACCTGAGGTCTACAGGCTCCGACGCTGCTGGCGGCAACGCCACTCAGGAAGTGACAGGCCCGCTTCCCCTCCAACAGCAGGGCCTCTCGCTGCTCGGTGCCCGCCCACAGCTCCCTGCAACTGAGCAGGGCACTCAGCAGCCTCCCCACTGTCCCGTCCTCCTCCTCCTGCTGGGGGCCAGCTCCCCACAAAATGCCATCCACAGGGTGACCGTGGCTTGCTGGTTGCGCGTCTGGGCCGTGGGGTCACACTGACCTGGGTTCTAATGTGACTTAGTAGCGGAGGGATCTCAGAGAAGTCTCTGAAGCTCTTTTACAGTTTTCTCCTCGGTGAAATGGAGATAAAACTAACCTGAGAGGAACTGTATCTAAACAGCTTAGCACGTGGCGAGTGTTCAGTAAAGGGAAGCAGCTCCTACTAGCAGAAGTAGCAGCAGTGACAGTAACAGCAGGAATCGCGTGCCCCTTCGGCTCCTCCTCTCCCCCAGGGCGCTCGGCCCGCAGAGAGGACGCCTTCCTGGGCTCCCTGCTCACCTGCAGCCTTGTCTGTCACCAGCTTGCTCACTTTACTCTCCACAGCCGTGAGGGTGTCCCCAGGGGCCTGCTCGGTGAGGAGTCCCGCTCGCCGCAGGTTGGAGAAGGTCAGCAGGTGCTCGGGGCCATAGCTCTGAAGGAAACGCAGTCAGTGTTTACTGGGCGTCCGCTGGGGTCTTGCACTGGCTCCACAAAGTGGCGGGGACAGAGGGGAGGATCAGCGGTCCAAGCCTTGAGGCGCCCATGCTTTTTTGCATGAAAGGTTTTCTTATCAGAAATAACCAAACCCCAAACCCAAGAGAAGAAAAGCAACGTGAACTATTAAAGACCAGAGGTTCCTGACAGAAGGATGGTGGGGAGGCTTCACAGATGAGGTAAGGCTTGAGAGAAAGACCTGGAAGGAAGGCATTTCTCGACGCCTCCCCACGTGCTAAAGGGAGGGACAGTTGGGGGCAAGAACTTAACACCTGGTCCCACAGCTGCAGGATTCCGTCTTCTCAGCACCGGCCCCCCGCCGGGAGGGCCGGGAGGGGGCGACAGGGCAGCAGGCAGGGTCGCGGTGCGGGACAGTGACTGGCCCCAGAACCTCCCAGAGGGAGGCCAGATGGAGACGGGATGGGGACAGGGACAGGGAAGGGGCCATTTCTTCTTCTGCCTCTTTCAAAAATGTCCAGGGCCCCCCTCCACCAAGTTCCCTCACAAAGATGCTCTCCTGGCCTTACCTGCAGATACTGTGTTTTCAGGGATCGGTAATCCTTGGGGATCAAACCTGAGGGCGAGGAAGGCAAGACAGGGCCGTGAGCCAGCTGAGGCGCCCTAAAGTGTGTGGCCCAGCCAGCCAGCCAGCCCTCCTCCCCGCAAGAAAACTTCAGCCGGGAGGAAGGATTCAGTCAAGGGTGTTCGCCTTGCACCCTACCGCTGATTCTAAACGGACCCTTCAATAGAAGCTTACTGAAAGGGAAAGCCTGTATCGGGGAGGCAAGGGAGCACCCTGAACCACTGGACGCTGAGGGACACTGAACTGAGTGGTAACCCTGGCGGGGATGGGGGGCGGGGACGGCAGGGGGGGGCGGAAGCAGGACTTCCCTGCCTCTCTCTCTGGCTGCGGGCCAGTTCTGCGGGGCACCTCCTGGCGCTGCTGAGGAACAGAGGGTTCGCCTGGCCCCAGGAGCCAGTGTCGGATGTAGCCCTCCATTGAGGTAAGAAGAGATGGGCTTCCAACCACAATAAAGGGGACTCACAGTAAGCAAACCCCTGCTCTGGGCAGAGAGCACCCTCAAAGAGGCTCCCCAGCTGGGTGCCTTCAGCAGTAAAAACAAGCTGCCATCAAAGGCTAGAGAATCTGGGCTTCTGGAAACGTTTATGAAATTGCTTGGCTGTGACTTTCCGGCGGACGGCATCTTTATGAAGGAACCTGGTGGGAGGCGGCAGGCCGGCCGGAGCAGAGACAGAGGTGCCACCCTGCTCCACGCCTCTGCGGCCCTAAGACATGGCAGCCCTGGTCCAGGGTTGGAGGGCCTGCACGTCGTCCTGCGTAGGGTGAGGACACTAATTCACTCCACGGCCTGGAGATGTTTTGCTCCAAACAAAAACTGCTTAACTTTACAGAGGTAAGAATCCACAAAAGTGTAGGGAAATGTCCTGTCTGCTAGGGTATTTATTTCTCCTATCCTTTGGTAGTTTTCGACCTGGGATCTTCTGTCTCTGGAGCTCACCGTTCTCAGTGATGGACAGAAGGCACATGAGGCGAAGGCTTTCTATAGGTGACACCTATACAGGAAGAGAGAGCCAGGGAGAGTTCAAGTTTCATAACACACGTTCCCCTCCCCTCTTCCTTCTGCTGGAGGCCGGCCCCTGTGAATGGCCCCTGTGAACACCACGCCCTGCGTCCCGGGCCAGCCCACCTGCCGGTCAATGTGCTCTTCGATGTAGCTGGTGCTGTCGCGGACGTTGAAGCCCTCCAGCAGCGCTGCGAGCAATCAGAGGACAGCCTGTTACCGGGGAGCAGCTCAGCTGCCGCCAGCTATGCTGATGGGTGTCTGTCTCCCCATCTCCTTCACCATCCTGGATTAAGGGACCCCCCACGCTTCTAGCAGGAACAGGCAACTGCACAGCCAGCGTCCGCTGGAAAGAGCCAGACAGTAGCTTTTCAGGGCGGGATGGGGCAGGGGCCAGGGAGGCAGAAGCGAATGCCGCGAGGCACAACCAGTAGTCACCATGCTCGGTCTTGATGAGCTCCTGGAAGTCCTGCTTGGTTTTCTTCTTCATGATGGACTCACAGGCCCCAATATCTGCAGAGAGGATGAAAAGCCAGCTGACATGCTCCTGGTTCTAGAAGGATATTCCTTCATTGTCCACTAAAGACCTCAAGGCAAAATGCAGGAGCACTTCCCACTTTGGACCGAACGGGAGCATCGTTTGCCAGATGAAGGGGGGGTCTCCCTTCCGGGCCAGATGGCCTCCGTCGCGTCCCCCTCACTGCCTCCCAGCCACCCCCCAGCCGAAACCTACGCAGACTCAGCAGGCGGTGCTCTTGTTTCAGTCCCTTCAGCTCCTGGGACACGAAGTTCTTCATCTGCTTGATGTCCATGCCTCTGCGGCGCTGTGGGGAAGCCCCCAAGGTCACCTCTGCCCGCCCTCAGACAGGAGGAACCACTGCCCGCCCTCAGTTCAAACTGATCCGCGAGAAACGCCAGGGACCCTGTTGTGGTAGCAGGGGGGAGCCCAGCGCAGCAGCCTTGGAAAGCCACCGAGGAAACAGAGCAGAGGACCCGGGCTTGGAGCCTCACGTCGTACTGGGCCTGCAGGTTCCGGGCCTTCTGGCTCAAGAAACCGAAGACATTGGAGAAGTGCTCGTTGCGAATCTCGTGAAACACCTGTGAGGGGAACAGGAGAGGGAGGACTTCCTGAACAGAACCGCCCCTCGTTCCTTCCTGCCCCCTCAACGGAATGATGCGCGGGGGAGTGCTCAGCTGGTCCAGCACATGGAGGAGGGGAGCCCAACTGGCAGCACACGTTCTGTGTCAAATACCTGCTGTGTGCCCCAGGGGTACGCTCTGTCCCGTGGACTCAGCCTCTCCTCCCCGGGGGGTTGGGGGGTGCGCCCTTGGCCGAGTGGGAGCACAGCCCCTGGGGAAACGCACTGCGAGCACCCACACCCTCACCTTGTCCTCCGCATTGAGCAGCACCTTTAGGCTCTTGTCCGAGGATGTGATTTCTGGGCCAAAGTCGACACTCCCTTTGAGAGCAGAGGGGACAGCTGTGAGGTTCTCCGAGGAGGCCCTCCCTCTCCTACCCTTCCCAGGACTGCCATTAAAGGGCCTCCAAGCGGCCTGGAGGCCAGCGGCCCGCTCAGAGCCCGGGCCGCCCCCACGGGCCGTGCCCCACGCAGGAGGCCCCGGAAGCCGAGGACCAGCCCCAGCCGAGGTGCCACGTACCACACTTGATGCGGAAGGTGTCGTCCACCAGGCCTTCATAAACCACCTGGGAGCAAAGTGCCGTCACAAAGTCCACATCTGAAACCAAGAGCCCTGACCATGAGGGTCCCCCTGACACCGCCTGCTACCCCGGTTTGCTCAGCGTGAGCTCAGGTGCCGCCCCCAGGCCCGAGCGCCCGGGCTGCCATCCACGGTGCGTTCCCAGCCCCGCACGAGGGTCCTCTCTGAGCCACCACGGTTCCCACATTCCCATGGCCTCTGGGGCCCAGGGACCGGAGTACTGAGCACAGTTTACCTCTGTCCAGGAGAAAGATATGTCCAATTTCTGGCCTTCGGCCCTTGCTTTCACCATCCTCCTCCTCTTCCAGTTTCCGCCACAATTCGTATGACATCTGCCAGGGATCAAGACACTTTTTTTTTCCCCTCAAACTTTTATTTTGTTTTAATTCAACATTTTTATTTTGAGATGTTCACAGATTTGCATGCAGTTGTAAGAAATACAAGAAATTCGTAACCTCATGTCCAAGGCCCTCCTGCAGCCCTGCTCCTACAGACACCAACCCCTCCCATGGGACACTTCTCCTTGACCCCAAGAAGGAAGCGAATTTTTTAAAGATTTTATTTATTTATTTTTAAAGATAGAGGAAAGGAGGGAGAAAGAGAGGGTGTAAACATCGATGTGTGAGAGAAACACCCATCAGTTGCCTCTGGCACGCCCCCAACCAGGGACCGGGCCTGCAGCCCTGGCACGTGCCCTGACCAGGAATCAAACTGGCGACCTTTTGCTTTGCAGGAGGACACCCAATTAAGTGAGCCACGCCGGTCAGGGCAGGAGCTAGTTGTTAGCAACGTTACCTGTTCTGGTCCCATTTGTTCCAACCCCGCCCCCTGCACCTGCTCCCCCGGCCCCATTCCCACAGAGACAAAGACCAAGAGATTCAGGGATGCCGCCCAGGGACCGGCTCTGGCCTCCCTGTTAGCCACACAAGCCCTCCTCTCCGAGGAGCTGTTCTGCAACAACAGAAGCACGGGAAAGAACAGACCTCTGGCTGTAGGTGCCCCGGGGCCCTCCCAGCACTCACCTTGGCACACCTGCCAATTCCGTAGCAGTTCGGAAAGGGGCCGTAGAGCGTGCTGAGGAGGTGCAGCGCCTGCGCCACAGTGTTGATCCACCGCTGGTCTCCTTCCTGCAGAGACCACCGGGACCACAAAGTTGGAGGCCAGCCCGACAGACCCGCCTAGAAAGCGCCAGCCCGCGGGCCCTGGGGCAAGAGGCAGGCCGCGGGGATGCCTGAGACAGTTCACTTGGATTGTCCCCCAAGGAAGTCCCATGCCCGCCCATCTGTGGCACTCCACCTCCCAATCGCTGTCACGCATAATAAACTGTGGGAGTTGGATGAAGGTACATCAGTATTGCACTGGACCCCTGCTTGTCCCCACCCGTCATCGATGCCAACGCCCAAGGGCCCCGCATTTACCAGGAAGTAGTCCCTGAAAAATTCCGGCAGCTCCATGCTCAGCAGATCCACGTCGAGAGGCAGCAGAGAGAAGGCCCACTCATCACAGCTCACATCTGTGGGCAGAAAGAGCCTCAGCCACCCTGCAGAAGGCACGTGGCTCCACGGACGTGGGCCTGCACGCCGGTCACCCTGCGACGGCTCCAGGGCGCCCCGCACGCCCGTGCTGCGCTGAGCATGGCTGCTCAAGGTCGGGTAAGCCACAGCCTGAGCCCCAAAGGAGCCCAGAGTCTGGTAACAAACGAGACCAGTACACAACAGCTCAAAATGCGATGTGACCAGGCGGGTTTCTTCACTAGAGTCCCAACGAGAAACACCGCAGAAACACGCAGTCACCATGAGACAGGTACTGGCTGAAAGGCGCACACATGCAGGCACTAGGCTAGGCACCGGGGACATGGGGGGCAGAGAACAAATCTGCCCCCAATCTCCTGGGCAGATTCTTACAGTCCAGTGGCAGACACGCACCAGGCAGACTTAATTACAGTTGTGCCCCAAAGACTGTAACAGCAATCCACGAGCGCAGACATTTCAGGGCCTAAGCTCAAATAGGGGCGCAGGAAAGGCAACCCTCAGGAAGTGACAATCAGGCCTAGGCTCTAAGTAAGACTGGGGTGGGGAAAAGTGCAGGGCGGGGGCTGCTCCAGCCACTTCAGGGCATGACGCAGGCAGGGCCGTGGCCGGCCAGGGCTGCGTGGGGGATGGGGCGTACGCAGCACAAGGGAAGGCACAGCTTCTCTTTAGGGGAGTCGTGGGAGGTAAGGACAGGGCCATTGGTGCCTCCGAGGATGAGCCCTCGCATCCCCTCTTACTGTTCCCCTCATTGCCAGCCTCAGGCACGTCTCCTCCCACTGGGCCCACGGGAAGGGGACAGGAAGGGGAGGGGACGGGGCGGGAGAGGGACAGTTACTCCTTCCGCATCTGCTGCCCCCTTTCACTCTCACTCATCTTCTCTCACCTCCAAAGATCCCCTCCTCCTCAAGCACCATCTCACAGGCATGGAACTGCAGGAGGAAAGGAAGCCGGTCAGCAGACGCCTCTCCCTGTCCTGGCCATCCTCGCGGTCGCTGATGGGGACAGCACCTGCTGGACCGCGCAGGAGGACCCGGACGCTCAGATCTGGAAAGGCCAGCGGAGCCACCTGCCTGCCTAACAGTGTGTTCCCTGTCATCCATTTCCTGTTTGGATCAAGTCTGCCGGTCTTTTCTCCCCAGAGGCTGGAACAGCCCTGCCGCGGCTGTGCGGGAAGGGCAGTCCTGCCGGCAGGGACGGGGAGGGCGTGACGCCACGGAAGGTGGGCAGTGAAGAGCGGCGGCGCAGAGAGGGCGCTCGGGTAGGAACCCGTCCGTGGGGCCCCTGGAGACACTGAGGGATCTGGAGGCACAGCCTTGGAGGTCAGTGACACGTGTGGCATTTAAAGTGGGTGGTCTGTCCAGGAGAAGAGAAGACGTGGGGAGGAGGGCGCTCAGGGCCGGACCCTAGGGGACACCAAAACGAGGCTGCAGGCGGAGTAAGCAGACGCAGAGGCGGGGCTCGGAGAAGACGGCACCTCCGAGGGCGGGAGGTCGGAGTTCAGGAAGAACCGGCAGGAGCATCAAACGCCAGAGCCGTTGAGTGGGACGAGCATGAACCAGGCGTCACTGGGTTTGACACCAGCAGCTCAGATGTAAAGGCGGAGGTGGAATGGGGACAGAAGTGGTGGCAGCAGAGACTCCTTCACAGAAGGAGAGCCCCCGACAGGGAGGGAGATGAAGGGACAGGCATGGTGCCCACGGGAGAGAGAGGACCTGCCCTAGGAAGCGGCAGCGGACAGGGCAGGCAGGGGCGGGGCCCCGGTGCAGCGAGCCCACAGCGAGGACGGACGCGGCCTCCCTCTCTTTCCCCCAAGACAAGTGGGAAAAGGCGGAACCTCCTGGAGGCGATGCGGGAGGAAGGGGAGAGCCCCCCACCGGCTGATGATGACGACAGTAACAGGGCCTGCACCGGGACCGTCACACGGAGCAGGCACTGAGGCTGGTGTCCCGCAAGGATTGCCCCTCTTCTCCCCCACCGCAGCTCCGAGGTGAGGCAGGTGATCGCCGTGTGCGCCCTACTTTACTGCCACAGAGAAGCGTCCTCTTCATCCCTCACCCGTTTGTCTCAGCGAAACTGAAGCCCACAGCCCTGCTTTTCATGCTAAAGGATGGAATTCCAGGGCCCAGCTTGAAACCCGCCCCTATATCAACAAAGGGGACCTCGGGGAGGCAGCGGCTCCTCTCCCCTGCAGCTGCTGAGGGAGAGCTCTTCCTGTGACACAAGATTAGGTCAAGGAATCTGATTCAATACAGTGTTCGATGGAAAAAACTCATAAAAATGTCAGTTTGGTTTTGCTGTGTAATATAGAGGTCTGTATTCAAACCTGTTACTACCTTGTTCTCATCCTTGTTTAAACAAATGTCCTTGGAAGTATAATTTTTTTTTTTAAAAGGGTTTTGTAAGACTTCAGTAACTAGAAATTATTGCCACAGCTCTTTTAATGACATTCAGAAGTAACCTGTAATTCCAACCGATTTTCTTATTCTGTAGTTTCTTGCCCTGGAAGGAGTCACACTTGACAAACTTGTGTCCCTCAACAGGACCCAGAGCAGGAAGACTGTGCTCGCAACTTTCAAATGGTCTTCAAAGCAAGACCATTGGCTCTTTCCTCTTATTCCTTTACATGAGGAAAAAGGCCATATAAGCCTATGATTCCACTCAATTCCTTAACAGAAACTGAAAGTCATCGCATGCAAGAGTTAAGTAGCATTATCAACTCCATTTTATAGATGAGAAAACTGAGACACTGAGCAGTTACCCAAGGACCACACTTCAGCTTCGGAATCTTTAGGCTCCTGTCGTCTCAGGAGCAATCCCTGGCCTTTCTGCTTTAATTTCTACCCGCTCGAGGCTGAGCACGCACCTCTGACGCACCTCGCTGATGCGGGGTGGGGGGCGGTCGGAGGAATCAAGCGGAGCCACTACAACAGCTCGCCGAGCACTAACATCACCGAGGGAAAGGTGGAAGGGACCTAGCCCAGCTCCGCCACCTCCCGGTGTGACCGTGGGCTTGTTCCCACAAGCTGGGGGGGGGGGGTAAAACGGTCTCTGCGGTTCCTATCCTGTGTGAGGAAAGGCCCAGCAACGATTTAGTGTATTTATTATTAAAGGGCTACAGGGAGAAAGTCACTGAAAAGCACCACCATCGCAGGCCATTGACGCGCAGGAATCTGTGTGAGAAGGGAAACAGCAGCTTCCACCTCAAGGGTCAGCCTTCTCACTTAACGTGCGTGGAGGCCCCTCCCACAAGTCCCACAGTCCACATTTGGGGTAGGTTGGTGACAGGCCTCTGCTAAACAGTCAGGGCTACGTCAGTGAGACACTGACAGGGATGTGCTCAGACACACGTAACTTGCTTTGAGGGACATGGAGCTGTTGGCCCATTGTCCCAACCCAGGCCTGAGCCCGGTCCGCCCTTATCCCACTGCCACCAGGGTCCAAACTCACCTTCTGAGGGCTGAAGATCACTTTGTATTTTCGGGTTCGGCCGGCCAATTTGTCAGCATTGACAAGATCTACGGACAGAAGGAATGCAACTCAGAAAGCCCTGGGCCATGGTTATTTGAGAAGCGAGGAGGCCGCTATCCCCCACACGCAGCGTGGCCAGCTCCAGCAGTTTCCTTACGAAAGGGTCCTTGTGGCCAAGGCCTTCGATCTCGCCACCCCACCCCAGGCGGAAGTGACACGCCGCGCCGTGGCATGCGTACTCACTGGCAATGTATCGCATGTTCTTGATGCGGGGTCTGACCAAGAAACACAGTCTGTGGGAGAGAAGGGGAAAAAACTCAGTGAAGGGAAGTCACGAAGTTGGGGATAGCACCAACTAAGAAACTGAAACAACGCCAACTCTTTCACCATTTGCCCCTCTCGACAGGCCTACAGGTCTTTGTCTCACCACAGCCTGCCCCTCGCACTCAGGGATACTGTGCTCCTGGGGGACACTCTCTGGCCCTACGGTGCACCCGGGAGTTCCTGTTCTCAAGTAACTTACAACCTACCAGGCAAAATAGGTTGCCAATACATATAAAGCATCACACAAGTGTTAAGAAATGAAACAAGAAGGTATATAAAGCAATGTTTTTTGAACTGGGGTTCATGGATGCATTCTCCACGTATCCGGGGAATTCCTCCTCTAAGGGAGGGTGTACATTACTTAAGAGTGAGAAATATTGAAAAGAAAAACAAAATCCAGAGAGCGGGCAGTGTGTGACTGTGCCAAGGGGGACAGGACCTGTCCCACATGCCCTGGAAATCCAGGGGAGCTCCATGGAGGAGGTGGGGTGGTGTGTGAACGCCGGGCGCTTTTTGCAGGAGCAGCAAGGACGGGGGGGCATTCGGGGCAGAGCGACTGGAGGGGCCAAGAGGGCGAAGGCACATGCATGGCGTTGGGGAGCCCAGGCAAGCAGAGGCCTGGCTGGCAAGGCCGCAGGAGGCCCCCTGGAGATGCCCTGAGCTTCAGCGATGAGCTATTTGGACTTTACTCAGTAAATAAGGGAAGCCTTGCTGTTCTTGAGAGGAGCGCAGGGAAGATATTTTTGAAAGCTTCATCAACCTGGTTAGAGATGGAAGACTGGGTTAGAGCGAGAAGAGGACAAGGGAGGGAGATGCTGCAGAAAGAGGGAAACTGAAGGGGCTGAGGCAGAACCTAGCAGGCAACTGGGAGAGGGCAGGGAGGGGAGCCATACGGCAAACGTCACAGGGCGCAAACATCATGGGACCAGATCTCAGCCACGGACGCGTCCAGGGCAAGCGTGCAGGGACTTCCTCCAGCTGGGAGCAGACTCCCCCGGGCACTCACTGTTCACTGGAGCTCAGGGCTGGCCTGTTCTCCACCTTGTACAGCTTGTCTACTTCGTGTTGCTGCGGAGAGAATCCAGCAAGACAAGGGACATGGAATGCTTGGAAACCCAAAGCATGACAGACAGAGGACTTGGGCTCCCACTGATGCTAATTTGGGAAATCAAATGGCCTCCCTGACAACCATTCACTGAACCTTTGTCAAACTGTCAACAGAAAAACTAAAACACTTCAAAAGCAATGTGGACAACAGCATCGATCCCCCTTTGCGCACCCGATCCAGCTACTCTTTCTTGGTACTGTTCACCCAAAGGAAAAGTGCTTAACGAGGAAAGGGTGGCCCAGGTCCCCCTGGAAGGAAGGGCAGTTACCTTCAGGATGGAGACGTTGGCAATTCGATCCAAAGGGCTCATGAGATCTGCCTCGATGAACAGGTCTTTTTTCCCTGGAAGCTGAAGGAGACACCGTATCCTGGGTCACTCAGGCCACACAAGCTCCTGCGGTGAGAGCCCGTGCAGCCGCACATTGAACAGAAGCACAGTCTCTGAGCAGGAAGGGCACAGACATCATCTACCCCAGAGCCTTAATTTGCTGCTGCTATTACATCCACAGTGGACATTTCTCTATATGGTCACCTATTTTGTCTTCTCATTTTCTGTACCAGCAGCAAAATATCTTGCCTCCTTCCTAAGGTTAACTCCCTATCACTCAGCCCTCCAGCCTAGCCTGTGACCTTGTCTTTCATCGCTGCCCCTCTTCTTCACTGTGGGCCTCCCAATAACCCTGGTCCTGCAGGGCAAAGGCAAACAAAAACACACCCCTCCTTGTATTCTGCAACCCCTTCAACTGCCAAATCTCTTTTTAAGCAGCTTTTTCTTCTAAGCACAAAATGAGTCTGTTTTCAACACATTCCCCCCCCACCCCCACCCCCACCCCGCCAGATCCCTGTCATCTGATTCCGGCATCATCAATCCTAACGAGGCTCTCACCTGGGTGGCGGAAGGAAGGGTCACACCGAGTGGCCAGTGGTGCAGGAAGGAACTCACTGCGAGTCTCCTCTCAACTAGACCCTGACAAGTGGTTGGGCGGGGGCGGGGGGGCGGGGCGGGGGGAGCTGCTCGCAGGGATACAATAAGAAGGCAATCCAGCAAAGGCTGGGGAAAGAGAACAGGCTGAATGGTCGGAGCAAAACAAGCAATTCAGCGTGGCTGAGGCTTAGGCACATACAGGGCAATGGTACTCAGTCTTGATGTAAGGGAACATTGAAAGCAGTTGTCTAGAATTGGAGCGTGAAGGGCCGGCCCCAAATGCCAGGTTAGAGAGTTTGGAACTGATCCTCTACCACACAGGGAAAAACAGGAAGCTTTTGTACCCTGAAACCTCCTTTTCAGTGAGCTGAATCTGGGAACTGCAGGTAACAGAGGTTGGAGACAGGAGAAACTGGAGGCAAGGAGTCCTCTTTTGGGGATAGAGACAGTCCAAGCAGCCCACGCATGTGGCAGTGAGTGAGGACCTGAGTTAGGCTAGTTGGTGGTGTGAACATAATAGGTTATTTAAGGGACACATGGAATGTGTAATAGAATTTTTAAAAAATAATTGAAAGAAATGAACAGTGTTAACAGTGCTTGCATCCAATGGTAACAATATAAGTGATTTTTTTCTTTGTACTTTCCTTTATCTCGTACATTTCCTATGATGTGTAAGTATTATTTTATAATCACTATTTTAAAAAGACAGGTGGAAAGAAATATCCATAGGACTCAGTAACTGGTTCGGTCCAGTATGAGTGGGGAAGGGGAGTCAAAGCCGATTCTGAGGCTTCATGGCTGAACAGCAATGTCCATTAACAAGGATTAAGAGAGAAGACGTTAATTTGAAGGGGATGTCACTGCACCAAAACCCACTTTGGCCGTGGTGAGTCGCCCTTGTGGCTACTTGTCCCCGCCTACACTGCATTTACAAGTTTCTCTCCTTGGTCTCATTTACTCTCTTTCCTGTGGCTCTCACCTGTGCTAGTGGCTTTAACTAGCACCTCTTCAATTCCTCACATTTGTTGAGCGAGTTTCATGTGCAAATCAGGGCACAGAAAAGTGAAATAAAATACAGTCCTAGATTCCCTGAGGTCTTGAAGTCCCCATCCTCATCCTGGCTGCAGCTCTACAGCTCCATCTGCTGGACGTTCCAGGCAGCGTTTCCTACCAGCATCGTAACGTCACCGGGCCCGAGCCCAAACTAAGAACTTTCCCCACCAAACCTGTTTTCCTTTCCAATTCTTTTTCTTTTTTTTTTTTTTCATGTCCACCCAATGTTCCTGCAACAAATACTTACTAATGTGCCTGCCTCTCACAAGGTGTAGTGTGTTAAAACAGACACATTCCCTGTCCTTGAGGTCCTTCCAATCTATTGGGGAACATGGACATTAAATAACTATGTATGTAACAATTACGTTCACAATTATAGTAGGTCTTATTTTCCTATTAACCTAAGTTTAAAACCTCAAACTCAGCTTTGCTTCTCCCTCCACCTTTACAACCAATCAGTAAGTCTTTGAATCTTTTTCCACTGTGACTTAAAATTCCCTCCGTTCCCTGGGTCACTGATTTTGGACGGGCCTTTATTACCTCAGTCTGATCTATGGTCTCCTAATTGGCCTTCCTGATGCCCATTTCCCCGCCTCCACTCGCAGCTACTAGAATCACCTTCAGGTATTGCTTCGTGCCACAAATGGGGAAAAATCCTTCAGTGGCTGCCCACTGTGCAACGTGTAATCACTCTCTTCCCTGTAAACGCCTCGTCTTTCCCGGGTTCCTCAACTTTGCTCCTACCAATCCATCTCCCGGGAACATGGTCTCCCATCTCCAAGAAAAATATGCGTATTCTTCACATTCTAGCTCCTTGAAACACGTAGATCACTCCAGCTCAAATGGCTGCTTCTTCTGAAAGCTTCAGGCACCCTAGCTACCACTCACCACACCATACGCTGTGTGAGACGCCTCCTACTGGAGTGCGAGCTCCCTCGTAGCGAAGATGTCTTAACCACCCTTCCCTCCCAGGGATGCCTGGCAATAGTGCTGTGTCCCTTGCTCTACGGGAAGAAGGTGGTTTCCATGAACTCCCTGGCCCGGTCCCAGGTTTTCCTCCCTGAGTGCTTCGTTTCGGGCCGGCCACAGAAGTTCCAAGGACAAGACCAAAGGCCAAGAACGAGCTCAAGGGGGACTCAGCAAAGAAGAACCACGCGTCCAGTGCGTGCAGCAAAGGCCCCCGGCGCGGCGGGCACTGACCTGCTCCAGCAGGTAGATGAGCTGGTCTCGGGCTAGCCTCTTGAGCATGGAGAAGTCAGGCAGCTCCGGGGCGTCCGGCCGATGGGGGAAAGCCATGGCCGTGGGGTTTAAGAAGAGGGTCGCCCTCTGCTCTTCACAGGGCCGGCAGCAGCCCAGGGTAAGCGCAGGGTCGCTCTCCTTCAGGCCTGGGCACGGGCTTCAAAAGAGCCCCCGAAGGGGCCCTCACTCGTAAGCTGCGCTCGAGGGATGAATGGCCACCTCCCTGCCAGACAGCAGCAGCCTCAGGCTACCTTCGTCCCAGGCCCGCAGCCTCCGTGTCCCGACCCGGCTCCAATTGCTCCGCTCCTCGGGTCGGAAGGATTCCTGTCTTCGCGGCTGCAGAGACAACCCCGCCTCCTGACAGAGAAAAAGCACTTCCGGGACCTTCCGGAAGTCCTCCTCCCTCGGCCGGCGTTTGGCGTAAGGAGAAATGGACGGCGTCCTGGAAGGGACAATTGAAAACGGCAGTCAACCCGTCGAAGTTCGCGTCTCACTTCTGGCCAGAGAAATGTGTTCCTATGATAAAACTAGTGTTTAAGGGTACACTCGGTTCTCCTAGCTCACTCAAGCGAGGGTTGGGCACTTGCTCAGTTTTCAGAACTTCATACAATGAGTGAAACCAATTGGAGACTGAAGGGCGCTGATCACTGGAGATCTTGACCGTCAATCAAACCTCTGTATCGAGCGCTAGCTAGCAGCTCTCCGGCTTCCGAGCTGCAGGTGAGACGCGAAGAGATGGGGGTCGGGTTGGGGTTGGGGGAGACGAGAACGCGTTAGGATCCCACGGGAGGTAAGTCCCGCCGGCTGTGACCTTTGGATACCGGGGTTTCGACTCATTAATGCCCTTCGTGGGAAAATGGATTAATAAACTGTACCGTATTTATAAAAATAAATGAATAAACAAAAGCAGCCAGACGGGAGTGTCATCGGTGTGCTGCTATTTACATGAGGTTCTAGGACAGGACAAATTAACCTGTGTTGAAAAATTTCTGAAAAGTGCTTGACTTAAGGATAACTGGGAAGAGAAATTAGGGAATTTTCAGGGCTGATGGTAATTATCTGCATCTACCTATTTAAAGAGTGGGGGACCTTAGAGTCTTAAGGGATAGATCCGGCTGACAATAACCTGAGCTCAGTAATCAATCGTAACGTCACATCCTCATCTCCTGGTGAGATGCACAGGAAGTACAGAGTATCAGCCATTGCCAAAATTTTGACCTGATTAAGTCTCAAGGCGAGCTGTCAGTTCATAGGAAACATAGAGGGTGATGAGAACATGTGAGAAGACATCGTAAGGATGAAATCAAAGTGAAGGAAATTATATGGGATAAGTAACTTGTCAACTAAAAGGGGAAAGCACTTCAGAATAAGAGATTTCTGGAACTTATCAACACAAAGCACCGTTGCAGCATGGACCTTATTTGGATCCTAATTCAAAGAAGTAAACCATAAAAGCCATTTATGCAACAATCAGGGAATACTATCATGGTATTAGCTGAAAGTAAGGAATTACTAAAACTTAAGTGATAGTAATGGCATATATATGTTAAACAGGAGTGCTTGTATTTTTGAGATCCACCCTGATGTACTTATAGATGAAATATGTCTGGAATTTATTTTAAGCCGGGGTACATGTGCAGCAAGTGCAGGATAGTAAGATTGGCCTTTTGTTCAATGTTAAAGCTGTGTGATGGGTACACAGGGGTTCATTGCATTACAATATTCTCCACTTTTGTATATTTGAAAAATTCTGTAAGATCAAGCAAAAAAACTTCTGTGCTCACCATGGGCTTCAGGAGCTCATCTAGCAGTTTATACTGAGCTTTTTCTCCCCACCCTATCTCAGACTGAATCTCAGCAACAGAGGTGGAGGATGCCCGGAAGAGACGACACACACACACTCCAGAGCACCAGAACTCAAGTCCGTTCTGTTGTCCAGTTTACCAGCCTCTTGAGCTTGCCCCCCCCAGGTTTCTCTGAGATGTCCGTTCTACTCACAGCTGCTTTTGCTCCAGTTCCAGCAGAGCCTTGTCATCTGCTGCTCCCTCCACCAGACACTGCACCTGTGCTCCTGCGGGTTAGAATCTGAGATTGACAGGATGGAGCAGGAACACGTCAACCCAGAGGGAGCTTAGGCCTCGTGGACTGATTTCTGCATGGGTGGGCTGGCAAGGGAGAAATGCAGGGCTTTCTGCCTCCGTGGACTGGCTAGTGTAAGGTTCCCCAATCATTCCTTCGTTCGTTTTAAAATGTGTTGGGAGCTGGAACTGCAGGAATACAGACACGTCTCCTGCCCTCATGGGGTCTACATTCTATTGGTTGAGTAATGACAAATACAGTGGTAGTATTTTTCAAATACTGAAGAAAATTAAACAGGGTATGGTGATAGTGAGAACATGGAGATGCTTTAGATCTGGTGATTAGGGAAAACCTACAAAATAACATTTGATCTGAGTCCTGAATGACAAGGAGACAGCCATGTGAAAACCTGGGGACAAAGAACCAGTAAGTGCAAAAAAGCCTTTGACTGACATTTACAAGAATGGAAATATTTAAGCTTAGTGAACAATAGCAGAGAATGAGGCAAAAGGAATACCTATTCCAGTTGGTAACAACAGCTATAATTGGGGGAAGGTCATGGTTAAACAATTTGCAGGAGTTAGAAATGCAAATTTAAATAGTCAAGCAGCATCTATACCTCTTAAATGACTAAAAGGTTCTAATAGCAAACGACCATATTCTTTAAAATCATAATATTGATAAGCTTTTACTAGAAGCTACAAGACCAGCAAGAACAGGAGCTTCATCTGTCCAATGCTGCATTACCAATACCTGGATTTCCTTTGACTGGCAGGTGATAAGGCCATTTAAACTGAACAAATGCTCTAGGTTAGCAGTAAAACAAGGATGTTAAAATTGCTGTTGATGACATTTGAAGTAAGATTTCACAAACAGGCCATCAATAATAGGTTTGGAATTACATGTTTTCATTAAAGATTCTGCATATATTTAAACTCTGAATAACCCATTTTTGCTGTCAATTGTTAAAATGAGACATGGCTGAAAACTGTCTTTGGGCTCCTGCTGCTTGCATGTCTCATTCTATCTCTGTGACAATCCCTTTCTGTTATAAAAAAGTATCTCTAATTTTAAAAGCCTTAAATTAGGGATCAGTTTTGGGTTCAAGTACCAGTGTTGCTACATACTAGTAGCCATGTGGCCTTAGGCATATCCAAACCTTTGAGATGGTGCCATTTGTTAAAAGAGGCCTATTATCTGTTCTTGCCCACGTCGTAACACCCTTGCAAAGATGTGATGAAAAACTGAAAAGACACTATTTCAGCTTTTGAAAGGGGTTCGCAATTATTTTGAGGGCCCCTGAAGCCTTTGCCTACTTCGCATTTTAAAAAATAAAGTCAAACCCCATACACGCCTCAATCTTTTAGAACCTTAGCAACTGAGAGAAATCACATCCTTTTTACTTGTCAAAATCCAACACTGAGCAGTGACCTGCAGAGCTCTCTGCTGGGGATTCTCCTCTGGCCCCATCTCCCTCCCAATGTGCATTAAGAAGGAACCCTTTGCCTCTTCCCTTCCCTCCCTCTCCAGGTTTCACAGGTAAACCCTCCCACCCCACAGAGTACCAATCAACAAACTGCTACATTTCACTTTATTTTGCACATAATGAAAACAACCAATTGACTAAGCAGTACCAGAACTGTTAGTGTTCGTTAATCAAGAACCAAACAATGTCAGAAGGCCAACTTTTCAATTCCTCCCAAATATATTTTGCAAGTACAACAGAAACTCCTAACACATGCAACACAGGCTGGTTTGGACACAAAGCCTAAGCAAGAAGGTAAGTATTGAATATCCACATGGGTCAGGAAGCTGTACCGTACCCAGCCAGTCATTCACACTGCCGCCGCCCCCATATACATCTGCCCTGTGAAGTCCACTGCCCCTTGTCAGATGGAAATCCAAGCACTCTCTCCTCCACTGCCAGACTCGTCACTTCCTCTTATTCCAAGGTGGATAATCCATACACAGAAATCCAGGCAACTAAAATATGGTTGCCCAGCTATGTTTCACGCAGCATCTCCACAAGTCAGGCTCCAGTTCAAATTCTATACAGGAAGTTCCCGTTGTCGTCAAAGAACTCTCGACCCCGCTGCACTACTTTGCTGCTGAAGTTCCGGCCACCCAGCTCTCCTGCCTTCAACTCTTCCAGCTCATCTGCACTTGGCAACCCATCACTGCCGGTTCCCCTGGTAGCCTCACAATTGGTGGCGGGATGCTTCTGCAGCTCTCTCTGATGACCTCGGGCTGCTGCGGCAGGCACACAGCTTTCCTTCTCCGGGCTCTGGGTTCCGTGACTCCTCCCCTTCTGTCTCCTTGGTGCGTATGTACTGTGAGTATTCGGTCTTATCACCTTCAAAGCTGTGCTGTCACCCTGGCCTTGGCATGAAGCTTCACCTCCTGACATGGAGTGGCCTGCAGAAAGCAGGTTCCAGGTATCCCCAGAGCCTGGAAGCCGGTGGAGTGAGTGGGCAAGCCCAGCTTTCTTAAGGACTTTTAGATCCTGCTTCAGTTTCTGCTCCAATGTGGGTACAAACTTGCTTTTTAAAACCCTTCGGATCACATCGGTGCTAACATCAAAGCCTTCAGCCAATCTGGGAACTGACCAGGACTCTGCAAATTCCTTATGTAAATACCTATAGGAAAACGAAGCAGTTTTTCAAATTGTCAAGTCTTCTGTCAGAATAGCTAACTGATAATATTAGTGATAAATACATAAGAGCTGCAAACATAGGCTGTGTTCCACTCCATTGTGTGAGCAGCAACACCCAACCACTCTTAGATCACTATTTCACATCAGCTGACCTCCTCCCACCGCACAGCGGCCCCAGTTAATGCTGGTGAACGCATGAAGACTGCCCTTCCCTTTAAAGAACCTAAGTCCAGTGGCCAAGACAAATAAATATGTTAACATCCAACAACACTGTGGTAAGTCACAGCACAGGATGCTGTGAGAGCGCCCACAACAGAGACCCAAGACAGGCTGTCACAAGACTTGCAGTGTAGCCTAGGAACTGCTTCAGGATGTCGATGTTAGAGCTGGTCTGAAAGGATGAAAAGGAGCAATAAGCTGGCAGAGGGGAGGAGGGAAGAAGAGATCAAAAATACTGACGGTAGAGTGAGCATGTGAAATGCAAAGACCACCACCTTTATGGGGAATAACTCAATTTGTCTGACAGTGAGGACAGGAGAACGATCATGCCATCTTAGGAGTCTGGAGTTTATTCCAAAGCAACAGCAAACCAAGGAGAGCTTTTAAGTGGTAGAATGCCGTGAGCCAATTTTCATTCTGAAGCTCAATCCAGTGGTAGTTCTTCAGTGGCAAGACTAGAGGTAGGAAGACCAGGCAAGAGCTGTCAGAATAACCTAGGCAGGATGAGCTGAGGTGGTGGCAATGACAGCAGAGGAGGAACGAGACCTGAGAAATATTTTAGGAAGGTCAAGTAGTAGAACTTGATAAGCGAGTAAGCTGGCTGAGATTCAGGACTTTAGCATGGGTGACTTGTGGGATCATTCAAGGGCTTTGGAAAAAATAGGAGCAGAATTAAATTGTCCAGGAACAGTGATAAAGTCTATTTTGTACACACTGAGTTGGGGGAACCTGTGTGACATCCAAACAGAGGTATCTAGTGCACAGCTGAATACAAATAGAGTTCAGAAGAAAAACACGGACTGAAGATGATGGCTTTGGAAGTCATCAGCCAACAGCAAAGGTGGCTGAAGCCATGTGATTGGCTGGCATTAGGCAGGGAAGTATGTGGAGTGAGATAAAATAACTGAAAACACAACTATTTAAAAAAAAAAAGGCAATATTTGAGATATAGGAGGAAGAAGGGGTGTTCAGAAAGGAAAGAAAAGCTGCCCTAAAAATAGAAGCAAGTGGTACCTGGGTCAAGGGAGAAAAGAATTTCACAAAAGCTGACTATGAGGTCAAATGCTGCAGAAATGTTAGGGAGGCTAAAGACCAGAGGGTCAGTTAGGCCTAGATTTATGGCAGATGTGCCTAGATTTGCTTCATAAACAAAACAAAAAACAATGGCAGGCAGCCTGCTCAGAACAATAAAGGAAACACTTCAGTTGACAGATGTAGGTGCCTCAGGAATTAAGTAGGGCTGTGACCTGGAGCACACAGAGCAGTAGCCCTGGACAAGTCTCCTCTTAGATGTAAATATAGTGTGAGTATAGGATTGAGATGGAAAACAAGAAGGAAGACCAAGAAACTCTGAAGGAGTCCTACCTAACAGCCTGTTTTCCTTTGAAGTAAGACGACAGTTACAGGCCACGAAAGGGGATGGGGCAGGTACGAAGATTTGAAAAAGCTTTTGTTCCAGACAGGAGAGGAAGCCAGTGGCGAGAGGCGCTGCAGGCTCACCAAGGCTTCTTGATCAGCTCTACCGAATCTTTCAGTCTCAATTCCAGAGTCATTCTGATGAAAATGGATTGTAACACATAACCCACTGATGGCTATTTAGGAATATTTATCAAAATGCAGATCCATTTGCCCTTGGACCCAGCACCTCTACTTCAGGGAATGCACAAAACAACTACGCCTAACAGATATGGTGTTTGCACAGTTACTCACTAGAGCAGTGATTTTCAATCTTTTCACCTCATGGCACATATAAACTAATTACTAAAATTCTGTGGCACACCAAAAATAGATTTTATTTTTTTGCCAAACTGACCCAAAAAGGCCTATTTTGATTCACTCACAGAGGATGGCTATTGTTGTTTTCGCTGTTGTCACTTTATTTGACAATCTACGGGAAAAGAGGTCAGTGCCCTTGACTAAACAGTCAGGTACTGCGCATTTTAAAAATTCTTGCAGCATGCCACTGAAAATTGCTGCCCTAAAGCACTATTTGTGGTAGCAAATGAATGGAAACCATCCAGACACACACCATAAAAGGCTGGTTAACTAATCTAGGATTTACTCTGCTTCCTATAAAAAAAGAAAAAGCTTTCTTTTCTGAAGTAGAAAGATATTAAGTGAAAAAAGTATAGACACCACAAATTTATAGCATCCTAGTGTTTGTGATTAAGATGAAAATAAAAATCTATAATCATATATGCTGTATTTGCTCAAGGAAACCTAGGGAAAAAAGCCCAAAAACCTAAATTTGAAGCATTTGAAATGTAAGAATCTCTTTTAAGATTTTCTAAGCTATAGATCCTCTCCTCGGAAAAATGGGCATACCCATGAAAGCTCCCATCCCTGTATCTTAGATTAAGAACGTCCCAATTTTCTATCTAGGGTTTACATGTTGTGAGGTCTGCAACCAACTATTTTAAAATTTCAGCAAAATGAACCAACTGTGTCACAATGTTTAAAAAACTACTAAATCAAGACAACAGGCTTCTGGCAGTTCATTGTACTACTTTAAGAAATCATAAGGGAGCCCTGCCCGGGTAGCTCAGTGGGTTGGTGTGGGGTCCCAGGCACCCAGGTTGCTCTCTGGTCGGGGCACATAAAAGAAGGGACCAATGAATGCATAAATCAGTGGGACAACAAATCCATGTTTCCCGTTCTCTCTTCCTCTCTCGCTCTAAACAAAGGAGTAAGTAATAAAAAAGGAATCTGAGCCCTGTCCAGTGTGGCTCGGCGGACGTAAACTCAAAGGTCAAAGGTCCAATTCCCAGTCAAGTCACATGAGTAGCTGGCCAGACACGTCTCCAGCTGGGGGCATGCGAGAGGCAACCAATCCATGTATTATCGATATCTCTCTCTCTCTCGCACATCGATGTTTCCCTTCTTTCCCCCTCCCTTCCCCTCTCTAAAAAATAAAAAGTATTTTTTTTTAAAGCCTGAAATAACAAAAGAAAACAAAAGCTATATCGTCCGCCCCAGTAGCCTTCCCTCCCCAGCGCAGCAGATCCAAACACCAGGGGGACGTCTTACCGGATCTGCTCCATGGCTTCCCTCGTCAGAGTCCTGGGCGGAGCACCACGCGTCTCCATTTGCCTCCGAATTTTCTGGAGCCGGATGGCTCTTTTCTGTCGTTTCAGGGCGCTGGAGAAGAGAACCAATGGCAGAAGCCATGCGTGGAAGCAAGGTGGGTGGCTGAAGAGTCTCGGGCTAAATCACGGAGCGCCCAGCTCTCTTCTCTTTGTTCACTGCCCCAGAAATCTAACACCTAGAACAGCCCTTGAGCAAGCCGAACTCTCTAAACGGGTGATGAAATACGTCACTGGTGAAGGGACTTGTGGTCCCAAAGGAGCTGAACACCTGCCCCTGCGCCTCTGATAAGGGTAAGATACAAGGGCCGCTGCGAATGCGGCGGCTGGACGCCCGGCGCCAAGGGGGCGCGGCCTGGACTGCCGGGACGGGAGGCCCTGCTTCAGGCTGAGGGCCCGGGAAGGAGCCGGTACCTCTCCACCTCCTGCAGCTCCCGCTCCTCCGGTTCCCAGTCGGAATCGGGGTCCGGCTCGCGGCCGATAGAGCCTGGGCCTGCCACCCCTCGGGTAGCGAAACCACAGCAAGCGACGGCAGCGCGGACGCGCCCAGCGAGCAAGAGGCTCAGGGTACCCGCCATGTTGACAGAACTGCCTCTAGTCTGAAACGCGGCAGCAACGGAAGCCAGAGGCCGGAACCGGAAGTGGGAGGACGGAAAGGAAGCGGGGCGGGGGGCCACGTCCTTCCGGCTTCCGTCGGAAGGCCGGTCCTCTGGGCTTGAAAAACTCCACAGCCCACCCTTCCCTGGTGGGATTATGGGGAAAGCTTTCCTAATACGCGACAGTCTGAATGAGGTGGAGGACGATCCTGCAAAACGGCATAAATTTTAATAAAAAAATGGGTTCAATTGCCGAGAGCCAACCCTTCCTCCCAATGGGCAGGCCGGCCAGTCTCCCCAGCGGCGGAAGGACGTCCCCAAGGCGATCCACTGACAGCGACAGCCCCCCGTGTCTTGGGTACTTGGCTCCTCGGGGGAAAAGGCTCCTTCTCGCGGGGATGAGGTCCAGCCCCGGGACGCAGCAGGGTTCAGGCCCATCACCCAGCGATAAATCCAGGTTCAGGTTTGAAGGGCAGAGATGAGTGCATGGCCGGCCCTGGCTATCTTCATTGTTTATAGTCTTTTCTGGTCCAAAAATAATCTTGCGGCATTGAGGAATTCTTGGTGTCTTTGTGTTTATGCCTTATACAAACAGGATTCCTGGCCAGGGCTTTTCACACTCACACTTGGTGGCAGTCTTTCACTGAGCAATGCTTGAAGGCCCTTTGCCCCTTAGAAAACCTGAGGGGTTCTCCAGCAGAGGTTGAGTGCTGGGCTTCCTTCCTGCATTTACCTGTGGTGGCTGCTGTCCAGGAGCGCAGTGGTACTCTACATCAGGGGTGCGGAGGCAGGGCAGAGGGGGAGGTCCTGGGCCTTGGCTGCTTTGTGTTCACAGTTTACCGTGGAGGCCAAGGTGCATTCACTCCATGGGCTACTTACCACTCTTTCCCGTTGCAGGAAAAAGCCCTGCTTTGGGGTTAAAGAGGATGGCACTGATCCTGCCATGGCTCTGTTTATGGCTTCTAGCCGCCTGCTGGCTTGGCCTTCTGCAGTGGAAACATGGATTCCCTGAGTTGCTACTCACAACTCTTTCCCAACTGTTGCTCAATGACCAACACAAAGGAAGGGTATCCTATGCTTCCCTCCAGCATCTTTAGCACACTGTATTGTAATTGGTGCGTCTACTTGTCCATTTCCCTGTTATGTCTGTTGAGTGCTGGGACTGTATTTCTGCCCTAGCACCAGGCTCTAGCATGTAGGAGGCGGCAAATGGGTCCCTCCACTGCCTCCCGTATTCCCCACACTGCTGGAGGTGCCATATTACATTTTGGGAGCATCCCAGCTATAGTATCTGCTAGTGGGAATTTAGTGACCAAAGCTAGTTCTGCATACTTACGGCTGTTGGGCCTGACTCTGGGAATGGGAAAACAGCGCCCTCCAGATTTCTTCACTGACAATGAACAGGGGCGAAAGGTGGCTGGATCTCTTATCCAGTTGAAGTTCCTGGGCTGTAGGTAGCACCGGGCATGATACAGAAGTGCAGTATTCGTGCTTGGCAGTGGCCCTGAGATGCTGGGGCCCAACTCGTGGGGTTGAACTGTATGCAGGAAATGAGGAGGGCCCTGCTCTTTGGCAGACCCTCTCAGGACCACCAATGGGAAGAGAGTCACAGACGGCAGTTCCTGACTGCTCGGCCCATCCTGGTGAGATCTAGGCTAGAGGAGAAAAGCAGCCTCTTACCACATTTCTTGTGAGGCTGGATGGAGTGATGGGAAAAACAGATAACTGAAAAATCCCTTCTAGGCCATAGCCACTACCTAACCCGTTATTCCTCTGGGGCTCAGCAAAAACAGGACCCAACAGGTTTGCTACTACCCCAGGGAACAGTGAATGCAGCAGCTGTTTTGGAGGCCCAAGGCTTTACTTATCTCCCCTTAGAGCCACAGCACTGGCAGTGCTAGGGAGAGATTACACAGAAGCCACTGAAGGTGGTGGGTCCGTCATGGGTTTGGGGTGATTGCCAGATAGGACTATAGCAAACAAGTCTCTCGTGAGAAGGTTGGGAGCTGCACTTTGCTGGATGTCATTACTAAAAGCAAGGGAGTTTGGGGAATAGACGTAGAGGGAACCAACAGACCCTTTCCTAAGGCCCAGCATAGACTGCTTCCCCAGGTTCCACTGCCAGAGACTATCACCTCAGCCTCCTTGGCTTTAGTCACCACCAAGTGCCGGCACTGCCCTTGTTCCCTGCTGTGTGAGATGCTGCATAGTGACCCTCACCCAATACTCATGAAACTTTTTCTGGTCCTGGTGGCTGGGGTGCACCACGCTGGTGATCTGCTCTACAACACCCATGCTTCGGATGAGATTCTCCCTTCGTAGCAGGGCCTTCAACCGCTCCAGCTCCTCCTCTTCCACAATTTCTTGAGGCTGCATGGTGTCCAGGTACACTGGTAGCAGCTACAAGGTACATGAGAGATGCATGCAGGATCTCCATTGAGTCCCAACCATCAACAGGGACGACTGCAGGACTCCTGCCCACTCTACCACCATCCCTTCCCTGATCCTAGTGCCAGGTTCCTTTTGCTATCCATTCTCACCTCCTGTTCCAAAAGGTCAGATTCAACGTACTCATTAGGAACTCATCTCTCTCTCTCAAACAAGAGGAGGAGAGGACAGCAGAGAATTCCCTTCTCTAATACTTCCAACCCATTTTCCTGCAGAAAGTCAAGAGCCACAACGCCCCTGACACCTCTTTCTTCCGGTTCCGGTTCCTGTAAGCCAAGTGGGTGGGAATGCCCCGGAGCCTGGTCCTGCAGCGGCTCTTCTCCCCTGCTGATTCCCCCTGGTTCTGCTCCTTGTTTTCCTTTGTCCTCTTAATGTCTGTGTTCTCTTGCTGCTCCTGCTTGAGGCGGATCTCTTCCAGTTGCTGCCTGACAAGATACGGCAGCTTCAGATACTGGAGAACTTACGTGGGGAAGAGTGGGGAGGGGGTTGTGGGAGAACAGGGATGGGAAAAGAGTAGGAAATGATCTGTCTGGGGGACTGACAGGAGAGGAATGCTGGGGAAGGTAGGAAACCTACTAAACTGAGTGAGTAATACTGATAGAGTTTATAAGTCCATCCGTCTTTCCTCAAGTGTCTGGCATCCTCTCCACCCCGCTAAGGAGCAATTCAGCTTCAGGATCTGTCCGCACCCCAGTGGACAGAGGAGCAGGCAGGGCAAAGTACCTGGCGCACTCCTCTCTGGCCTTGGAGGCCGCTGTCTCCTGGAAGAGGGAGCCACTGTGCTTGAAGAAGGGTGCATACTTCTCTGTGTCAGGCCCAGGGTAGATCCTCCGGTAGCCCCCAAGGTGGGAGTCCTCATAGCATTCCTGGTCCAACAGTGCTGCCTGGGACAACTCAGTTTGTTCACGCCTACAAAAACCAAGCTTTGGGTAAGGCAGGGGAGGGCTGGGGGAAGTCTTGAGTTGGGAAAGGAAGGTTGGCTGAGGCTCTGAGGACCTCCTGATCGCTTCACAGCCTCTCTGGCCCCTGCCTGTGGGGCACAGCTGCCAAGCCCATCTGTGGCCAGTCCTTCCTGTGTGTAGTAATGTAAATAGGCTTGACTTCCAGAAATCTGGTTTTCATCTTCAGTGCAGTGGGGCCCACTCATAAGCCAGCACCAAGATATCACCATCTTACAGGTTTCTGATCATAGAAAATTGGATTTCTAATTACAGAAAATCTCGAGCAAGAAAAGAAAAACTGCACATAGTCTTATGATGAAGTTCATATGTTCGTTATGAGCATAGATTCTGAGGCAGGACCTTCTGAGTTTGAATCCTGGCTTTGCCACTCACCACGTTTTTAATTCCTTCCTTCCTCTCTCCCTCCCTCCCTCCCTTGTTTTAGATGAAAGCGGGATCACACAACATTTTTAAATTACTGCCTAGTATTCTAGTGTATGAGCCTATTTGTTCATTAGGTCCAGTAGTTTGAACCTTTTATCCCCATTGAAAGGTGTGATTCGTAAAGTCACAAGCACAGTGCTATCTTCCATGAACATCCAGGGCATGTACAGTTATGCTTCACCTGCAGTTGCACAAACACTGAGGAGTGCCTACTGTGCACAAGGCCCTCAGGATGGCATCACAAGTCAAATACACACTGGCCCTGCATCTTGCAATGCAAGTGGGCAAGAGTGATGTTATTATTTTAATAATCCTAAATCTACTCCAATTCATGTATCATTAACACATTGTAATTTAGTATCAGCAACAAATTACCATGTTTGTAACCATCTTACAATTAAAACAACAGTGGGTAAACAATAATGATTTAAACTGTCCCCTAAAAACAAAAAAAACTGTCCCCTAATATTGAATGAGTAAACTGTTTTGTGTTTCATTACTATACATTTTTCTTTTTAAATATTTATTTTTAGAAAGAAGGAAAGGAAGGGAGAAAGAGAGGGAGAGAAACACTAATATGAGAGAAAAACATCAATCAGTTGCCTCAGACCCGCAACCCAGGCACATGCCCTGACCAGGAATTGAACTGGCAACATTTCCTTTTGCAGGACATCACCCAACTAACTGAGCCATACTGGTCAGGAAATGGTTTCTAGAGGATCTTCATTTCAAAAAGAAACAGCTAATCAAAACACATAAAGCTAATAAAGCTAATGTGCTAATATAAAATAGTTCTTAAATATATTGCTAAGCAGGGCACAGAGTGCGAATGTTATATTACTGTCTGGGTAGTAAAGGGAGAGAAACAATTTGTATAAATACATGTGCGTATGTGCATTACGTATTTGTGAAAATATATGAATGACTCAAGGAACACGGATTGGCTCCAGGCAGGAAACTGAATAGCTGGAGAAGGGTAGGAAATGCTAGTCACTCTATCTTTTGCACTTTGAACATAATTATCTATGATATATGATGTATTATCTATGCAAAAAAAATGTTTTTAATAGCAAACAAGCCCCAGGCTGCCTTCTCTGCCTAGAGAAGTTTTATTCTCAGAAAAGTGGTAACAAAGCAGCATGGTACACAACACAACACGTCGGGCACTTGGAGTACCTGGCTTCTCGCTGCTCTTGGTGGCACTGGAAAAGCCGCTCTTTGACTCGCCGCTTCTCTTCCTCCTGCACCTTCCTTTTGTCACAGCCCCGGAGGTTGAGGAGGACCATGGCGTCATAGAGGAGCGCGTCTTTCACCTCCTGATCCAGGCGTGAGTCAGTGGTGAAGCTTGGCGAGTGGTTCACCTGCCGGGAGGAGTCATTATCCACCCCCTTCCTAGGTCACTTGAGCAGGTGGTAGTCTTGTGCAGGCCCACGTGGAGGGTGCAGGACGGACACCCCCCTCCAGAGGTCTCAACCAAGGAGGCTGGATGTTCCGACTGCCAAGGCCGCTAATACACAGGCTGGTGAGAGCCAGACTAGCTGTGTAAACACACAGTCATTAACGGCAAGGCTTACATGAGCAACACTTGGGATCCAAAACCTGAATTCCTATGGTGGAGGCCAGAGACCACCAAGGTTTGATTCAACAGGTCCAACGTATAGAGAGCTTATGCCCCCTGCAGTTCCTCCCCACCCCAGTGCCGCCGCACCCCCCTTCTCAGCTCCACCACCTGAGTGTGCTCCAGACCCAGGTGTCCTGTTCAAGGAGGCCTCTGGACCTTGGTTTTGCAAAGCCCAGGAGATAATCCTCACCTCCAGCAGCCAGGGCTTCAGCTTGTGGTCCAGCAAGACGTCAAAACCAAGGATCTCAAAACAGGCACAAGTACCTCCACTCAGATATTGGGGAAAACAGGTTCGGTAGTTGTGGCGAAGAACAGAATGGGCTGAGATGATAGTTTTGATGATGATGTCCTCGATGCTCCCCCACATCTCTCGGGGGTTGTAGCCATGTTCTCGCAGCCAGGCGTTGAGTGTCGACAGCTTCCTGTGAGGCCCAGTGCTCAGAGAAAGACCACCTCCTCGGCCCGCGGGGCTGGGCTGCAGGCAGGAGGCTCCCTAGCCCTCACTAAGGCCATGCCCACTAGGTTCCTTGTGCTTCAAAGGGTGGCCACCGGCTCAGAGCAGGGTTTAGTTATCAGGGTGGGGTTGGGACCTCACTTGGTAGTGGTGCACAGGACAGGGGTCTGGAAAGGTTCCGTTTTCCTGAGCAGCCAGCCTCCCAAGAGCCGGTCTCTGTTTCATGGGCCGCTGAGACTAGGGCTGAGGGACAGGGGAAGGAAACAGAGTTGGGAGTACCTCTTACTGCCCACAGCATCATCCCGGACAAAGTTCTCGTTGTGTTTGTTGATAGCATAGTTGGTCAGGTGCATGCAGACATCCTCCTGGGAAGACAGAGGCCCTGTAGGCTCAGGGCCATGTCGTGCTTCTCACCAGCCCTTCGCTGCCTTTTGAGCACCCAGGACTGCTCATCTCCTGTCCCTCTCTGTCCCCCACCCCCGGGGAGGACTGTGCTGGCAGCTCCTGGGGAGGAAGGTGTGCTGTTCCTCCAATCCCAGCCGGGTGCTTAAGTGTTCACTGACTTCACTCCTTGTTACGGGCAACAAGCTGGTTGCATGATGGGACTCTCTCCCTGGTTTCCCCCAAACACCTCAGCACTTAGCAGTGGAAAAGGCCAGGGTGCTGCCCATCCACAGGGCTGTCCCCAGCCCCTTACCAGGTTGCTGTGATTGGGCTCCACGTAGGGCATGGTGGCAAAGCGGGCCAGGCCCTCCTCATACATGAAGATCCGAAGGGGGTCACAGGACGTAAGCAGGACATAGATTCGCATGTCAAACTTGAAGCCATCAATGAGGAAAGGCTGAGAGGGCAGAGCCAACAGGGAAAAAGAATAGCGCTTTGAAGTGCTTACTCTGTATCACAAAGGGTCCTGCATGCTCCGAATATTTAACAACTCATTTAAATTTCACCATAACCATACAAAGTAGTTACTGTTATTATTCCCATTAACAAATGAGGAAACTGAGGTACAGAAAGGGTAAGACAGTTGCCCAAGCCCAGTGTATCTAGAAAGTGGAAAAACTCAGATTCAAACCTAGGCAGGCTGGCTCTGAACCCGGGCTCCATATGGCTTCCAAAATAACAGGGGATGGCAGAACTGGCAGGAGCCTGAAACCGGCTTCCTCCCTGGTTTTGGGAGAGGCGGGGCACCCCAGTGCTGGCAGAAGGACTGAAGTCCTGAGGCACCCTTCACCTTGGAGATGTACTGCTGGCAGATCATGTGCTCTCCTGGCTTGATGTCCCGGGGGTTTCGGGTGATAAAGATGCCGCGGCCCTGACAGCCACTGTCTGGCTTGCAGATAAACGTGCGGGTCTTCCGCTGACGACCGGAGGCCTGGAAGTCCCCGTAGCTGCGTGCAGACCGAGGCTGCTAGTCAGATGGATCCTGTGCATCATGGCTGTCCCAGAGCCCCATGGAGCCCCGCTGGCCCCCCGGCCCCTGCTCTCCCTGGAGCCCTCAGGCTCAGAGCATTCCTCTTCCATTCCCTGAGACGTTCCAGGTTGCAAGGCAAGAGTCTGCAGGGACTGGAGACAGCGACCCCTTTCCAGCCGGCGTCCCACTCACTCTGCGGGGAGGCACCAGGTACGCGGGAAGATGTTGTACTCTAGGGGATAGATCTTCTGCATGCGCTTCAGGTTCCGAGCCAGCAGGTCTTTGCGGCAGATTTCTGTCATGCCAGGGAAGTGGTTGATTTTCTGAAATGGAGCCGGTTGGTTATACTACCCCCCAGGGTAGGCGGCTGTTCCTGGGGTCTGGGCATCCAGAAAGCAGTAGAGAAGGACTAGGGAGGTCAAGGTAGTCAGCGGAAGTAAACCCTACCTTGTATGCCAAGGGAAAAAGAGGGGAATCCCCTAAGACAAGTGAGAAACCCCTCCTTGGCCTCTCCCTATGATGCACATGACAATGGGTGAGGAGATGGGCGTTAGTGGGAAGGGCAAGACAGGATTGTGGGCCATCTAGAGCCACCTTACAACATCCTTCAGACCACCAGGGGCTATTTCTGTAAGAGTGATTGGTGTGTGGCGGCCCAAGGCCAATGAGAGAACACTTCCCCAGAGAGAAGAGGCCACCGGGTAGCAGCCCACAGAGTGCACTACCCCAGTGGTCACGGTGCTGCCTGGACCCCTGCCATTTGTCCACAGCAAGGGAGGCAGCTTGTCACCACGGCTCAGGGCTCTCTCCTGGCTGTCCCGCTCGCTAGCTGCATGAGCCTCTGAGATGCAGGGTTCTCTTCTTAAACAAAAGGCGTCTACCATTCAGGGTCATTTTTGCGGACTTAATGAGGGAAGAATGTACAGGCAGAGTCTGACCGGCTCTTCTCGTCGTGGGGCAGGCTACAATCTCCTTAACGAGCAGGTTATTTTGAGGTTTCCTCTCAAAATAAGCCTGCAAACGCTTTTTGATTATTTCATCTCTAACCACCACAGAGACCCAATTAGAGGATCGCAAAAATACCACAAAGAAGTTATATTCATCTCGTGGACCCTGGTCCAAACTTCTTGACTTTCTTGCGGCCATGAAGGCCCCGCGCGAACTGAGTGGATGTAGGGCGCTGGGCTGAGCTGCTGGGAAGGCTGGATCACTGAGCTGGCTCTGAATCTGAATGAGTCTTCCCTCTGTGACGGGCTCACCTGCCCTGGAGGGGCCCAGCTGGGCACACGCACATGCCTCCACGCAAAGAGCAGGCAGTGAGACCGGATGTGCCATGGGGACGGTTCTTCAGATAACAGAGGCTCCAGAGTCTCAAGAGGAGAGGATTTCCACTGGGGTAGAAGCCCCTGGCCATGGCCCTCCCTGCCCTGCACAGGTGTATGGCGACCCAGTGACGGCCTCAGGTGCCCGGCAGAACAGGTGGCAGCACTCATTCTGGGGCCATGGCCCTTTTGGGATCTTGGGTCAGGAGGTTGTACCTGAAACCTCTTCATGTCCATGACTCGTTCCAGTGAGACAGAGCAGTCTGTCCAGTACACGGTCCACTCTTCATCTTCCCCCACCTCCTTCAGGCCGCACATCTGGGCTGCCCGACGCACTGTGGAGAGAGGGAGGTCATGGGGCCAGCCTGGGCACAGGCAGAGGCCTTGGGACTGAATCTGGGTCGGGTAGGGAACAGCCCTGACTGGACAGCGGGTTGAAGAGGAAGGTAGTTCTTACCCCAGCCTGGCACTTTCATTGCCGTGAGACAGCTCCAGGTGCCTGAAGCTGTCAGGGCTCTTCCCAAACCTGACAGAGGACACTAGAGCCTGGCTGTCCGCTCCTGTCACTCCCTCTCTCAATTAGGATGCTTCCTGGCCTGCAGAGCTGACCCCTGGGTGGGGTCACACTGGCACCTTGTCCTCTGGGTGGTCTCTTGCGCAGATGACAGTGGGGATAAGAAGGGAGGAAGAGTTGGCTGCCCTAGCTGGTATTTTCTTAAACAATTACTGAAGCCGCCTCAAGAACTTCCTTGAAAAGTTGATTTTAACCTGGTTTCATCTCATCTCCGATAAAAACTGCAAAGGGTGGAGCATTGGTGACCCTGAGTCATTTTCTTCTTGTCAGCTAACTCAGGAGATTCCCAACCTGCCAGTGGCTGAGCTGGGGGCGCGGTGCCAGCTACGGGCCAGCCTAACACGATCCTGGGGCTGGGAGCCTGATTGGGGACCATCCCCAGAGTGAAAGGGACAACAGAAAGTGCCCTCCTAGGCACAGGGGTGTGAGTGATGAGCCCGGCACTTACCACTCTCATACCTGCAGTTGGTCAGGTTGATGGCCAGGGCTCTGGAATGGAGGAGCAGCAGAAATCAGGCACAACTGCGACAGAAGGGCAGATCCTGGGCTGCCCAGAACCCAGATGGAGAGACACCCAACATATTCACAATGCATTTCATTTCCTCCAGAAGCCACTTGAAAACCAGGACACAAACGTGCTGAAATTCTATACTAGGCCAGCCCCAATGGTTCTGAATTTTGTTTTTGTTGTACCAAAAGGTTAATGACACTCCAGTCTTCCCCGTCACCCTTCCCAGGCTAAAAGGAAGATCCTGGGTCCCAGCCCAAATGCAAAGGAAGGCCAGGGGGTGACTCTGGGGCTGTGCAGGTGAGGGGTCCAGGGACCGTTTACCTGCATTTCTGCCTTCTCTTTCTTCTCCCAACCCCTAAATCACCTAGGCCAGCTGGGGTTGTGACTTTTTCCAGAATTTTTGTGGCTACAATGGATAAGGCAACTTCGTTCTGAATTGCCTTACAGTCGGTCTTTGAGAGTGATTGCTGAGAAGGGTTAGGAGGGATGGTAACTTCCCCCTTATCACACTCCTCCTCGGATTCCTCTTCTTCATCATAGTCTTCCTCTGATTCGCTGGTCTTACAGGTACTTGGCTCCATTCTTTAGATTCTGAGTGGACAGGGTGGGAGTGACATGAGAGACTTCCCTCCAGGCCTGGGAAGGCCTGCAGGAGTCTGCCCTAAGGCCCTTAAGGACCTTCCTGGTGTGCTAAGGGAATGTTGCTGCTCCTCTAGAACAGGACAGTCTCATTCCAAAACAGGCTGTTTGCAAGTAGGTAACGGGGTCATGGGACGCCTGTGATAAGCTGGGTTGCTGACAAATCCCAGTCACCCCAGATCACCCCACACCACAGACCAGGGTGCAGCAGGAGCAGAACAGCGCAAAGGACATGACATAGAAGGGGAATGACTGGAGGAGGGGGACTTTGCCTTTAAAATACAGCATAAGACTACGGTCCCCTAGGCTGGCCCTGTACCCACCCCATGATTCAGTTTCTCTGTGTGTACACACTGGGGTCGGGCACCCACTAGCTAGGGCTCCTCAGGCCCTGACGGCGGAGGAGGAGCCCCCTCCGACTCTGCCCACCCGGACTGATGCATCCGCTCTTAGTGTCCTGGAACTGGATTCAGCTGGTTCCTCATGTCGCCCTTCCTGCCCAGGTGTGGCCGCGCCTCCGGGACCGCCTCCTTGTTCCTTCCACAGGACTGCTGTCCCCGCTGATCACGAGGAGGAGCCCGCTCCCCACGGGGTTCACCACGTTCAGCTATATGACCCCGGAGGCGCTAGCGCCTCCTTCCACAAGACGGCTTCCACTGCCCACCGCCCCACCGTCGCCATAGACACGAGGACGACCCCCACCAGAGCAGCGTTCTGAGGGCGGAGCCTCCCGAGAGCCACACCCACTCAACCGCCCAGTCTTTCTAGCAGTTGACCGGTGGCTCGTGGGACCCGCAGTCCTTCCGCTGCCACACCTGCCACGCTGGTTCATTCAACCCCATTCCCTCCCTGTTTTGAACTTTCGGGCAATGCACGTAATTTGGCCAACGGTGTTCGGGAGACACAGCTGCTTGACTTTCTTACATTTTTAAAAATAACCATGCCTAAGCGGTCTGCATCCGGTCTGCATCCGGGAGGAGCAGCCGCGATTAGCACACCCGCCCCTGGAGGCGCTCAGCCCGCTGGGCTGGGATAGCTCCGCTAAGGAATAACAGCCGCCTTATCAGACCTCTCCTTCACTGTCTCCCTGGCGTCCCTCCGCTGTATCTGACTTCTAATGGCCACTTCCCCCACACTCAGCTCACCTCGTCCCTTTAAGATCATCCCATGTGGCTCAATCTCAGAAGACACTTTGAAAATTTCCCTTCTTTAAACGGACACGCACATTTTCTGATTCACAGGCTTCTCCATCTTTTTTCAGCTTAAGATACTTTCAATTACCCACTCCTTGAAATGTTTTAGAGTCCTTTGCCTTCCAGGATACTCATTTTTCTTATTCTTTCAACAAATATTTAGTGTCCCAGGCACTGTTCTAGGGTCTGAATCATCATTTCTTGCCTGAACTGTTAACATTCAGCAAACTCTTAACTGGACTCCCTGATTCAATTTATCCATCCATCCCTCCATCCATGCAATGCGGCTAAAGTTTTCTTCCTAAAATGCAAATGTTACTCCCCCACTGAACCCTCTTCAGAGTTTCCCATTAGATCAAACCCAAAACCTTAGTACATGAGGCCTTTCATCAAAAAGCAAGCAAAGAGGTGAAGAGGCTCCGGGGCTGGATCAGCCCTTCCTACCACGACCCCCAAGTGTTCCATCCTCAAGCTTACAAAAAGCTCCCATCTAAATCCCCTTCTAAGAATTTACAAAGTACAGTACCACCCTAAAGGAAGCCTACTTTTTCCCTTTTCATGAAAAAACTCATTGGACCAGAGAAGGTGTTCCTCAGAACATCAGTCCTATGGAGTAAGTGGGAAAATCCTGGCATTTGGACCCATCACCTTGGATGCAAAGTCCACTTTGTTGTAACGGTCACATGCTTGTACATGCAGAGGGCTGCAGAAAGAGGCATTAAGCTAAAATGACTGCAGTGTGCCAAAAACCTGAGGGTAAACCAAAACTGTTGGTACAAATTTAAATGTTCGACACATACACATTCAAAGTTAAGCTACAATGTTTTTCTTACAAGATGGGTTGTAGTACATATTTTGCTTTATTCCAATGAGACTTTATGTCTTTTGGGATTAAAACCTCTAAAACTCTAAATATATCAAAGTTTCATGGAGGCCTGGGGACCTGAGCCTTAGCTTAGGGCCAGTGAACTGTGAAGAGCACCAATGACAGGAGCCACTGCCTGGGGGTGCAGTCACAAGTGCTCACTCACAGCTCAGCTTCTGGCCCTTGCAGTCCTGACTCCACCACTGATGAGCTGTGTGACCTCGGGCAAGTTACTAAATCTCTGTCCACTTCCAACTCATCTATTAAATCGGGGTACTAAGAGAATCTGTACCTTAAAAGCTGTGAGGACCACTTGTTTTCACATGAGACGAAGTAGATAAACTCTCAGCTCCGTGCTGGGGCTGGAGAATTCAAGGTGGTCAAGCAGGTGAAGGATGTGCTATAAGGAGGGCACCTGGATGGAGCAGGGCCTAATGCAGAGCAGAGATAAAGACACAGAATGCAGCAGTAGACTAAGAAGGCACAAGTAGAGGAGCAAGACCAGAGAAAGTGGGGGCACCATGCCAGAGGCACATAAACTATCACGTTTCTAAGACTTGATTTGAAACGAAGAGTCCATAAAGTCAGGATTGTATCACTCTTGTGCATGCCCCTTTCTCAATGATAGGTTTGACATCCCGGGGGTTGTCCAAAAAGAAAGATGAGAAGCAGATACATCCATGAGCACTCATTCACTCCATTTATTTCAAGGTTTCTCTTTAAAGAGACCATTTTTATCAGGTTTTGGCCCCTCCTCTTAGGCTGAGACAGGTGAGAAAGCAGTCATGAAAGCGCCCAGGTGACCGTTATGGGCAGGTCTCCTGAAAGGGACACAGATCAGTTGGAAGAATAAGTATTTCCAGATGGATTATGGCTCCTCCTGGGCTGTCAAGGCCACCAGTGCTGCCTGTACCTCTTCTGCCTGGGCTGGGGGCAGCATACAGTCTTGAATGAGGGCCAGAGCGGCCGCCTCTGTCAGGCTGCCAAAGTCCTGGGACGTTTTGACAGGGAGATGCCCAGCCAGCTCACAGAGGGCAACATTGAATGCCTCACTTTCCTTTATCCCAAAGATAGACTTTCGGGCCCAGAGGATTACCCGGACCCCTGTGAGGGTTGAGGAAGGTGAAGTCTTTCCAGGTGGGGCTCCCCGGGTCACAAACAAGTTATGTGCAATCTCACGGTCAGTCAGATAGTCTGTGACTCGACATACCCTGCTAATCAAGGCTTCCAAGTCTGGCCCTGGCCCGCTGGCGTAGAAGAGGAAACCAGGAGCTGGAACAGCCTGCAGCAGGTGCAAGTGGCCCGCAGGGTCCAAGGGCTCACTTGGTGCCCTCTCCACAGGCAACCTGTGGGCCAGGTAATAGCCATGCAGGTGGAGGTGGTTCACAGAGGCCAAGCCGCCCAGGCTATTGAAGCCCACTCGAAAGCCAGGGTGTGAGCTCAGCAGCACAGCCTCCAGCCCAGCCCGCAGTGCACCCGGCAGCAAGCGCTGGGGGAGTCCCTGGGCCGGCTCGGGCACCAGCAGCACATGGCCCCACTCCAAGGGGCTGACATTGATCATCACGAGGATATCCTCCTGCTGGGAAACGCCTGAGAGATCCGGCTCCCGGCGCAAACGGAAGAGGACTTCTCCTGGCCGGATTTTGTTGAAGTTGAACTGTTCAGGGTCAAATGCCTGCTTCACGCTGCTGATGCTCTGGGGGCGCCTCCTCTGCACCCCTCGCTCCACATTCAGCTGAGCCACAAAACCCACGGCACCAGGGAGGGTTTGGGTCTGCAGCTCCCCCAGGCAATAGCGAAATAGCCCCAGCTCCATCCGCTGCCTCCAGGCAGAGCAGACTGCAGAATCAAAACGAGATCGAGGCAGCGGAAGTGTGTCCGGGAGACAGGGCGCGTTCCTCGGCCACTGAACCCCTTCCCACAGAAGTTCCTGTTGTCCATAGACAAAGTCAGGAACGCCTTGCTCTTCCCAGTCCTCCGTGTTTGGAGGTAGCAAATAGGAAGCTTCATTTGAACCACGTGAAACAGCCATAGGGCTGACCTGAAACAATCATAAGGGGAGAAAACACATGATGCTATTCCATTTCCAGAGATTTTACTTTTATTTTCAAATCACCTTTATTTGTTCTTCTCATTACAGAAGCAATACATTCTAAAAATTATATATGTTGGGTGAACTTTCTTCGTGGAGAAAAAAACAACAACACACAATTCATTTTAATGTCCAGGGAAAAGTTACAATTCACGTTTGGCCTCGATCTTTTTTTCTTTAAGTTTTTTTCTGATTTTTTTTTTTTTTTTTTTTTTTGAGGGGACGCGGCCCCACCCTTCTACTCAACCTCACCACCTCCTCTCTTGCAACAGTGTAAGTTCATTCATTCGCGCATTTGTGAAAGGGAACCTACCTTGCAGGGCCGCTGTAAGAACGGGAGTATGCACACGGTTTGGCATTCAGTGGGTCTTCAGTAAACAGCCTCCGTAAGCAACAAGTTTATGGTTATTTTGAGGGAGGCGACAGGGGGGTTGCAACACGTGAGGCAGGGGCCCGGTAGTACGCCTGACGGAAAAGCCGTCCTCCCGCACCGGGGCAGCCGACGGCCTCTGGCCGCTCAGCGAGTTTCCCGGTTACTTCGGTTCCAGAGACTTCCTGCTGCCCTTTACGGGAGCCCGACCAAGGCGGCCGCCGCCACCTACTTCAGGAGAGAAGGACTCACCGCGTAACCTGAGCCACGTTCCTACCGCTGCCAAACTGAGGTAGTGCTGTCTTCTACGCATGCTCCGCCTGAACGCAACGCACGCGCCGTGGCTCGCCCCGCCCACCTTCCGGAGGCGGGGTGGGCTCCGCCGCGGAGCGTCCGGCCCCGCCCCGGGCCCCGCCTCCAGCACGCCAGGGACCGCCCGGAGCCGGCAGCCGGCTGCGAAACCGGCTGGGAACTCCTTGGAGCTTTAAGGAGGGGGCGGGCCCGGGGGCGGTGGCTCCAGAAGCGGTTGCTGCGGGGACGGAGCGGTGACGCGGCCGGAGGGCGGAAGTGAGAAAGTTGCCGGCGTCCCGAGACGAGTTAGCGGAACTCTGCGCGCGGCGCGGCGATGGGGGGCTCGGGCAGTCGTCTGTCCAAGGAGCTGCTGGCCGAATACCAGGTGCGCGGGACACCGGGCCCGGGGGAGCTTGCGCGCGGGCCTGCGCTCGGGAGCGGTGTCCCGGAGCCGGCCGCAGGGCGGGCGCGGCCTCTGGGCGGCCCGCTGACTCCGAGTCCTGTTCTGCCTTCCAGGACTTGACGTTCCTCACCAAGCAGGAAATCCTCCTGTAAGTGCCCTCTCGAACCTTGCCACCGGGATCCTCTAGAGCCGGCCTCGGGGGGCTCTTTCTTACCGACGGGGAAACTGAGGCTACCCCGAGGGAGCGGCAGGGGCCCGCCTGAGGTCGGCGGCAGAGCCGGAACTGGAGCCCAGCGCCCCGAGCCTGGGCTGCGCCCTACTGCCGGCACGCCCTCCCCGCCCGCGCTCGGGACCCAGCTGTACAGCCTCCGGCCAAAGTTGGGCGCTCTTTGGCCCTGTGCTCCGCTGCCTTCTGCAGAACCGAACCTCCAGCCCCAGTCCGGCGGAGGCTGCTGTGGCTCTCCAAAGAAGCCTTGGGACGTGTGGCCCCTTCTCGCAACTTTACCTAAATAATACAGTAACCGTTAACGCTTATTGAACACCTACCCTGCGCCAGGAACGGTGCTAAATTACCCTACATTACCCCATTTAATCCTCCCGAGGGAGGTACGGGGACAATGAAACAGGTCCAGAGAAATGTGGTACCTTGCCTAAGACTACACTCCAAGAACGGAAGTGAACTGGGGCCAGACTCCCCTTTCTGGTCGTTTGGCAGTTTTACGGGGCCAGGGCTTCCTTGGCTAGAGATCCCAGTGGCGAGTAGGTAGTGCTGCGGCCCAGAGAATTCAGCGTAGCTGCTAACAAGAGGGAGGCCTTGAAGAACAGGAGATCCCTGGAGTTTGGCTTATTGTTCCCTGTTCTTCTGAGCCAACTTCTGGCTCCTTCCCCAAGCCTTCCATCCCTCAGGGAGCTCTAGAACCAGTGCCCAGCACAGGGCCTGGCCCACAGTAGGCCCTCCGTAAATAACCAATTGCTAGAACAGACTGCCAGCCCGTACTATCTTGTGACATACCTCCCTTGAGCTTATCAAGCCTAATGACTCAGAAATTCCCTGGACGAGGCTCAGCTCACCTGGTGGGTAATGGGCAGCCAGGCGGGGAGTGGGGATGTAATATACCCAGGAAGGTGGGCCAGCAGGTTCCCCTCCTTCCACCAGAGCCCACAGGCGGTTCTGTGAGCTGCTTCCCCAGGAGCACCGGAGCGTGGAGGAGTCACTGCATGCCCGAGTGTCCTTGGAGCAGATCCTCAGCCTTCCAGAGCTCAAGGTGCCAGCCCCCTGCCCTCCCTCTGCTGTTCTTTCAAGATCATTCAGTCACTCACCCCATTCTGGCCTTTTCTGTTTAGCCTGAACTTCCTCGGGGCGAGAGCTTTACCTAAATCACCCGGTGGAACTACTAGAACCATGTTTTCCAGATTGGGATTTGAGGAACACATTCTTAGTTTCAAAAGAAGTTTTGTCCTTTAAGAAGAGTTCAGTTACCTTGAAGTTTGAGAAGCACTGTTTCGGAGGCTGATTGCCTCTCCACGGGGCTGCTGGGAAAATTTCTATGCAAAAGGCCTGGCCTAGTGCATGTAACACAATGAACGTTTAATTAGATGTTCGTTCTGCTTAGGATGGCTTCCTCTTCCATCTCTGCCCCTAGGCCTGCCTGTGGGTTAACCTCTGACTCCCAGTGGCCGTCCCTGCCCCTGCCCCCGCCCCAGCTGGGTCACTGGTCCTCCTGCCTTCCGAAAATGCTGGTCATTCTCCCCCTCCAGCCTGCACTCATAGTGCAGACTCTGAACTGCTTCCTTCAGTTCCCTGTGTGGTTTGAGCGGGACCTGGGCTGCGTCCTGCAGCCTTCACAGATGCTGTCTTCCTAGGCCAACCCCTTTAAGGAGCGAATCGGCAGGGTCTTCTCGACGTCCCCCACCAGAGACAGCCTGAGCTTTGAGGACTTCCTGGACCTCCTCAGCGTGTTCAGTGACACGGCCACACCAGACATCAAGTCCCACTACGCCTTCCGCATCTTCGGTGAGGACGGGGAGGAGCCTGGGGGCACACAGGGACTTCCCAGTGGTGCTGGCTGGGAGCTGGGGTCGCTGGAACTCATCCTGACCATGTCCTGTTGGGCTCCCTGTGGCTGCTCTCTAGATTTTGATGACGACGGAACCTTGAACAGAGAAGACCTGAGCCGGCTGGTGAACTGCCTCACGGGAGAGGGCGAGGACACGCGGCTCAGCGCTTCAGAGATGAAGCAGCTCATTGACAATGTGAGTGGCTGGGCCTGGGGGGTGGGCCCGGGAGCCCAGGGACGGCCGTGGCCTGACGCTCTCCCTTTCCCAGATCCTGGAAGAGTCCGACATTGATCGGGACGGGACCATCAATCTCTCTGAGTTCCAGCACGTCATTTCCCGGTCACCGGACTTTGCCAGGTATGACTGTGACCCCATCTGTGGCATCTGGGTCTGGGATGTGACTGTGGGGGGGGGGGGGTGCCCGGTGAAAGCCCTGCCTCCTCTGGGTGTCCCAAAGGGGACTGACGGACGTTGAGACACAGCCAATCCTAAAGGCTCTTGGGGGGCAGTGGGTGAATTTGGGCTTAGCCCTCACCCTCCTCTTCCAGCAGAAAACCCAACTCACTCTTCTCTTGTTCAGCTCCTTCAAAATCGTCCTGTGACAGGAGACCCCGCCTGCTGCCCGGTGCCCTGTAGAATGGCCTCTCCACTGCCGAGCGTGGCCAAGGTGGCGTCGGTGTCACCAGGGCCGGCCAGGCTGGCCCGGTCGAGCTGGCACCGTGAAGTCTTGTCCCGGGCAGGGGAGGACCCTCCACGTCAGGGCCTCACCCCTTCTCCTTGCTGTCATCATCGCTGTTTGTTTCTACTAATCAATAATAAAGGCTTAGAAATTTTGACCGTGTGTGTGATACCGGAAACACCAGTGTAAGAAAAGACTAGACTCCTAGGAGACTTTGGTCATACTGGGCCCGACCAACGTCTGCAGAAGGGACCGGCAGTAAGTCCTCGTGGGCGCGGTACATGTGAAGGGGTAACATGGGGGAAAGAACCCTGCTGTTCCCTGACTGGTGGTGGTGATCACATGAGTTTCTACATGTGTTAGCATTTACAGAACTGTTTACCAAAAGAAAAAATAATTCGCTGTGCAAGCATTTTAAAAACAAAAATTTTAAAGACACACACAAAAAACCCTGGCCCACAGCCTGACCCCAGAACAGAGTAAGGGGCTGAGATGTCATCAGCTGGGCGAGGCTGGCTCTGGCCCACGAGCCCCTGGAAACAGGAGGTTCAGAACCCCCCAGAACTCAGAAAACTAGACCAGCCTCGAGAAGCAACAGTCCTTTCAGAGGAAGGACCGTGATTCAATTTCAGTTCTTTAGATTTTATTTAAAAACAGGCGTAAAGTGCATCTTATAAAAATATATAAAAGCCACAAAACTGGAGCCCTTGTGCCGGGCAGTGTCAATATCCCTTAAAGTGGAGGCAGGTGACGTACGAGGGTGCAGGGGACTGGGCCGCGAGACGAGCCTGCTGTGGGCGGCGGGACAGGGGACACACAGGTTTTCAGGGTGGATGGAGGCAGGGAGGCAAGTCCCTTCCTAGAATTCCAAGGGCAAGGTGAACATCGTCACAAACTCCTGAGCTCATGCTACCTGCTGCTGTGTGGCCGCAGCCTGATACAGGCCGGACAGGTCCGGAGCTGGCTCGAGCCCAGGGCCCCACCAGGGCTGCAGGGCCAGACTAGCCCTCTGTCCCTGAGGCGGCAGGATGATGGCTGTAACAACTTGGCCAGCTGGCCAGGCAGGACCACAGAGCCTGAGGGGGCCCCTGGCTCTGTGGGACGGGCCACCTGTGGCAGCAGAGTAAGGCAGAGGTTGGAAGAGGCCAGCTGGTGAGGGATTCCCAACTCTTGTCTCAAACCAGCACGCCGGGTGAGCCCCCCCGGACCCCGCGAGGCCGCGAGGCTGGGGCAGAGCTGGAGCGGCTGTGCGCGCGGCATTCTGTGTGGTCTCATCCTCGTTTCACATTTTCAATGGTTTTTTAAACAAAAGGCTCAGTTAACACCAGGAGCACTGTTCTTCCCAGCCAGGCAGGTATCCATCTTCAGCCAGGACCTTCGGGCCCACGGCTGTCCAGGTCGGAGGGGCCTCGGTGCTCGAACAGCAGGCCAGCGGGCCCCACTGTCCCCAAGGGCTGGGGCCCAGGGCTGTGCGCCATGAGGAGCGGAGTCCAGCCAACGCCCTCTGAGCATTCACGGCCCCTGAAGCCAGGGTGAGCTCCTCTCCAGGTCAGCTGTCACACCACCGAGTCCCGGATATCAGAGCCCAGGCGGACCCGGGGCCGGGGGCACACCGGGGACACCTCTACGAAGCTGTCTTGGACGCTGAGCGGCCTCTTCTCTGACTCAGTGAAGACCCGGGGCCCCGGGGAGTTATCCGACAGGGCCTGGTAGCCTCGGTGGTCAAGCGGGGTGCTCGGGGGCCCTAAGCCATTGATCGGCCGGGTCTCGGGGGGCAGCACCACAGGGCGGGTCTTGGGGTGCACGCTGGCACACTCCCCCTGCTTCAGGAAGAGTTTCATGCCGTCCCGGTGCCGGTAGAGGAAGAATAAAATCAGGAGCACTATGGTGAACACGAACAGTGTGCTCATCACCAGGAACTCAGTCCAGTAGGACTTGGCCGCACCCCAGCTGGCCGTGCCGTGGGCTGGCGCACTCACCCGCGACGTGAGAGCCACTTTCCCACTCCGGACCGGCACTGTGTCCTCCACCTTTGGGCAATAGCTGGCCACCAGCTGCCGGAAGTCTCCCTCCAGAGACCAGCACTGGAACATCCCTGGCTCCTGCTGGCTGCCCACAAGTAGCAGGTCCCCGGTGGGCAGCACCCGGCAGGAGGCAGAGCCATTGACAGGGATCCCGTTGTGCAGCCAGAGCCGGGTCGCCAGGTTGGAGAGCAGCGGGCAGGCCAAGGTGTTCACCGTATTGGGCTGGAACCAGACTTGCTCACATGGCTTCTTGCCTGTGGGCAGGAGCAACACAGGGTAAAAGGGGCCTGGCACCCACAGCGGCCCCAGCTCGCCCTCCTCCCTCTGGGCTGTGCCCATCAGGCCGCAATGGCAGCTCTGACGACTGTGGGGATTGTGACTCTCACATCCCAGCACCTTGCCTGTAGGCTGAAGGGACAAGGACAGGAGGACAGACATTTACCCCCACCATTGCCTGAGTTCAGGAACCTTCTACGCAACTTAGTCCCTGCCTCTCTCCATCCTTTGATGGGCACTTACCCGATGGTCCAGCAAACCGGGGCTTGACCAAGGAAGCGTTGCAGAGGTACCTGGCATTAGCCCCCTCAATGTCCTGGATCCATGGCCTGAGGACCAAAGGGAGGCTCTGATAGGCTGGGAACGCCCCGTGAGCCCGCACCCCCACCTGAGGTGCAGCCCTGAGGGCCCAGGCCCAGGGACCACCAGGCCCAGAGCAGTGTTTTGTAAAAGGCAGGCCAGCATCTCCTCTGTCTTTGCAGTGTTTATTTCAAATAAAAGTCACTATAATACTCCCCTGAATTACAAAAGCAGCACGAGCCTTTAGAAAAAGTCTGAAAGGACACCTGGCTGTGTATGTACGTAGCTGTCTCATTTAAATCAGTGCACGTGTACTGACTTAATAAACAGTAATAAGAAAACTAATTCTTGATGCACTCAGAAAAACTCAACCAAGCACAAAGGCTAAAAATACTGCAGGCCCTGACCAGGGAGCTCAGTTGGTTAGCACGTTATCGCGATACGCCAAGGTCGCGGGTTCAATCCCTGGTCAGGAAACACACACAAGAATCAACCAGTGAATGCATCAACAAGTGGAACAACAAACTGATGTTTCTCTCTCTCTCAAAATCAATGAATTAATAAAAATAATAAAAGAATACTGTAAAAACCACCCACAATCCAGCAGCCAGCAACCATGACAGGGAGCATTTTTGGTGTGTCCCTCCCAGGGTACAAGTGTGTATTCACATCTGCTTTTGTGAAGTATAACACTGGTACCCGCTGTCCCCCTGCGTGAAGCAAGGACACCCCACAAGTGGGGCTGGTTCCATTTCTACATAAAATGTTCGTTTTGTTTTTTTTTTTGGTACACATATGTTGAAAAATCTGGGAGGATATACATCCAATTCTCACTGTGACTCTTTGGAGGTGGTAGGATTAGGGGTAGTTCTATTTTGACTGGGCTGATCTCTGTTTTCTATATGGACATTTTATAACCCAGACAAGTTCTGCTGAAAACAACTTTCAGCGGGTTCTCTAACGGACTGGAGTGCAGCCCTTACTTTCTGTTCTCTAGATACACTCACATGCCAATCCCGATTTTCCCTCCAAGCTTTTCACAGCTGTGACATTTCATAATTTCCCAAATCACATCCCCACCGTACAGGTGAGTAAGGCAAACAATTTACTGTCTGAACCATAACACTTTTTTGAGAGTCAGAAGCAGACCAAGTTAATAATCACATTACGCCAAGACCATGGCGACAGGCGAAGCTGCGCAGTGGCCCTGCAGAGGGCCTGGGGCAGGCGCTCTGAGGCCAAGGGCACGGGGGTGGACAGGCGGGGTGGGGCCTTCAGAAGCTCTCACCTGGAGGCCGTCTTAGCGTGGTAGAGGCTGACGTGCTGGCAGCTGGAGCCGCTCCAGGCACAGTAGGGGTCCCGGGCCAGGAGGCAGTCCCCACAGCTCTGGTACAGGCTGCAGTTGGCCACGGGCACCTGGACCACGCCCAGGTGAGAGGCAGCGTACAGGAGTCCCTGCACAGGCACAGCCACGTGAGAGGAAGCCAGGGCTACCACCCACCGCTGCACCCGGCTCAAGCGCCCAATCAGAGCCACTCCCAAAGGGCCTCCTCTCCTGCCCCCAGACACCCTAATTTCTGATATCTGTCCATACGAGGGGCACCGCAGGTGCGCTGAGCAGCCGCTTCCGCTGGCTTACCCTGCCGGGATCCAGGAGCAGGTTCTGCACGGGCTGTCCGGGTGAGAAGATCTGCAGCTCCTCAATGATGTGCATCCTGGGGCCCACGCCCACCGCCTTGTGCAGCCGGCCGTCCCCTGCAGCGAGGACGGTACTCAGGCCCGGGGCGCAGCCTGCTGCCCACGCCCCACAGCCGCACCCCGTGGTGGCCTCTGGGCCTGCCCTGCTGCAGGCACTCACCGGTGCCCAGGAAGAGAACGTCATAGGTGCCATGGAGGCCAGGGACACGGTGGACAGCCACGCGCTGGTAGCGGGCCTGCGGCTGCAGCAGCAGCAGGCGGCTGCGGACCTGCCCGTCCATCAGGAAGTGGTCCTTGAGGAAGTTCAGCACGCGGTCGGGGAGCTGCAGGGATGAGTTGATCTTTCTCTCCCGGGTACTGTTGGTGATGCACTGAAGGAGAAGGTGGTGGCGTGAGGCCAACGACACGCAAGGCGGGACGGGGGCTGGTGGGGCCCACGGATCCTGCCGCAACTGCTTCTCCAAAAGGTGGCAGGGATGTCTGCCCCACCCTCGGAAGCCGCAGGTCTGCAGGGCCAAGGTGGCAATCCGGAGGCCACAGGGCAAAGCCCAGGGTGCAGACACCCCAGAGCCCCTGCTGGCAGGTTTCCCTGCGGTGCTCCTCCCTGCCCCGTCCCCAGGCCTGGAGCAGCCGGACCACACTTCCTGTTCCATTAGCATCCTCACGAAGGTGCCTGCAGTTAGTTCCCACGCTGCCTGGGCCTTCCGATTCTTACTGAGAGATCCCTGAGACTTAATACCCAGACGTGACCCTCAACCGATGAGGCACAGGGTCAGTGGTAAACACCCCGGCAGAGCAATGGGGAGGCGTGTCCGTGCGCCCATGCCCTGCCCCACGAGTGCTCTGTGGGGAGCCTATCGGACTAGAAGGAAAGGAAGAAGAACCATCTCTCCACAGCCTGGCTACTCCACACTCAGTAATTAAATAAGGAGTCGCTGCCACCGGGAGGCACACGTGAACAGAGTCACACAGGTGGGCAGTAAGTGACCGGGACACATTGTCCACCCTGAGGCAGATTCGAAGGCATTCTGACAGTCACAGTCACATCTAACCCAGCAGACTATCAGGCCTGGACTTTTGTCCCCACGTTAAAGATGGGAAAACAGACTTGGAGAAGCCAAGTGATCCCAGCCCGGGAGACATCCCGTCCGCCCGGCACCGCGCCCCAGTACCGGGAGCAGTGCTCACCGCGCCAGGCCGGGGCGTGGGCACCGCGTAGGTCACGGTGTACCACTGCTGCGTCTCCCGGTTCACCTCCTTGTAGAGGCCATTAAAGACCCTCTGCACGTCCTTCATGGAGAAGACGCAGACGGCAGAGCCCTCCGTGGTCCCTCTGTGCCTGCATGAGAAACGGCCCGTGAGCCCAGGAGCCCGGCCACCCCTCCCCTCTCGTCCCCAGCTCGGTCCGGGGGCCCTACCACTGGGATGTGAAGACCCCGTAGAACAGGGTGTCCTGCCAGGCCTGGGAGCTGGAGCTCAGCGTGAAGACGTCCTGCAGCACGTTGAAGGGGAAGCCGTCTTCAGGCCGCGAGCACAGCAGCTGGGCCTTCAGGAAGGATGTCCAGCGCTGCTGCAGGATCCGCCCACCGCCCTCGTCACCCTGGGGGAGGGAGAGGGAGGCCGGGCTCAGGCGCTTGGTGGCTGGGGGGGCGGGGGTTGGCCACGGGGCGCTCCTTGCTGCCCCCTCCCCAGCAGTAGCTGAGATAGACACCAGGGAGGGTGGGCAAACCAAAGCCAGGCCTGAGATCCGTATAAAATCAAGAAGACTTGGCCCTGGCAGGTAGCTCAGTTGGTTAGAGCATTACCCCAATGCGCCCAAGTTCAAGGTTTGAAGCCTGGGCTGGGCACATTAAAGAATCAACCAATGAGTGCGTAAGTGGCACAACACATGGATGTCTGTCTTTCTCTCTAAAAATCAATAAAAAATAAAATAAAATCAAATCAGAGGAGACTTGGAGGCAATGTGCAGGCACCATCCCCAGGCTAACACGTGAATGGCAGTGCTTTCTTCACTGTGGAATTGCACAAAAAACGGACAAATGGGGAGTCTACCTACAAATGTGGAAAGAGGTCATGACCTTCTGCTCAAGAACTGCATGTATAGTATAACTCGTTTCTGAGTAGTTTTCTTACAACATAAATACACGTATTTACACATATGCCAAAAAAAAAAAAAAAGGGATTAGCAAGGAAGTTCCTAAAACGTTAACAGTGATTGGTTCTTATGGTAGGGAGGTAGGAACGCAACCTAATAGTTAATATTTAGTTTGTTGCCCACTACATGCCTAAAAGGTTTATTACATGGATTAATTTAATCCACACAGTTCTGAGGCAGGTTTGGTTATTATTCCCACTGGACAGACCAGGGAGCGGGTGAGGGACCTGCCTGAGCTCACAGGACTAGCAGGGATTCAGTGCAGGCAGCCTGGCTCCAGACTTTAGACTCTTTTTCTTTTTTAAATTGATTTTAGAGAAAGAGGGAAAGAGAGAGAAACACTGATTTGTTGTTCCACTGACTAATGCATTCTTTCGCTGATCCTTGCACGTGCCCTGACCGGGGATGGAACCCACAACCTTGGTGAGTCGGGACGACGCTTTATTTAACCAACTTCAGCCTAGGGCCGAGTCTAGACTCTTAATCACGATGCTACGCTACCTTTGTCTTGTGGTATCTGTATATACTTTTCTGTTCTGTAGTTCCCCTGTTTTACGTAACAGAAAACAGTAAGCAGCAACAGCAAGAAGCAGTCCCACAGAAAGGGAGAGAAAAGTCGTTAGCTAAGCCATTCTTCCTGGAGGACAACAGGAGGTCACAGAAGCGAGACCTCCTGGCGCTTCCTGGTCCCGGAACCAAGGCACCTGCCGGGGCTCAGGGTGGCCCTCCCCTCACCTTGCAGATGCGGGCGACTCGGGACACGATAGTGTTTTCAAAGAATTCAAACTCCTTGCCGGTCTCGCTGAAGAAGAAGTAGATCTTGTCGTCGTCCCCTTGTAAACTGCCCAGGCTCTCGGGAATGTAGGCCGAGGCCACGAAGGCCGGGTCTGGGGGAGCGGGCAGGGAGCGCAGCGTCAGCCCAGGAAGCCTGACCGCGGAACCCCAGGGCTCCAGCCCCTCCCCCACCCAGGGGCGGTGGCAGGGCTTCACCTTGTAGCCAGTTGAGGGAGCTCTCGGTCTTGGTGGGGCGGCGGCTTTGGCTCCGGGAGATGGCTGGGTCATTCCCCTGGAAGCTGCTGACCGTTCCGGTGTAGAGCTCGCCGTCTGCCAAAAACACGTTCCCATGGGAACGGTCCCTCGGCAGGGCCCCCTCTTCCCACTCAGACCTGCAGTGGCCCCAGCCCTGCCCCTGCATTGGGGTGCGTAGAGGAGGGAGCGGGAAAGGGGAGAAGCCAAGGACAGCCCAAGGTCACACCTGCATTTCACCCCCATGGAGCCCCAGTGGAGTTCTCCTGCCCCTGACACTCACCAACCATTAGGGCCGTGGACTTGAAATTGGGGTCAAAGGGACAACGGCCTTTGCCATCTTCCAGAATGACGTTCCCCGCCTGGTCCCGTGCCAGCGTGAAGTTCTCCACATTCTGTAGAGGGGCAGACAGGTGGGCACCAGGGAATGAGTGGGCTCGGCCGGAAAGCAGGGGGATGCTGGGAAAGGCAACTCCGGGGGGAGGGGGGAGGAGAGGTCAGACAGGCCTCCCTCCCCACCCCTGCACCCAGGTGCAGTCATGTCTGGCAGTGACCTCTGCAGCAGGCACTAGAGGTCGCAGATGGCAGAGGAGCAACAAAGCTTAGAAAGATATGGGCCGGGAAGGAGCAGCAACAGGATCCAAACCCATGTGTGTCCGGCTCCAGGCTGGAGGTCCGACCTGCAGCCCCTGCTAAGGTGAGCCTAGGGCAGAACTGCATGGGCGTGAGGGTGCTGAGGAAGGGTGCACAAGGTGGGCTGGAGGAATCTACAGGGCGTGGGTTGGGGTCAGCCAGGGTCTTAGTGCCTGGGTGGTCAGAGGCACCACTCCTTCCAACGGGCTGGGCCAAAGGGCACTGGGAGCCCACCGCTACCAAGAGGCCTTGCTGGGCCCTGCCCTGCACCAGCAGTCAGCAGGAAGTAGGGCAGCTCCCAGGCCAGCTGGGCTGGGGAAGGGCACTTACGATGTAGGTGCACAGGGGGCTAAAGGCCCCGGTGCCGCAGGTGAACAAGTGGCTGCTGTTGAGTGGCAGGAGGATCTTGATGTAGTTTTGACAGTCACGCTGGGGAAAGACGGAGAGGGTGTCAGGCCCAAGCCAGACACCAGGGGGCACCACCGAGACCCAAGGCCAGTGTTGGGGGTTGAGGCCTGAAGTCGGGGGACACTGGAGAATCCAGAAGCAGGAGCCTCCTGGACTGAGTCCTGAGCCAACCAAGGACCACAAACGTGTCCATGTGCGCTGGAGGGGGACCTTGAGGCTCAGCTAGTTCTGTGGCTGGCAACCTTTTCCTCAGCCTGGGGTGAGGCAGAGAACGCCTCCTTCGGGTTGTCTTGTTGCAAAGTCCTCTTCAGAACCACAGTGCAAATGGATGGCCTTGTCCCAGCCAACTTGGGGAAGGAGCCACAGCCCAGAGTGGGGGGAGGGGCACTCAGCCTGCACCGTGGCCCCAGACTCACGGGCAGCCTCCACTGGCAGCGCCCCAAGCAAGCTTCTGACAGCCTCCCAATATCTTCTCCCCTTGAGACCTTCCCCGTTTCATTAATGGCAACTCCAGCCTTCCTTTTCTAAATGAGTGTGTAACCTAACTACCTTTTACATGGACTAATTTTTGTCCATTGTTCTTTCTTCTTTATCACAATGATACATCCAGTGTCTAAAAGTACCTGGGCACAAAGCAAGGGCTTCACAAATACTACGTGCAAAAAAAGAGAAGTCAGGGAACCTGTGTCTTGACCCCAAGATTGGTGGTGCTGGTTTGCCCCTGCTGGACTCAGGACCCGGAGGCTTCTGGGAATGGTGGGGAGTCCTCCAGAAAAACCCAGGGCTGGATTGGACCTGCCCCACATCAGTCAGGCCAAAACCAAACCAGGATCTGTCAGGCCTGCAGCCTCAGGACCATGTGCAGAGGGACACAGGTCCTGTCCCCACCCAGTTGCTGCTCCTGCTGGCAGCTCAGGTTTATCTGGCACTGTTTTGGGCCAGGTGCCTTCCCTCCATTACCTCATGGAGTTGCTACTCACACTAGGTCCAGCACTAGCCCCATTTTACAGGTGGGGACAAGAAGGCTCAGAGAGGCCAGTCTATTTGTCCAAGAGTCAAAGCCGAGCCTGGCCATCTCAGCGCCTATGTCCTGCCCACCACAGCTGGCTGTGCCTGCTGCTCCCAGCCTGCTTCCGTCCTGGGTTTAGGTCCAGCCTGCGCCCCGCCCGCCTCTCAGGCTGTCCTCTGGCGCTGGCTCACCTGGGGGTCCTTGCCTTTGAAGCTGCACTGGTGTTTCCTCTGGGCATCTGCGCCCCACAGCAGCTGGGGAGGGAGAGGGCCAGGTAAGTGTGCACGTGGGAACGGAGGGTCCCCACCCCTCCACTCTCTCCCCTTCTCCGTCTGCGTCATCCCTGGACCCAGGAGGTCAGCCCTCCTGCCCCCCTTCCCCAGGGCCACCCTTGGCCCCGCCTACCCAGCCCCAGCACCCGTCTCTCACCTCCTGGTACCCCCCGCCTGGCAGGAAGCTGGCGCTGCTGTTGAGCGCGAAGAGGGCCTCTCGGGCACCAACATAAAGGGTCTTCCCGTCACTGCTCAGCAGAAGGGCCGTGTAGTTGGAGATGTTTTCAGCTTGGAACCTGAGGAACGGCCGCTCTTCAGAGTCTGGAGAGAGGAAGACTGAAATTACTTGGGGACCACCCAGCCCACAAAAACCCAACCTCTAGAATGGACCAATCAGAGTGAAGGTAGGTCAGCCAGGCAGTGGGTGGCAAGGGGCTGGGGACAAGGAGGTCAGGCTGATGGGGGAGCAGCATTCCCGCTTCGCAAACCATATGCAAGAAACAGAGGCACACAGACGAATGGAAAAGAATATTAATTACAGTGCCGTTCATGGTAATGAAACATTGAGGCGACCTGTATGTCCAACACAGGGGACAGAACATGATCTCTGGATAGAACTGATGGTAAAAATGGTTTTTTTCAGAAGCCCCAGAAAAACACACAAAGTTACATAAAAAAGGACGTGGTCGAAATACAAAGCGAACTAAAACACAAAGTGATGATTGTGGACTTTCATTAAGGAAGTCCGAATGTAAGAAAGGAAAGGACTTTCATGGAACATAGGAAAGGTGACGACGACCTTCGCGGGCACCTCAGAGTGGCAGGAAGATTCGGAAGGACGCCCTTCCACCCCCGATGGCCCTGCAGGGACCACGTTGTCATCGGCACAGAAATGCAGGCAGTGGCCTCCAGCCCTCAGTGCCACCTCGCAGTCACTCGTGGAAGATTTATGGCCATTAAACAGGATGTTCCTGTTATCAACCTCGGCCTTGGGGACTTGAACGTACACCAGACAAGAAGAGAGGATGAAGAAGAAAACGGAAATAAATACACACACCCTTCTCTACCAGGGCACTGTCTGTGCTCTGGGTGACAAATGGATTGGCAGAGAAATTATTTTAAAAGTTCTATGCAGCTGATATGAAAAACAAGCACAAGGCAGCCCCCTGCCCACCCTCAGGCCTCTCCCAACCACGCAGACAAACATGGTCTCGTGAAGCGGAGGCAGCGAAGGGTCACATGCCAACAGACAGCTGTGGAGACGGCTTCGTGTGTGTGTCCATGGTGAGTGATTTTACATACCCCCAGCCTGGTTCCACAAGAGTGAGGAAACACAAAGGAAAGAAGGCAATGAAATATAAACACTAAAATCGGGAGCAGAGAAAAAAACACATCTGAAGAAAACAGTGAAACCAAAAAGGAACGACAGGGTCCCATAAGCAGGGCACAGGTCCCCGCTCATTACGTGCTGAGCTTCCCAGCAGCCAAGGTGAAAAGGGAAATGGAGTGACCTTATCCTCACAGCCCAAGAGGAGGAACACATACCAGTGACAAGCCTCCCTCCTACAACCAGAGTTGGAACTGGGCTGCATTGGGAATTCCCAGGGGAAAGTCCTGCCTAACATCCAGAGCCTGAACGTAGCTGCTGAAACCCTACAGGGCAGCTGTGGTCGAAGAAATTAAGGCCTCCCTTTGGACTCGTAAGTGCAGAATCACACCAGGCACTCGGTCTTTGGTCTCAAATTCCCAACTCCTCCCCACTTCCTATGGACACGCCGTGCAGGCCCAAGGAACGTTCCCAGCACAAACCTCCCATTTCTCCCAACTAGAAACTTCCCTACACACTGGCTGCTCACTGCTTTGTGCTGACGACAAGCTGGCCTTTTTGTACTCAGCCCCTGGGAAGAACTACCGCCCTGAAGAGAGCCCCGCCGCGGGCCACCAGAGGTCCACTGGGGAAGGCGCGCGCTACGTGGGTTGTATGCCCACAGCTCCCTGCATGCCCACAACCACATCAGGAGGCGGACTGCTGTCCTCCCCGCTTTACAAATAAAAGAAATCAAAGCTCAGAGAGGTTAAGGAAGTTATACAAAGACACACAGCCAAAAAGAGGCCGCAGTGGAGACCTCCTTCCTGAACCCCCTGTCTACACACTGCCGGATGCGGCAAAACCACCCGCAAGATCTCAACTCCGGATCCAGGGCCTGCTGGACTTTGATGTCGCTGACCTGGGACAGGGCCTAAAAACGTGCAGGTGGACAAGTCCCTGGCGATTCCAGAGCAGAAGGTCCAAGGAGCACACTTTGAGAAGCGCCACGTAGGCCCCCTGCAAGGGAACAGGCATGTCTTCTCCCTGGACTTTGGTTTCCTCAAATGCGTCACAGGGATAATGCACATAAATGACCTCATGGCAGCCCCGCAGGAGTCAGGGAGGCGAGGGCCCGCGGCTCGGCGGTCCCTCCCTCCAGCTGCCTGAAAGCAAGGGCGGGCCCGAATCTGCCCATGCCAACCTGCCGGCAGAGGGGCACCTGTGTCCGGGCAGGAGGCTGTTCTTGGAATCTGCCCCGATAACACGGAAATGCCAAAGGTCAGAGATAAAAGCCAAAGTCCAGGTGGCGGCTCAGCCCCACTCAGGCCTGGAAGGGAGTGGAAACCTGCCAAGGGCCAAGCAGACAGAGCGTGGCCGGCTGGAGGGGCAGCCGGGACGCCCGCCGTGCACCCCTGCACACAGGTCAGATGCTCAGGGCCCGCCCCCCCCCCCCCCCCCGGCTCCTCCCGCAGTCCTACTGGGAAAACAGGGACGTGGCACAGCGACAGAAATGCCTCGGAGAACTGGGTGCAGACTTCAGAGACAGAGCCCTGGGTTCAAATCCCACCTCTGCCACGAGCCCTCTGCCACCAGGACAAGCCAGGTAACATCCTGGAGCTTCACTTTCCTTATCTGTAAAGTGGGGATAATAGCACCTCTCGCCTCATGGGGTTGTTATGAGAAGGAACAAGATTATGTATGTAAATAACAGCACTCATAATAAGCCACGTCTGCCGAGTGCTTACTCAACACAACTGCACACACGTTACCCTGAGCTGGCACGGCGTCTGGCACACGATCAGCCCTCCAGTGGCTCGAAAACAAAACCCCAAGCCCTGCAGGAAAATCCAGCCCAGCGAGCACGGCCAGGGAGCAGGGCGCAGAGGAGGAGCCGCGCCTCCCGTCCTCCGGCTCAGTCACCACGCGGCTGCCGAGCGACTATCACCCAGGCCTGCGCCGGTCACACCAGGGTCTCAGGCCAATCACAGAGCAGTAGGAAGGCGTCTGTCATGTGTTATGTGTGTGACCTGGTCCCCACGCTGTGGTACTCTGGAAGCTGTTCTCGTCCAAGCAGCCAGTGCCTGGGGTCACCTCCAGAGTCACAGCACAGGCGCCTGTGCGGTCCCTGCCTGAGCCTGCCCGCCCGTCTCCACGTGCGTGTGCGCGCGTGTCCCACCGCAGGGCTTGTCCGTGCTTGCGTGCGCTCTGGGGTGCTGTTTGCGAAGAGGTGACAGGGAGGAGGTGTTGGTGTTTGTATGTTCGGCTGCCCATGCGTCCCTTGTTGGCTCCTAGCTGCGCCCCGCGTGGCAGGGGGCGCCCATCCGGCCACACCCATCCCCTACCTGTGCGTCAGCCCAGAACGCAGAGAAAGCCAGGCCGTCTGAGGCTGTGGCCCTTTTCCCAGGTGGGGTGAAACCTTGGTACCCACCCTAGCAGGCCTGGGCCGGTGGCTTGTTCACGGCTCCGAGGAGGCCGGATGGGGGCTGGCCTGGGGCTCACAGGTCATGGGACGTGGCGCATGTCAGAGACCCCTGCAGGGCCCCGCTCCCCCACATCGAGGGCGGGCCCCAGGGTATCAGCAGGAAGTGATGCGGGAACAACTCAGCCCCCAGCCTCACCTAGGGGCTCTCACCTCCCCCGTGACTCAGTGGGGAGCCTGCGGCGATCTGGAGTAAGACTGGGATAGGGCTCAGAGCCGCCCCGTCCCCCGCCGGCAGGGACGTGACTCAGAGCTCCACCCCGCCTCTCTCTCCTCAGCGGCTGCCCGCACAGCACCGCAGCTGACCTGTCGCTAACATCCCACCCTCCACAGGCCCCGGCAGGACGAGGCTGAAAACACCAGCTTCCAGTGGAGTCAGAGCCAGGACAGGGCCCCCCGCGGGGGGGGCAGTCCACGCACTCCCCCTCAGTGGGAATCCCAAAGTCCCAGGCAGGGGCTGGGCCCGGGACAGTCCCTGAGCCCCCAGACGCTCAGAAGGAGCCTCTGTTCCCCGCAGTCCCACCAGACCTTTGGACCTGCTTGTGCCGGCAGGACACACCTCCTGGGCAGGGCGCTGACTCAGTGACTAACTAGGGCAGCCAGTGACCCGGCCACGGCCACACGTCGTCTCTCTGCACCACCCAAGCGCAGGGCAGGGCACCCGAACGGGCAGATGCGGTAGGCACACGGGGCTGTCAGCAAACTAGTGCCAGGGCAGAGTCCCCAAGGGGGGCCCGGGGTTCCGTGCCAAGAGTTCCCCCCCACGGCCTGCGGTGACCAAGAAAGAGGCGTGAAGGCCAGGGCGCCCAGCCTCACAGCATCGGGTGTTCGGGGCAGGTCCCTGCTATGTCCCCATCCACCCGGTCAAGAGCTCCTGCCCGTAGCCCCTGTGGCCCCCAGCCCCTCACAGACCTGCTTGCGCCTCTCGGGCCAGTAGAGCCCTAACCCAGGACCTGCCATGAGCTGCCATCACATCGGGCACCTGACCTCTCACTGCCCCACCCAGGACCAAGGCCGGCTCCTCCGGCCTCTGCAGCGTGGATGGGGGTGACTGCTCCTCATGTCCCCTCCTCCCACCTGGGGCCCCAGGGCCCACCTTTCTCCTCACGGATGCTTCCCCTTTTTCTAAGGAAACTGGGGCCACCAGGCATAGCCGCTCTCAGCTTCCCACTGCTCCCCCGTGTCCACAGAGACTAGGCTGTGTCATTAACCTCTGCCTTGCAGGAAGCAGCTTTTTCTTCACTATTTATCTTAGAAATATGTGTGCCTCCCTCCTCCCCTTTCTCCACCAAATCCTCCAGAGAAGGGCCGCCCCGCGCCAGCTCCATCTGCGAGCTCCCACTCCACCACCTCCACCAGCCCCACGCTCGCCCCCGGGGGCGCCAGACATCCACTCACCGCCCGACCCCAGGTGCCAAGGGGCGTGGCCTTGTGGAGGTCCCCTGCCCACTGGGTATCTGCCATGCCAACCGTGAGGGTCACTGCCTGTCTCCCTCACATTCCTCTGGGCCCCCGTCCCTCCGAGAGCTAAGG